GCCGAGACCGTTCACTTGCTCGGTGCCACCACTTTCGTCACTGATGTCACTGGCCCTACCCTCGCTATCATGGTTCCCCTGCTTGACCGTGGTCTCGTTGAGCGTGAGACCGCCATCAAGCGTAAGACCGCTGTCATTGTCGACAACATGTGTAAGCTCGTGGAGGACCCCCAGCTTGTCGCTCCCTTCTTGCCTAAGATGTTGCCCGGCTTGAACAAGAACAACGAGACTCTTGCCGACCCCGAGGCCCGTGAGAAGACCCGCCAGGCTCTTGACACCCTCTCCCGTGTCGGTAACGTCGTCGACGGCAAGATCCCCGAGGTCTCCCGCGCTGGTGACATCTCCACCGTCGCTGCCATCCTCAAGGAGATCCTCGAGGCCAAGCACAAGGACATCATCCCCACCTCCGAGGAGGCCATCAACTACATTGCTGCCATCGCCGCTCAGCTCGTTGATGAGAAGGAGAACGACCACGTCATCTGGACCCAGAACACCATTCCTTACATCACCGCCCTCGTTGGCGAGGCTGATGCTAAGGCCGTCGCTGAGGAGCTCCGCAAGAAGGCCTGCCCCGATGCCGCTGCCGCCGATGCCGTCGCCTCCGACGAGGAGGAAGGTGTTGACCTTTGCAACTGCACTTTCTCCCTGGCCTACGGTGCCAAGATTCTGCTGAACCAGACTCACCTGCGCCTCAAGCGTGGCCAGCGTTACGGTCTTCTCGGCCCCAACGGTTCCGGAAAGACCACCCTCATGCGTGCTATCAACAACGAGCAGCTCGAGGGTTTCCCCAAGAAGGATGAGGTCAAGACTGTCTACGTCGAGCACGATCTCGACTCTGCCGATACCGAGCAGACCGTCATTGCCTGGACCCAGAAGAAGCTTGCTGAGGTTGGACAGAACCCTCCCCGCGAGGAGCTCGAGGGCAAGCTGCTCAACGAGTTCGGTTTCTCCGAGTTCCAGATCCAGGGTCCCATCACTGCCCTCTCCGGTGGTTGGAAGATGAAGCTCGCTCTCTGCCGTGCTGTCTTCGAGAACCCCGATATTCTCCTGCTTGACGAGCCTACCAACCACTTGGACGTCAAGAACGTCGCATGGCTCGAGAACTACCTCAAGGGCTCCCCCTGTACCTCTATCATGGTGTCTCACGACTCCAAGTTCCTCGACAACGTCATCCAGCACGTCGTTCACTACGAGCGCTTCAAGCTCCGCCGTTACCGCGGTACCCTCTCCGAGTTCGTCAAGCAGCACCCCGCTGCTAAGTCCTACTACGAGCTCGGTGCCTCCGAGATGGAGTTCCGATTCCCCGAGCCCGGTTTCCTTGAGGGTGTCAAGACCAAGTCCAAGGCCATCTGCCGTGTTAGCAACATGTCCTTCCAGTACCCCGGTACCCCCAAGCCCCAGATTCACGGAATTACCTTCCAGGTCTCCCTTGGCTCCCGTATTGCCGTCATCGGTGCCAACGGTGCTGGCAAGTCTACTCTCGTTAACGTCCTGACTGGTGAACTTATCCCCACCGCCGGTGACGTGTACCAGCACGAGAACATCCGTATTGCCTACATTAAGCAGCACGCTTTCGCTCACATCGATAACCACCTGAACTCCACTCCTTCCGAGTACATCCAGTGGCGTTTCCAGACCGGTGAGGACCGTGAGACTATGGACCGCGCCAACAAGATTGTTACGGAGGAGGATGAGAAGGCCATGGACAAGATCTACAAGGTCGAGGGCTCCCTCCGCCGTGTCATTGGCATCCACTCTCGTCGCAAGTTCAAGAACACCTACGAGTACGAGATCTCTTGGTCTCTGGGTGACAACGTCGGCATGAAGTCTGAGAAGTGGACTCCTCTCATGTCCGCTGACAACACCTGGTTGCCCCGTTCCGAGATTATTGTCTCTCACCCCAAGCAGGTCGCCGATGTCGATCAGAAGGAGGCCCTCGCCTCCGGTCAGTTCCGTCCCCTTGTCCGCAAGGAGATCGAGCAGCACTGCGCCAACTTCGGTCTCGATGCCGAGCTTGTTTCTCACTCTCGCATGCGCGGTCTCTCCGGTGGCCAGCGTGTTAAGGTCGTTCTCGCCGCTTGCTCATGGCAGCGTCCCCACCTTATCGTCCTCGACGAGCCCACTAACTACCTCGACCGTGACTCTCTCGGTGCCCTCTCCAAGGCCATCAAGTCCTTCGAGGGTGGTGTTGTTATCATTACTCACTCCCGTGAGTTCACTGAGCACCTGACTGAGGAAGTCTGGGCCGTTAACGACGGTGTCATGACCCCCTCCGGACACAACTGGGTCCAGGGTCAGGGTTCTGGCCCCCGTCTCGACGCCAAGGGTGACGATGATGAGGACAAGTTCGATGCCATGGGCAACAAGATCGTTGTCCAGAAGAAGGTCAAGCTTACTGGTAAGTCATGCAGTTCTTTCTCACTTATACATCACAATGTTCAATTGCTAACGGTTTTCTTACAGGCTCTGAGCTTCGCAAGAAGAAGAAGGACCGTGCTGCTCGCCGCAAGCGTGGTGAGGAGGTGTTCTCCGATGAGGATGACCTTTGAACACCCAGTTGGGGTGTTAATTGATGCATATTATGATCGGTTGATGAATTTCATATGCTTTGCTAGGACAAAATACAATTCTATGTTCAAACATTCGTTATTATCATTTCTAAGACTTGTAGATCTGTAATCTTGTAGTTCGGTGGATGAAAGCTGTTTGCTTATATTGGTTTAACTAACTGCGGAATGAGGCATCTTTTCCCAAAATAGTCACGTCAATACCCCGATCTCTAGGAAGCATCGTGCAGGTTCGCCTTTGTGCTAGGCCGGTTGACTTCATACCCTCGTCCACTCCTATTTGCATGATCTATATCAAACCTTCTGTTTGAACTCAACCATAAGTTCTATTTACACTTATTATACTTCCGTGGTTTATGATCTTCTTTGGGTATCCTCCAGAGCTATATGATTATATTGTGCTTTTTATACGAGCTATCTGGTTTTTTTTTTTTTTTTGCTTTGTCTTTTATGCTCAAACAATGCCTGACTCCATCAAGAACAATACTCAAAAGACCGTCAGTATCAGAATCAGAATCAGAATCATATCTATGGTGTTTCTCTCAGTGTGCGCCGGCTTGATAAGTCTCGGCATGCCGTCCGTCCCTCTAGTCCTGAGCCGAACCTGTATGGCCCCGATAGCTTAGGCCGAGATGTATGCCGAGCAAAAGGTAAATATGATTTAGATAATTTTTGCATATAGAGGGACTGGATTTCATACTGTAATAGTATTCATACCATAGAGCTCTCAGCACCAACTTGAACCAGAATGTGAAGGGTGTTTGTTTGTCGTTCTGTGGGCCTGCATGCCAGCTCTTTGTAGAATTTGGAAGACTAGGGAGCAGTGAAATTGTCTGGCAGTCACTGTTTGTTCATATATTGTGGCCTTGTTTGTTAGGCTTGCAAATAGGTCTAACTAACTAGTTATATAAACTTAGTATGTCCCTGCTTCTTGCAAGACCTTCATTATCAAATTATACCCCGGATCACGAACAACTCGTCTAAAAGTCCATCATTTCTTTGCCTTTACTATGGAATCTATAAAATAGCTGTGCATCTCACACTATCTATAAGATCTTACACACCGTCTAGCATTTGAGGGCCAAGGCTATGAGCTACCATGATGTGAGGGCGAACTAATCCTCATCATGGTCAACCCTAGCTAAAATCTATATAGCAGCCTCCGGAAATTGTCTGGAAATTCCCCATGTCCGACAGCCAGTATGACAGCAAATGGCAAAATATTCAACACCACGCAGGTACGTAAAGCCCCTAAAGTTGTTTATAAGCAGCTACCATTTATCATGATATTTGGTTACATTTACTTCCCCCGAATCATTGGCTAAAGTTCACGCTGACCTCGAAGCTCTTCAGCGCCCAAAAAGCCAGGAGTTGCGAATTAGGCCACCCATAAAGGTATCACCTAGAAGATTGCGGGATTGAATACTATATCCATTGACTGCCATGTATGGCAAGTGGTGCAGCACTTTAGGAGGCCCCCCTGGGACAGTGTCCCCGTCCGAAAGTGTTATATATCGAAACTGCCTCCATCCTTTCCTTTTGTCATTGCCTTGAGAACGCACGAATCAAAGCTCTGCCTTCGATTACGAACCTGATGGTGTTGACGGACGATTGCCGTCTTGTTTCCTGGGACACGACCATACCTGATCTCCAGCGGCGAGGAGGTGGCAGGAGCGGTGGCCTTCGTTCACCAGACGCAGCCTTTCAAGGAGATACGAGGGCTAGTCTTTCGTTATATATGTATATCCATATAAATGCGTGTCTCTCTGAATGATGGGGATTTATCAAAGATCGGAAGCTATACCACCCATCTTGTCGTTTGAGACAGTCCCGATTACGGGGGACAATCCCCACACTCTCACATTCGTAGCATATTCTACGCCTTCCGGGGACAGATTACGAACGGAAAACATGGAAGGCACTACAGACTCCTTTGCATCATCGCGGAGGTGGTTTTTACCACGCTTCTTAGAGCGTATGAAGAGAAGAAGCTCGATGACTTGGAACAAGGCCTCTATGGATCAAATGAAACCCAAATCAGATGAAACCCAGGGAAAAGCGTGATTGTGCGGGTGGGCTACCGGCCGACGAGGGACGGGGAAACCTGGGACGAGAGACAGTCTCGGAACTTGGTGCCTACATATGTACTCAGCTTATATTTTATTTTCATTAATACGAGATATTCTGGTGTTTAACCTTGTCCAATCTGATGGCTGACCACCCCATACCTCGATCGCATTGACCGTTTCAACGTGCTGAAGACCTGTATTATTATTTGGGAATACGATGTTATTATGCCCTTCGGGCTTATCCCGTATGCTAGCATTCCAATATAAGAATCTATGTAAAGCTTGCGCTTTTTGGAGACTGTGAACAGTTTCGCTTGTTAAACGTATCTGTTTCTTGTAAACCATGAAACCACATATTATTCCATCAATTCTCGACTGGCCCGACCTTTACATTAACCCTTCTTTGCAGTTCCGCCATGTTATCCGCTTGTCGTAGCTTTTTCCGCTTCTGAACTTCCAAGTCCTTGAAGCGCTTCTTGCCTCCATGTTTCAGCTTTGTAATCATATCAGCCGCCTGTCCACGAGTCAAGTCCTCGGGCTTCACATTGCCATCTCGAATGCGCGCTCCGTTCAGCATTTTGATTTGTCCCGGTGTGGCTTGGGCCCGTCGCCACGGTTTCCAAGATGCGATGTAATGTTCATCAAACTTGGTACTAGCAAAGGTATCCGCTGCCCGGACAATGGTCTCCAAATCCGAGCCAGTGGCGATCTTCCGAGGACGTGTGAATTGCGGTGCCTCGGTTGTGGGGTTTTTGAATTTCATGACATGATGAGCTGTGAAGATATCATCTCCTTTCTCAATCGTTATCCAGCCAGATATATCGGTGAGCATATATCTGTCATCGCCGACCCGGACCCAGTTGTGTGGGCTGAACGACCGGATGTGTCGCTCGGACTGCATGTCTCCTAAGAGATCGTATATACTGTCATAAGTTGTAAATTGGAGTTTCAGGTCGTTGTCTGAGCCATCGTATGGTTCATCGGCCTCGGGAATGGGTTCCGCTTGACTGCCCTGATCATCATTCTTCTTCATATCTTCCACGCTGGAGTTATCCAAAACTTCGTCTGGGTCCAAGCCGAACAACGTCGGTGTTGATAGGACTCCAGTTGCTAGCGAGGCCACCATATCGATAACATGGCAGTCCTTTTTCCCGGGGAATAAGCGAAGACCACGTCCGATCATTTGGATGAGCAGGTTTCGAGATCTGGTTGGTCGAGCTAGGAGCACGCAGTCGATATTTGGGATATCCGTGCCTTCTGTGAAAAGACCACAGTTTAGCAACACTGGGAATTCTTGGTCCTTGAAAGCCCGTAGCTGTTCCGCGCGGACGCCTTTAGCTGTGCTAGCTGTGATATACCTAGCATCGACGCCATGGTCGCGAAAAGCGGCGGTAAGCTGCCGCGCATGCTCGACGTCGACACAAAATACAAGAGTCGACTTCCGATTCTCAGCACTCGCCATCCATGCCCGAACCGTGATGCTGTTCGTAGATGTAGTATTAACCGCCTTCGAAAGTGATCCTAGGGCAAAGTCTCCGAAACTATCTTTCTTGACTTTGGACAAATTGGCCCCGGACTTGACAGTCGTGAAGACCGCATTGGCCAACCAGTTTTCACCAATCATGTCAATGTAATCCTTGTGATAGACAATATGATCAATGGCAGCGCCCAGTTTGAGACCATCGAACCGTGAAAAAGTAGCGGAAACACCCACCAAGACCGGTCCATTAGCAGATGGCTCGTTCAACCCAAAATGCCCTAGAGCTTCGCGGTATGACTTGGCAACAATATGATGAGCCTCATCCACCAAAATAAGCTTGAATGCACTCGGGTCGAACTTGTACATGCGTCCTCGTGCAAGTGTCTGAACTGACGCGATGATGATGTCCCCTGCTCCCGTCGCAACATTCTTGCCCATTTCTATTTCGACGGTCTTGTCTGGATAAGCGAGACTGCAGTGTTTCGCGGCTTGTTCGACGAGTTCGCGCCGATGGACGATGATCATGGTCTTGGTGGCATTCGCATCGCGAGGAGGGATCCGGCTGATAAGCTGTGTGAATATGACCTGCAAAGATCAGTATCATTTTGGATAAAGAGTAGATCCAGCCTTACTGTCTTGCCAGCCCCTGTTGCAAGTGAAATTCCTAGGCGTCGATGGCCTTCACCCAAATATTTCAGGACGGACTGAATGCTTTCCTCTTGGTAGTCGCGTAGCACAATGCTTGGAGCAACTGTGGACTGTGTCGAATTGAAGCGCACATGGCGCAAAGGTTTTGGGAACAGAGGACGCTTCGCGAAGTATCTCCTTGGGAGTCTCAATCGCGAGACACAGCGTACGAACTCCATTCAGAGGTTACAAATGCTCACTCACTCTCCGGCGAAGCTCAAAAGTAAGAACAAACAGTGCAAACATGCTTATCGATAAGCTTGCATCTCATAGTGGATCTCCTTAGCTCAGCTTTTTTCTGTTTCTATAGCTCTTGATGAAATTGACGTCGCAGATTTCATTAAGGGTGCAGCTGTGATGTTTTGCTACCGATCGTCCCGTATGCGCTGCAAATCTGCGAGCTTGAACCATGAGCGACTCCGCCTCCGTCTATGAACCCGACGACGACGCCGAGTCTGAGTCCGACTTCGAACAACCCGAGCCTGAGTCCGACGTCGAGCAACCCCGCTCGTCTAGTGAACGCTCTTCAACCCCAAATGAAGCTGTGAACGAATATGATTACCGTCGCGACCCAACATTCGAAGGGGTCGGACGTCAAATCGGCGATGCGCTTATGGGACGCGTCCCACAAATGCGTGGATCACTCACATTTCTCCGAGCCTACTCCCACCTTATCGTGCAAAACAAGGAGGTTATTGATTATGCCTCGCTGAGGGAAACTGAGAACAAATACCACGTCAGCCAACATGGCTCGATGGTCTGGACGCCCGCGGAGAAAGAAGTGTTCTTCAATGGACTAAACCGCAAGGGCAAGGGCGGCATCAAAGAGATTGCTGCTGCGATCGGTACCAAGTCGGAACTCGAGGTTATGGAATACATCCGAATTCTGCATGAGGCCTTGCGGGCCCAGTATAGTTCCGAGGTGCACCTGGAGCGCATGCCTGTCTTGAGCGATGTCCCAGCGGCCACAGAGGTCACCCAGGAATGCAGTGGACTACTCGAGGAATATGCGGATGTTCTGTCATTGAAAGAGTCCCTCCTTCAAGCTCAAGCTGGAACAAAGCAACACGGAGATAACTGGATTATCACTAGAGATCAGGCAGATGATCTGATAGAAGAAAAGGATGATAGTGCTCGAGGTGACCTCCGCCTCGCAGCTGATTTGCTGAGCCTTCAATATTGGGTTCGGCTTTCTTATGCTTTGTTCATGAACTTCGGCGGCACACAAGTTGAGAACAACTGGTGGAATCTTGCCAAGAGAAAAGACCTGATCACAGCGTACGGACATACCCCGTCTATGACTGCAGATACTGTAGTGGACTTCTACTCTCTCACTGTTAGTGTCACGCGCCGCTTGGTCCAATCATCCCTCTTCTTCGCGATGTCAAGATTGCGCAGCTCGAATCGCAGTGGGAATGATAGAAAAGGATATGTTCGAACGCGAGATGTGCGGGCTGCCATTGAAGTGCTCAACATGAAGCACTGCAGGCCCAACTTTGTGGACATTGCTCGTCGCAATGAAACTGTCCTGGAAGATATTAACAACCGGAAAGGCTGGGTGCCTACGGTCTTCACCTACGAAGAAGCCGATGAGATCATCGACAAACACGAGTGGACCCGGTACCGTAAAGATGGAACCATGTACAATGATGAAAACGATGGAGAGGAGAGTGAAGAGGACCGGGAAGACGACGACGAAATCATTGACGATGACATTGAAATGGACGATGATATCGGGCCGGATGATGACATCGAAATGGAAGTCAACAAGCAAGAAGCAGAACCCGAGCCAACGCCAGAACCGGAGCCCGAACCCGAATCAGAGTTCGAACTTGAATCAGAGTCAGATTCAGAACTAGAAGGCATTGATCACGATCGTTTGACCAGGCGAGAGCCCCCGAAACGTCAGCGCCAGTTGTATTGCAAGACGAACTGGAATTGGACCCAGAAGAAGAGCGAGCAGACATCGCAGACCAGAACATCAGCCATCGCGAAGAGGCCAACTTCTTGAAGTTAATGGACCAACCCGTGCCGTCCGTCCTTGATGAACCTATGAAGCCAGAAGAAGTCGAGGCCGAGATCGGGCAACTGCCAGAGCGCAGAATCAGAGAAGATCTCTCTAATTGGCGGGATCGGACCGTCTACCGCAGCGAGTGGGAGGAGTACGGGTACGATTTCGCTGAGCTGAAGGAAAACATGGAAATGCCTCCGCTGAAAAGACCCCGATACAACGAACCAGAAGGTGCTCTCTCCGCTCCGGTTGTTTCAGGCGAGGACGCAATAGTTGATAGCGAGGACGATGAGCTTGGATCTCAGCAAGGAGAAAACGAAAACCCATCAGCCGCTAAAGATTCCTGGATGCAATTCTACAAGACAAAGTTTGGTCAACCGGGCGACTCGCAGGAGCCTGAATGAGAGACACTACATTCTACATTGAACAAGAATATAAGATTCCCATCAAGGACATATGATTAAAGAGTAAACACATTGATGAAAAAAGATTCCCAACCCCTAGTTCAAACCCCCTAAGAACAATCCACTTTCTGGAGAGAGGGTGAATCAACAGAAAAGAACTCCAGCAGATAACAGAAAAACAAAAAGTGCGCCTTTTCCAAGCCAGAAAGTTCAGAATATTCATAACTCAGCGAGACGAAAAGCAGTCCCTTTGGGTTCCTCTCTCAGAAGATCCATGGGGGATTATCGTACATGTATCGAGGAAGCCTACAGGTCAAGGGTCTTGTAGTCGGCACCACCTTGAGCGCTCAGAGGCTGGGTTCCAGCCCGCAAATCTCCGCCAACAGGCTGGAAGCTGTAGTGGTTTCCAATGCCTGTAGTAGCAGCATCAGCCAGCATCTGGTTCGTGTGCTCGTTGGGGCCCTGCAGGCTGACAGTCTGGAGCGCATCCTGGGCCTCCTTAACGCGCTTCTTGAACGTCATCCGGTCTAAGAAGAGTTGCTGGCGCGCCTGCTCCAACTCCCGACGCTCAGCCTCGATGATCTCCTCCATCTCGTTGAATTGCTGCAGCTTGATCTCAAACTTCTGCAGGGTGACGTTGACTGCAGCAGAGACTAGGCGGGTCATTTCGCGCTCCTCGTGCGAGGCAAGAGCTCCGGCACGAGCGGCAGATGCGGCCAGAGCGATGGTGCCAAGGGTCTCCTTAGGCTTTGTGGAAACTTGCTGCTCGGCTTCACGTGCAGGGTCCACATCCATGGAATCTTCGGACTTGACTGCATCTTTGCCTTTGTCTTGTCCTTTCTCCAGCTGGCTCCGGAGCTCCTTGCGGATCTCGTCGACAGACCGACCGGCGGCGGCAGCAGCCACTGCGGGCTCCGCCATCTGGGCCAAAAATGCCACAACAGAAAGAACGGGGTTTTCGGACTGGCTGATAGGGTCACGTCCGCTGCCAGACTGAGGCTCGGGGACATCTTCAACGTATTTGTCCTCGATCTCCAGCTGTAAGAACTTCATGACACACTCTTCCCGAGAACGTGTGCCAACGTGGCTCGCAATTTGTTCCCAGTTTTCATCGAAGTTCTCCAAGCCTTCCAGCAACAAAATCACTTCCGAGTCCGACCACGGAGTGTCTTTGTCAGTCAAGTGAGAGTAGCTCTTGTCCTCGAGCTTAACAAAGTCCGAGGCATTGTGGCTAGAAGGCATTCGTCCTTGAAGGAAGCAGTTAGGACAGAGATCATACTTGGTGTCTGGCGTAGTGGCGTTGGCTGATGTTGAAGCCGATTTGGCGTAGTGGAATCGAAGTTTGGTGCAATCAATACCGCAAGAGAAGCAGTGTGCCTTCTTCTTGGATTCCTGAGCAATGTCCAAGCCGTTTGTTCCTTCGCCGTTGGTATGTTTCTCTTTATCTTCGGCGGAGGTGATATCTTTGCCTCTTTCGTCGTAAATGGTGCGGCGTAGTTCGAGGTTGAGGTCGTCTTTAGATGCGGGGATGGAAGAGGCGGCACGCTGTGTGGCTGGATGAAGCTTGCCGGAAGTGACGCTGTGATTTGGTCCAGGCTGGAATGGCTGCAGTCCCCGTGGAGTATCTGCGACAACTCGGAAGTGACCGGTGAATGGCGGTCCAATATTGGACGGCCGTGTCTGAGGGTCAACCTGCAGGGGAGTTAGCTAAGATGCTTGAATGGGAAAAAAACAAGGCCACTCACCTGGTAGTTGATCAAGCCCCACTGTTCAAGGAATGAGTGAACACGCATAATAGCACAGACGTCACCCGCAAGGTTACGACGGCAAGCAGTAACGGTCAAGTACTCGATGGGGTTCAATCGATAGGTATTGATCATGAAGTCTCGATAATCTTTGTATGTAGCAGGCGTCTTGCTGCGGTTGCGGCCATTGAAGAACTCGGCGAGAGCTTTCTTCTCGATTGGGTTAATGGTGTTCATATCAAACCATGTCGCATAGCTGGGGAGGATGATGGCGTGTGTTTGGGTGACGAGTTGTTCGCGCGCGGCGGCTTCCAGAGACGACTTGGATGGCGCGGGTTGCTCTTCACCCGCAGCGTCTTCAAGCCCATCCGCACCCTCCACTTGCGGATGCGACTCGCCCACAGCATCCTCCAAGCCCTCGGTGTCGGGCTTGCCGTCGGTCTCAGTGCCACCCATCTCTTCGTCTTCCTGTTCAACTCCGCCGTTCCGAGGTTTGGGAGATGCGGGAGCATCCATCGGGTTATCGGATCCAGGAGTGTTCTCAATCTTCTTCACGGGCGAATCCTGACGCGATTGCGCTCCTGTCCACGAATTTAGCATTCGGTGCAACATCAAAGCCATTTGAGGGTAGACATACCTGAGGCTTCGCGAGCTACATCAGCTGCGCCATCTAGGCCAGTAACAGACTGGACATTCTCGTGGGCCGCAGCTGGGTTGATGGGAGTGTCATCCATGATGGATCAAAGGAAGCAGCTGTCGCGGTCGGCAGAATGTCAACTCCTTTCCCGTGTATCAATCTGTCTGCCGTGTAAAGCGCAGTAGTAGTATGGGATGGAGCAGGAAAAAGCCAACAATGGCGTAAATCAAGGCCGCGGGAGATGGAAGAGGAGGCCTAAAGTGATGATTGGACGGGTTGCTGGGGGGCACTTGGGGAGGTTGGTCGCGACACGCAAAACTCACGGGTGAGTGCCAAGAGCTGAATCGCCACTAACCACTTTGGGACTTGGCTCCTTTTTTCCGTGGTCAGGTGATTCAATGTACATTATGAGAACTATAAGGATCTGTTTCAATATTTGTTTCAATATTCTGATGCTGTTGTTACCGTTAGTAATTTGAGATTTTGTCAGTAGAGCCCTACAAGATGGGCCACGTCATAGTGCATGGTATATTGTGAAAATATATTGAAGAGTTGTCAGAGCTAGGAAACTATAGAAATTCCACCTGGCTTTATATGTGATACGTCTATTGGCGATGGATAAAAGAGATCGAAATCATAAGACTCGATTACTTTGATATGGATGTTGACGAAATATTTATATAAAATTCAATGCGCTTATAGTCATATTTAACAAAAATGGATAAGATACATATGTGGACACCAATGAAAATGATAATACGATGTCGATTATTTCGGACTCACCGCTTGCTTCTTCTTAGCAGGGAGCTCAGACTCATCCTCAGGCTCATCGTCTCTGCCTCGCTTGGTCCCAGCAGCAGGTGAGTCGGTCGGGGCGGGGGCAACAGCACGAGGTGGCACAGGAGCATATGGACGTACGGCTGCAGCTGCTGCAAGTATATCCAGGGAAGCAGTAGGAGAAACCACAGGACTAGGCTCGGCTGAGCTCGCAACTTCTGCCAGTATTTCAAGGGGAGTAAGTGGATTAGCAGCAGGAGCAGGCCCAAGTACTTGGGTTGCCGCATCTGTAAGCACTTCTAGGTTAGCAGTAGCAGTAACCACTCCTAAGGCAACAGCAGCATAAAGTACATCCCCAGTCCACCCAGCAGCAGGCGCAGCGGCAGCGGCAGCGGCAGCAGTGGCAGGGGCGGGAGAAGGGGCAGGAGGAGGAGGGGGAGGGGGAGGAGGGGGGCAGCAGCGCCAGGCAAAGGTACCCTCCAGGCGGGATCGGTGAATCGGTAAAACCTAAGAATATCGTATAGAATTCCACCAAGGACTGTCTCAGACTCGATCGATTGAACGCTTGATGGCAGCTCTTCCATCCTAGCGAGAATCTGTGCTTGGAACGGGTTACCGGAAGACCGTCTCGAAAACTGGTTTGCCCAGGTATGACCTGGGTCAGCAAGCCAAGCGATTAGCAAAGGGTCGTAGACACTTCGGATAAGATCGAGGACAGACTGACGATCAAGCGCATTCTGTGGATAGTCAAGGTTGTCAAGACGAAGAGGTATCCAGATTCTCTTAGTATTCGTTGCGGATGCCTTCAAATTAGAGTGCAATGTCAAGTTGGTTCGAGGCATGTTGGATAATGTTAGCGACAAATGATTTGTGTTGACTGAGATGGTTGGATTGTTGGGTTGTTTGAGTTTTACTGTTGATTGTTTGAATGGTTGTTGTGAATGATTATCGAGCGTTGGGATGGGCTTCGTCGACAGTTAAATACTCGAAGACCTCTTTGAAACTCGAATCAATGCCAATATTCATCCGTGGCTTTCTTTATCTTGTTTTAGAACAAAGAAATGTGACAATAGAATACTTGACAAAAGCTCTTTATCACCGAAAACTAATATAGATCCATTATTTCTTTCAAAATGGATATAGAGGCATTGTCATACCCAGAAGCCCAAATAAGGAATAAAGAGGATAGCTGTTAGAATTCTAACAACCCTATTTTAGACTGACTCAACAATAGAAATGAATGAATGCACATAATCTAGGCCAATCGCAAGACGCAATATACTTGGCATTTTCCAACATGAGAACATTGGAGGTGAACAAGGTCGAAGACAAAGGTTTTCTACTAATGCTACTAAGGGTCTTTGGTAGTATAGCTTTGGTATCGCACTTCAAGGTGATTATATACATTTCCACCTTGTCTATAGCGAACTCACCATTCACCTGCACCCCTGTTTCCGCGACATTAAGGTGGCGCTCGCTCTCGCTCATTTCTCACTATGGTACTTTTTGAGACCATTATCTCATTGCGGTTTTGAAGTGCCTTGATTCTTGTAGTGGAAAATTTATATAGGCTGACAATTTAGACTATTCTTGCTTTGTTTCTGTTATTGTTGAATTTCTAGCTAGAATATGAAAAGGGCATCAAAAGGGATGCACCAACAGGGATAGATATGATGTCTGTGGGACTCTAAGTGGCCATTTCTTCTTATTGCCGAGATTGTTATACTTGTATGGGTGTTTACTTCTCTCTGATCTTAACTTCCAAGGTTTGTCGACAACATATAGTCGCCCACATAGTCGCTCCAATTAACATTCTAGACATCTTTAAAGGTCAGATTGAGTATAAATTCTCTTTTTTGTCTTGTTATACCAGGTACCTCATCTGAATATAATATCTACCGCAAAGAATGATTTCTTTTTAAAAAAAAACTCTAGTGTGTGGCTAGTCTTATCACTTTGTTGATACAACTCCATTGTTTGCCCAGGTCGCATTCGTATACGATGTACTAGCGATACTTTCGATTCTCTTTTGCATTAGAAGCTTGAGCTATTGGCTTGTTTGTTTTTCCCTTTTAGTACTCCGGAATTGCCCTTTTGAACCCCCGACTCCGACTCTTCGACCAATGAGGTGTCACTGATTCGCACCCGTTGCGGGAGCCACCGAGCCGGCTTGTTATCCGCCCGCCTGCTGAGCCCTAAGTGTCCGAGGTCAGAATTCGCCCGATTCAAAATGTTCCCGGTCACGCTGACCAACTGTTGGCGTGATAAATCTATACATTGATTCTTGATATGGATTAGAAAATACAGTGTTGAAATGGGGGGCATCGACTATAAAGAGTTCTCGCGCCCTCGTGGACTAAACCCTTTTCTCTCGCTAATTATCTGCCCTTCTCTCCACTTGCGTTAGTACTCGAGTTAATTCCAGCGACCTTCATTGAGTGAAATTCGATATGCAGTCAATTTTACAGTATCGTCGTCTCCGCCGAGAGGTGGAAGAGGACTTGGCACACATCCAAGCCAAACCTTTCAGCTTGCATTCTAGCACCTCGCCATCCCTGCTCGAGGCACACACGAATGCTTATACGGGCCCCGAAGCAGAAGGGGCAAAAGCTCCAGTTCTATCAACTGATATGCTTCTTGTGCCTGGTGTCACAGTTTCGCACCCAAACGGAGCCAACGGCGACATTGTCTTGGTGGTCGGCTGGAGAGACAATGATCCGAGCAATCCCCTCAATTGGTCACTGCTGAAGAAATGGATGGTGATGTTGATGTGCGCTCTGGTTGCCATTGCGATGACGGTTCCCTCATCCGTCGAGGGTGCGACACAAGAAGCCTTTGACGCCCACTTTGGCGTAAACAGTATGGCTGGATCAATGACGACTGGTATGTTAATTCATCTTTTCTTTTGTATTTACAATTTTCTCCTATTCTGCTTTGGCTGCGAAGACCATGTCCAATATGTACTGACTGATGCTGAATGAGCACAGGTATCTTCCTCATCGGCATTGGCGTGGGCTCGCTATTTTCTGGCCCTTTCTCAGAGACCTTCGGCCGTAACATCGTTTATTTGGTTACTCTGGTCCTTGTCATTGTCTTCACCTTGGCCAAAGCACTAGCGCCAAACTATGGTGCCGCCCTCGCCTTCCGCTTCATTTGCGCTCTGTTTGCAGCTGCGCCTATGACGGTCGCAGGTGGAACTGTTGGTGATATCTGGCAACCCTTACAGATCCCCTTCGGCCTACCCTTGCTCACTCTCGCCGCCTATATGGGCCCAATCTTAGGTCCCGTAATTGGGGCCTACACGCCAGAGATTGGGTTTGTTTGGGCTGACTGGATCTCTATGATTCTCGCTGGCGTTATATTGATAATCGTGATCCTTGGCCAGCCGGAAACATTCAGCCCTATCTTACTAGAATGGCGTGCTAAGCACTTGCGTGATCTAACGGGCGATGGCCGTTATCGCGCTGAACATGCTTCCACTTCCACGGGTTCATTTAGCAATCGACTGCTAACCAATGTGTACCGACCTTTTGTCATGATCTGGACTGAACCCCTTATCCTGATTTTCAGCTTTTATCTCGTCTTGCTATACTTTGTGCTCTTCACTTTCCTTAACGGTTATCCCTTTATATTTGCGAACGTGTACGGGATTTCCACAAGTTTGACTTTTACCATCTTTGTTGCTATGATCCCCGGTGTTCTCGTCGCTCTGGCTTTGGTTCCTGTGCTTTATAGCCTCACTAAGAAAGCTGCTAGGAAGGCCGATGCTGATGGCAAAGCCCTACAGCCAGAGGTGTCTCTCTGGTGGGCTATGGCGGGAGCTTCTATTCTAATGCCTATCTCACTCTTCTGGATGGCTTGGACCTGCTACGTAAGTGTTTGTTTTATTTTACTCTCCCTACTTCTGCTAATATCGTTCTATTTTCTAGTCCTCTGTCAGTATCTGGTCACCAATTGTGGCCTCCGGTATCTTTGGCTACGCTCTTGTCTGCATCTTTACTACAACCTATATGTACACCATTTTTGTGTACCTGAAGTATGCAGCCTCAGCTCTGGGATTTATGACCTTTTCGCGATACGTCGTCTCCGGTGCTCTAAGCCCGGCATCAGTCAAGATGTATGAGAACATCGGCCCCCACTGGTCGTTGACGATTGTCGGAATCGTCGCAACCATCATGGCGCCCGTACCCTTTGTGCTGTATAAGTATGGCCACAGGGTCCGTGCAATGAGTAAGAACGCCCAGAACAAGGCTTAAGACGTTCCGCGCCAACTAAATACATGGATTGCACCGACATATGGCTTGTTCTCTACTTCTTGCGGTGTTTCTTCATAAATAACGTGTGCATCTCGTCAACTCGTCAAGCTTTGACATGATGTCTTTCATTGATTCGATGTATATAGAGCGTATTTATTAATGTTAATTTTATAAGAGGTTCTCTCAATGACCGGGTGACACTCATATAATAAGGTACTGACCTGGATCACAATCAAGCAAGCACCCCATATCAATGAAGCGATACTTGATTTTCAAAAGGTCTTTTCATTTTGTGGCCCCAGCAACCAAGGAGTAATATAATATGGAGCTTGCCCTGTTGTCAGAGAGACTACATCCATTTAAATAAGACATTGTCATCAATTCTCTTGGGCATCTACTATGTAGGGGCCAAACGAAAGAAGGGAGAGAGTTGATTCCTACAGGGAGCAAACAGCCCGACTATCTATCTAGCAACGAGGGGTTTATGCCTGAGGCATAAATTGCGGCCTAAGGCCACCACAGCAAATTCTGAGACTGACTTGCACTTTTATACAGATTACGTCATATTGACGATTAGAATATCCGTTTCATTTAGAAATGCATATAGAATGAGAGAAGACTGGCATTCTTGAGGGACTAGATATTTTCGAGATCAACAAGATGACGCACGATTCCCAACCTCCACTTAACAATAAGTAAGTTCAGACCCTTCTCCCCATTTACTAATGTTCACTTATGTTCATATCCCAATAAGCCTAATCACCAGCTAATTTTCTTTCTGCAGAGACGATGACGGAAACCAGAATAACAGCAACTGTCGTAATTGCAAAGGTGAGCCCAAATTCTGCAAACAGGTTAGCAGCGCTAAAGATTACTTCGCAGGATGCAATGATGTACGCCTCTACACTATTTAGATCATTCTACCACCATACTGCTAAACTGTATTGGTGGGCTGCTGAAATGTGCTTACAAATAACTCTAGTGCTCCAATTGCAATGACTGTGTCGACTGTTCATTCTGTAGCAACTGCAACAACTGTGAAAAATGCAAGCAATGTTCGAACATGACAAGTTGCACCAATTGCCAGGATTGCTCCAACATGGAAAACTGCACTAATTGCCGGGGTTGTTCCAACATGGTAAACTGCACTAATTGTGAAAATTGCTCCAATTTGAAGGTATGTTTGTGACATGGAGTATAATTGAACAGGAATAGCTGACTGCCTTTGAACGGACAGAACCGGGATGGTGCTGTCAATGAGTCTGGGTAAACAGGCGAAGGCAAGCAATGAAGCTTCGAAGTGTCGGGAAGACTATTGTATACATCGTTGCTAGCGTCTTATCCTAGGTTTTCAGAGCAGGAAGATAACTGAAATTCTAACATAACTTACTCTCTATCCATATCATATCGCTATTAGTTCTGGCATCCGTTTTCTAGAGTTCTACTTGATGGGTTGTGTTGTGTCTGTATCCGAGGGAGGTGATGTAGCGGTGGTGCTTGCGAATAGTCTTCAAACCGTCGAAACCGAACTGGGAAATTTGGACTAAAATACTACAGTTTTATTTATGCGATTATTTATTACGAACGAGGATGTACTTTAGGTGGGCAGGAGATGGATAAGGATCATGGGTATTTCAGGTATATTGTGTAGGAATGGAGCGGTTTGTAGTCCGGGTCGCTATACATGGCCCAATGGCATTACATACATTCAATTTACTTGCTTCGTATCAATTGGGTTATTAAAGGTTTCCTTTCCCTTCAAGATGTATTCATAATAATTATCGATTAGCGATGACACCAAAAGCGCCAAATGGAACCGGTCCTTTTGTACAATGGTGTGATCTAAATATGTCACTTACTCTGTCAATATATGTAGCCTCAATTACTCTATAAAAATCCATGTAACTGTCAAAGTTCGTAGGGCTTTCTCGCAGTATTAATTTCATATTCTGTTAAATTTAATTATAGAGATTAATGGTGTCACCTATCACGATCTTTATACGAATTACTTTATAAAATTAAACGCATTATGTGATCAATGCTTAACCTGGGCTAAGCATAGAGGAAGTCATGTGAGCGCTGGAGCCCTGGACCTCGGTAGCGCTGTGTCACTTACTAAGCGGATACTACAGCCCTGGAGGCCCCGGGGTAGCCCCAGGGCCCTGGAGTAATTTACACATGCTGGTTGAAAACTGCGGCCAGCGGTGGATATACCTAAAGTAGTTTAGCGACAGAGTGTGCCCTTAGTCGTTCTCTGACTTATTCGCAACTATTCTCAGAACCATCTTTCGCCGTCTCATGTCCCTGCAGATCAGTCCTCGAGTGACATTTTACAGCACTATGATTGTAATACAGCGGGCGTGAAGTTGCTGCCTAGATTATATTCCTAAAATTATCTAGTCTAAGTGCGATACCCATGGTTAAATATATACCCGGCCATTGACAAGAGACCCTACAAAATGTGTTCGTCTCGGCTTGAAACACCAGGGCGGCCTGAGCTTAATATAGCCCCTTGGCCGCCCCTCTCCCAAGAAGTTCCTAGAGCGGGAAATAGTGGGGTACAAGTGGTGATATGTATGTACGTACATTAAGGGACTTCATGGAGCCAACTTTGTTCTATTGGCTTCCTCAACCCGTCTCTATCACCACTTGTAAACATAGAACATAGAAGTTGAGGTGACCACTTAGGAAGTTAAAACCATCGCGTGGATAATTAACGCGGTGATCCGAATGTGACACGATGGGGCCGGAAACCTCGACGAGATCAATGGAGGCTGAACTTTTAAGGCTGCCATAATAATGGTAACTAGTTAGTTAACTAGCATTACGTAACAATTGTCAAAATTGCAGTTTCCTAAAAGAGTCGTTTATTGGGAAGGTTACATCAAACTTTGGAAGGGTTGCCAACCTTGAAATAACTAGATATATGATTGGCTGTTTTGTAAAAGCTTACTTATCTTTGATACTGGGTATGTTGCCGTACGGATGTAGTAACTTTGTCTTATGGATTGTCGTGCGAGTCATGTAGCTCACCAGTTAAAGTGTTAATCGATGAGTTTTTCAATTTGAGTGAATCCGGTTTAGGTTAGATCTCGGACGGAAGTAGAGTAGAGGAATCCACAGGGTACCGAAATTTCACCGTCATCATCGGTATCATGCTTTCTTTATATAAATACATAAGATGGGCTCCATGTTTGCTCTATTTCTGTTTCTTCTATGGGTCCATAGATGTTCTTGAAAACCTCAATGAGGAAGGTCTATGATACAGCAGAAAATACCCTGAGCATAAGTCAGTTAGTTCTCATCGCAAGCGTATCCAGGTATGGATATGAGAGGTTCAAGCAGTTGCTTTTTGACATGGCCTTCAGGTTGTTGTATTTAGTAATTGTGTTTGCCGTAGACTGTCGCAATATGCCATTTTAGCAGCTGCTAGGACTTGTTTCCTTCCTGGATGATGGACCATACACTAGTCTGCCTTGCACTTGTAGTCCCGTGATATTAATTATTTCAAAGCACAATCGTTTCAATAGCAGACGGGAATCCGCCGTCAACATGACCAAGAGTAATACAAACTTGTGATGAGCAAAAGGGAGAAAAAGCATCGATTGTGACTGATGCGTATAGTGATGGAAGAAAAAGAAGCTTTCTAAAGATCCAGATTTTGAATAAACTGGTGAAGAGGCGGAGTCTCAGGCCATCAACAAGTAACTATCAACGATATCTCTCTCTTTGCTTTCCTTTATATCGGCGCTGTGAGGACTTACTATTCATAGATATTTCATCTTAGTAGCCTGTCAATCAAGCATACAAGCAGGGTCCGGTTCGCTGGTGACCTTTCAGTCAGCAGACACAGAGGTAATCGACTATTGGACCTTCTAAGTCCCCACATGAGGGGTCGCATCATGAAGTCGGTCTGGGGAGCTGGAGTTTCAGAGGATTATCTTGATAGCTAAGGTTAGGTAGGCAACAGTATTCGACTCACCGAGGCTAATAATATATCATTAGAACCCTGCCGATCACGGAGAGACGGGGCGGGAGGGTCTACCGAACAGTGTTGTATGCTGTGCCAAGAGGAGTGTCTCATTTGGTATTCCTATGGGTTTACCACTTCTGTTCTGGTATTAAACCACCTGCTTGAATGATAACGAGGACTGCACTTGCATACCTAACCAGATTTGCTAATCAAATGGTCGTCACACAAAGAAACTATATGAAGCACATTAGGATATTTCTCTAAGTGTTCCTAGAAGGACCATTATATAGGAACTAGTGGCTTTTCTAGACCACTAAGAGCGGCTATTAGCACATAAAGTGTCTCCAGTATCGTTCTGTAAATGTAACCGCGGACTCCTTATTTTTTTCCATACTAGCATATTGGTATTCATTTTTTGAACGAGTGAACAGTCTCTTACCAAAACCTACTTTTGCCCATTGCAAGTCAGTCTTTCGCTTCATTGACGGTCCTTATTCCTTCATGTGCTTAGCACTGTAATCATATTATCGCATCTCGCTCGACAAGCTATAATGATCACCATTTGGGGGAAAGGGTGGACAAGGTTCATGGCTGTTGGGATTCTGTCCCTCCTTCTCATCTTCATCATTCATCTCCTCATCTTCGCAAATCACTTTTCCAATCCCGGCGAACTGTCCGCTTCAATGGACGTCATTACCGCGTGCGCTACCTCTAACTTTGAGCACCCCAACGTCTCTCATTCTGTCGCCGTCCCACAAATACCCAACGTTGTTCATCAGATCTGGAAAACAAATGACCTCCGAACCTACTCTACGGAAATAGACCCATCGCACGACGAGTGGAAGCACACACTCGAGCCCCTAAACTACACGATCAAGCTTTGGACAGACGATGACATCCTCCAACTCATCAAGGGAAGGTATCCTTGGCTTTTACCGACGTATGAAGCCTACCCCCAAAACATACAACGTGCCGACATGGCTAGGCTGCTTGTCATCCATGCAGAGGGAGGCATCTACGCAGACCTCGACGTTTACCCGACCTCGGCCACTCAAATACAATGCCTCCAAAGTCTCAACCTGGAGGCCATATTCGCCCCAACGTCGGGAACTCTTGGGCTGAGCAACCACTTCTTCATGGCGGAGCCCGGATCTCCATTTATCCTATGGGCGCTATACGAGGGCAAGCGCCGCGGCGGCGCTGCGTCTCGATTCATCCCCCTGCCGTATCTGCGAGTCTTTTGGTCCACGGGGCCTACGATGGTGACAGCGGCATTTCGAAAGTACGCGTGGTTATACGGCACCCTTCAGCACAGCTTGGGCGTGTTGGATGATGGATATTCGGGGGCGGTCATACAACACAAGGCAGGCAGGTCGTGGCATGGATCGGACGGGCGGGCCTTGAACTACATAGCGGACCGTGTAGGGATGAATAGTTTGATAGTGATCGTTCCTTTTCTTTCCATTATAGTGGGAGTGGCCTCTGTCGTGAGAAGACATTGTTTTTGAACGGCAATCTTGGAGTTTTTTACGTACTGGGACATATTGCATGGGTGACAGTGGAAGAACCACGTCGGAAATTTGGTGGACCTGCGTGTAATTTTCTAGGTCTTTTGGAAATCGGAGTTAGACATGTCATAAGATTGTAAATATGAAAGTTGCTATTTAATTGGCGAGTTTGATATTACTATTATAGGACGATTTAGGGCAGGTCTGAGCTGATTTCGAGAAACGTTTACCCTTTCCGATCTGACTGAGTGGAGCTGAAACTACAAAAAGGCGAAAAAAAAACATACAACAGTAGGATTTGCGGGTGGTCACCCACCCACCTGCTAACTCACCGGCGTGTGGTTATGTGCAGCCAATAATCGGCTGGGTGTCCTCTCCTTTCCCTTCCCTCTCCCCTAAACGACAAGCTCAAGACGCTTGAAGGTCTTTATTGAGGCAGCCTTACTGCCTAAGGGGTGTAGGACCTTTTCTCCTACCTAGTTGATCTTCCTTCCTCTCTTTTCTCAGTCAACAGCTAAGTTCAACCTATTGTTTCTTTCCCACCTTGCTTTCTCCACAGGCTATAATCCCTTTGTCCCATCGTTTCTTCTAAGCTTACACACATGTTGATACGCATACAGGGGTAGTAGACCACCGGGCCTTACTACTTGGGGCCCTCGGGCGCGAAGACCTCGCTTCCACCATTTTTGACGACGCCAATATTTTACTCCTAATGCGTAATTACAACCTTTTCGACATCAGCACTCTCACCGTGTCGCCCATTCTGCCATCTTTCGACGAGATACCCCTTCAACGCGCCGTATCGCACTTTCGATCACGTTCTTTTTGACCTCGACTACCAGAGGCAGATCCAGAGGTAGAGCTAGAGCTAGAGGTAATGCCAGTGCGAGTGCGTGTGCCAGTACTAGATTCGACCCTCGATTTTTGAACACCTCCAACCTCGTCCTCGGTTAAAACACCATCGAAACCCCAATTTCAATGTACAACCAATCGTGCCCCGTCCTACCTTGGTCAGTCCACCTGAGCCAGCGCTGAAGCTAGCAACGAAGCTAAGGGCTGGGAGCTAGAGTAGGCTACAGCCTTGCTGTTATCGAACGATATTAGCAGAAGCAAGTGTATCAAGTCGGACTATTCCAAAGGGGGTTCGGAGATAACAAACCACCAACATACGTTGCATCTAGTCGAAAGAGGACTGGGCCGAGTATATACTCTTGGAGCACCAAGCTATTTATACGAATTTACTTTGATTGGATACACAAGACCTTGCGAGATAAAGCTCTTCAATCGTGTGATGAGTACTGGCTATGCCTCTATCAATACTTTGGCCTGGTTTCCTGGCGCCACCTGAATGGGGAAGTCCATGCACAGATGCGCCGAGTATGCTGTCTGTCTTGGTCCCCACAAGTGCAAGGCTAATGTAGACAATAGTTTCTCGGATATGTATTCCCCGCCGAGGGCAGTATCTCTAGAGGTACGAAGAAAATTAACACACTGGATCTGGACGTCTTCTATGTCACCCATCACTAGGTTCATTTGACATTTTGCCGTTGTGAGAGTATGATCACTTAGTATGCCACAATCAGCTCTGGTGCGCTATCACTGAGACTCAACCAGGGGTTCTTCTTCTGCAGAAGCCGTCTCTGGCTAACAGATCATCTCTAGGCAAACGTAAGCGGGCCCAGAATCTCTAGAGTGACCTTTTCAAACACGTTTCGGTGGATAATCTTTTAGACTCCGTTTGCTACCACGATATCGAGCTCTTTTTACCTTCAAGACACAGATATCGAACACGATGTCCTTTGTGCAATCATTGGATTTCACAAGCTCAAAAGTTGGCCAGAAGTCGCTGATAGGTAAGGCATCTTCAATCTCCTTCTCCTAGACGCCTAGCTGTTGCCGACGCTGATCCTTTTTCTCAGAGTCAAATTTGTTGAGACCATCTCTGCCTCAGGTGGATAGGACATTGCTCACCTTGCTTGATATTCCTTCCTCTCTCTCTCTTAGCCAGCTAGCTCAATACAACCCATGGTTTCCTTCCCCAATACAAATCCTCCATGCATGGGGATTACCAACTTTCGCACAGCCCTATCAACCAACTTATCTCACTAGCCTTCAGAGATGGTGCTTTTCAATTCTGCGTTGACACCCGACCCGATATGCCGCCTCCGAGTTCCGAAACGCAGTCAGTCACTTCCTATCGGATGGAAGATAGAGATTCTAGATACCCCCTCCTTTGACGCCTTGAGCGCACTCCATACGGCTACGAAGACCATACGATCCATCCACAGAAGTCTGTGGATCCTTTCTGGTCCCCACGATCAAGGCTCGACGGTTCTCGATCTCAGCCCGAGTGAAGAATCGGATTAAAGGAGATATGGGGTGTCCAGACTCCGTGACCTTGATCTCGATTAACTCCCACAACAGGAGGGGCCATGACGTTACAAGAGGACAGGGATTCTACCACGTTATTCCTGGATGAATGCTGGCTCCGAAAACGACCGTCACCGCTCCCAATGACGACTAAACACTGTATCGCAGGTAATGTCCGAGGTGAAGCCCTAACTCCGACCGCTCCCTGGAGATAAAATCGTCCAGCGGAGTTAACCACGATCGACGAGAGAGGTCTATATATGCTTAAGTACTTTCACGCTCAATTCCGAGGTTCCCTATTCAATCGTTGCCGATAATAGCTTTCCCTATACTTCTCACTCCCACAACCCATCTTACTCCCATATCACCCATTGTCACTATGGCATCCATCCCCTCACTCCCCGCAATCCTAACCCCCGCCCTGAGCAGCCGCGACGCCATCGCCGACACACTCTATCGCTGCGTCCTCGGGCTGGACACGAGCGACCCCGCCCTTTTTGACTCAGCCTTTACCTCCACCGCGACGTTCTCCATCAACGGCAAGGTCTCCTCGGGCCTTCCCGCCATCCACACCGACTGCTTCGACGTGATCAGCAAGCTGGACACCACACACTTCGTCACCAACATCCGCATCAATATCGACGACAGTGGCGTGAAGGCTGCAGCGACTGCCTCGTCGCTCGCGCAGCACTACAGCGGTGGGAAGGGACTTGAGCCTGGTCAGCCGCGTCTGCTGACTGGGGCGCAGTATTATGCTGATTTGGTGAAGGATGAGGGGAGTGGGCTGTGGAAGATTGAGGTCTTTAAGATGACGACGTCTTGGGCGGAGGGTGATTGGGCAGTGATCAACGGAAATTGAAGGATTAGAGGGTTGGGAGAAAGCGGAGAATGCTGTGTTTTAAGTTACAGGATCGCCGTTGAACCTTATCCCAGCGGGCCGTTGGAAGTCAACTATAAGGGGCTCGAAGGGCGTGGAACCATCCTGTCTGCATTGATTCGAAGAAAGAATGGTATACCTGAATGTACCAGAAGCACGTAGTACTGTAGTCGAGCATGAACACATTATTGTATTTTCCTTCTTAATGATAAAGAATGCTATTAAGCTTACACAAGTGATGGTTTGGCAGACCATAACTAGTAGAAAATGACAGAAATCTGGCTGTACGACAATGTATGGACAAAATCGGAATCCTCTAGGGGAATTTCCACGGACATGCTTAGTAACGGTAATATGCACTTTTTGTATGGGATCTGCCCATCTATCGGTCCCGCGTTTTTCCGGGTAAAATACCCTGTATTCAACCATGTATTTAACACAGTTTTCGACACATCAGCTTGTAGAGCCAATTCCTTCAAATCTGGCCTTTAAAACAGCCTCTATTTTTCTAGATTATATGACTGATCTCTCCCCTTTAATCTCTCCACTAGATCTCTCTAAATCCTTCAATTCTACATTCTTTTCAAATAGCCTCTATTTTATAAGATAATGCAATGCGGTACAGGCACATGATCAACTGTGCTTGATAACTATGCTGCAGAATCAAGTCTGGAGAAAAAACCTTGGAACACTACCACGAGGAAATCTATGCTACCCTAGGAGCGCCCACTAAAATTGTATCAAAATATATATACATCCTCGGGAATAAATACATAATTTCAGTCTTGCATCGCAACATAAACACGTGACGGCCTTCACATTGCTTCTAAATATGTAACAGGGAAGCTGAGAAGGGGAAGAATAATCTCATTCTAGCTAGCTAGGAGCTATACTAAAATACAGGAAAGACAGAACGGCACGTGCCCCGGAGGGTCACAAAAGATATGGGAAAGCACTAGAGGGGACTATGCATCCATTGATATCAACCGGCGAATTTCACATAGCGTTTAATCGCTCTTGCCGTTCTTGTAGGTGCCAGAGTGCTGGGCCTTTTTGCACCAGCCATAGTGGTTACCGTTGTCGCCCTCGGACTCAGCGTCGCAGTTGGGGGTCGAGCTGGGGGTCGAGCTGGCGGAGGCGGACGAAGGCTTGGAGGTAGTCGATGAAGCGTGGCTAGTCGAGGGAGTGGACGTGACCGGGGTAGTCGATGGAGTGGATGTAACCGGGGTAGTCGATGAAGCGTGGCTAGTCGACGGAGTGGATGTAACCGGGGTAGTCGAGTAGATAGAGGACGAGGTAGAGAGAGTGTGAGGCTTCTCACCTTCCTGGACAGGGAAGGCGAGGACAGAGCCGATAATGGCCAGAGTGGCGAGGGAGTACTTCATCTTGACGGATGCTGTTTGACTTGCAACGGTATAGCAATTGAGAATTAAGCAAACGAGATTTGGGGCTTATCAGGCCGTCTGGAGGAAGAGATGGATATTTATAACTGGCGATGCTTAAGGACGCATCCGCTTCGTTACGATGTATAATGAGACACGATGCTGGAAAAACGTTGTCATAGCGTATTGCGATCGACCAATGCGACTAAATGCGGGTCTCGTTGGCCCTACCAAGTGGCAGAAACGTGAATAGTGGGACAGGATCGGGCTATTGTTGACGCAAGGTGATCCACATGTTAACCTTAAATCCCAAATGGGTGCTAATCCCTTGCAAGTTCCTTTCACGCATGCTTCCAAACTAGACTCCATCCATGGCACAAGGCCCCGCCGATGGTGTGATTGGCGCGAATGCCGCTATCTCGGACTACGAAACGGGACAGGGACACGATGCACCCCTGTCTATCCTGAAGCCAATATCTGGTGTGTCTGGGCCTTTGCAGACTGTCGAGCTTGGTTGGACGCCACCTCGACCCTCCGTGGCGTAGGCCGGTTCTTCCAGACGTCTAAAGGCTTCTGCCGATCGAGGTACACCTGGACGCTCTATGCGGATGCTATACTCCCACGAACAAGAGCCGTCGGGTCATAGTCTGTCAACTAGCGTCTCGTGGGATTTCAAGTCCCGCGTAGTAAGTCTCGGAACTAATGACGCATGATGTCTCAAGGCACCGTTTATAATTACTACTACAGTACACAGAGCATAACTTATGTGTGTGCCCCTTTGCGAAAGCAACAACTGAACGGTGTCCAATAGATGGACTACGGGCTTGCATTTGTTGGTGAATGTTCTGACTAAGGGACTTCTTACCGCTTGTTATTACGTGATCCAATGCCTAAATGCACCACCACGAGCAGACATTGAAACGGACCATTCGTAGGGAAAGTGGCTTCATATTGGGACATGGAGTTTGAGAAATACCCGGGCGATAGACTGCCGGTGAATGGTTATTCAGATCCTGCTCCCTCTGGAATCAATGCTCATTCATTTGTTCTAAGTGAACACGGAAAAAGGAGGGTTTGAGTGGTTTACTCATTTGTGGCCTAGTCTCAACTTTGATGGTGTTTTCCTCGATATCCACCTAGATTTATGGAAAGATTGTCGTTTAGAGTTTATATAAAAGTTAATATCTAATTTTCAAGGATGATGATCTAGATGGGAATAAGATATTCATTGAGTGGGTCGGATACAGTGCTGCGGATCTCCACACTGAGATATTAAATGGGACATTAGGGAGTTTGACAAAGCAGGATTGTGTGGCGCGTTACGAGGTGGGCCTCAATTACGATGGAAGCACTGTAGTCTTGGTCACACCCAAGACAGAGCTTTTGCACAGCCATACTCTAAGTATGGTCCTGTCCTATGACCCATGTCCCGAAAACGAATGGCACGCGAGATACTTGTGGATATGAAGTTGACTTATAAAATTGACATCATTAGTAAAAATGAAGAAGGGACGATAAAGAAAGGAAGTGATTGATGAAAATCCTGGTTTGTTCGCCAGTCGAGAACATACTAAAGATACTCGGTGGCTTTGCTTCTGCTCGCTCTACCATTTGCCTTTAGGTCCGGCCGGCTTTGGCAGCGGGATTTGTATAAAACCGAATCGCATGTACATATAGTTCAATCTTGCACATATGATTCACTCAATCATGTTGCTATAAAAAGGGAACAACTTGAGCAACTACCAATATACAGGTATGTTTCTCCAAAGACCAGGGCATACGTTAAGAGAATTTCGCGGGGCTAAGTAATTTGGCATAGGCCTCGATCAACTCAGGTCACTATTGCAACGGTTTTCACTTTCAATAAATTGTTCTGCCGCGTTCATTAACGTCATATTGCATTGCATATTCCGTCCCAACCCGCTCAAGTGCCGTTCTAAGATAAAATCTACGCAACACTGATCAAATAATTGCCCAAACTAAACACAACTGGCAAGGCCAGGGCAAGAGAGTCAGCACTCGTCAGGTGGCTATAGCCATGGCCATTAAATCCCTCTGCCGATCAAGCGGGCCGGAGCATGAAAAACCGGGAGAGATAGACATTGCGTGTTTTTCGGACCGAGCTCGCACTATCTCGACTTCTCGGAGAGTTACGTTCAGTATGTATGGAAATGCGAGGCGAATTAAAGAATATTCTAGTATATGATTGGTTGATGGAATGAACTCTAAAAGAGGTGGGGCCTCTTTTTGGCCAATACGGCCAAGGGTAGTGGTGTCCGATGACGCAACGCGGCCTATAGACCAACGTTAATGATCCAACATTAATGATGCGGAATCCCGGAAACCCAGATTAAAAAAAGGGTCCAAGGTACGAATGTCGATATACGGTCAGATAATAGAGCATTATTGACCGTCATTGTACAACATAAGTGAGTCTTGGAAACTCAGTCTAGTACTGAGTCGTCTTCGTTTCAGAGTATATCACCCATCAAAACAAGGAACCTTGAAACTTGACCTTGCCTTCTATCCAGGGTCAACTCACCTCCCATTTGTTCTTGGTTCAGGGCACAACTTGTCACGCTTTAATGGCCACTCCTGATTCGATATGTCCCTGGTTATATGATCTTGTTCAGTCCCCAGGAAATTGCCACTCCAACTTTATTTTCTCCATTCTCCTATCATGCGGGGAACTCTTTGTTACAGTGGGTCGGTCATTCTTCTGGAAATTCCTGGGGCACTGTAGTCATGACAAGTAGGGAAATATTCTTTGAATATCACTGCTACCACGTATTAGAATTTCGCGATGCGCGAGCGTATCTGTTAACTTTTTGATTGGAGGGTTATTCGACTAGTTAAAAGGATGGAAGGTTCCTATCATTCCTCACGGCTATTTGGTTGTACTTCTCATTACTGCCTTCCAATATGTTCAGCAAATTCAAACCTACTCAGGCTTACTTTGGCTTACGCGGTGGATGGCTGACCTTCTGGGTCACTGTCGCCTGTGCCACCGACATGATGCTATTTGGTTACGATCAAGGCGTATTCGGTATCTTTCCCCTTATACACTTTTTCTGAATGCTTGATGCTGACCCCTTAGGCGGCGTTGTTGTGACCAAAGACTTCCTCGATACCCTAAACCTCAATGACAACGCCACCCTCCTAGGTACTGTCACTGCTATTTATGATATCGGCTGTCTCTTCGGTGCCATAATAACCATGATTTGGGGCGAGAATTGGGGTCGGAAAAAATCTATTATATATGGAACGACCATCATGTCCGTGGGCGCCCTCCTCCAAATAACAGCGTTCGGTGTCCCCCAAATGATCGTGGGCCGTATCATTGCTGGTCTGGGTAACGGAATCAATACTTCAACTGCTCCTGTATGGCAGGGAGAAACCAGCCAGGCTAAATGGCGTGGCAAGTTGATTGTCATCGAACTCACTCTCAACATAGCAGGGTTCTCCCTCTCTAACTGGATAACCTTTGCTTTCTCTTTCCTCCCTGGCCCTGTTGCCTGGCGCTTCCCCTTAGCGTTCCAGTTCGTTTTCATTTTTATCCTTTACGCAACCGTTCCCTGGTTGCCCGAATCACCTCGTTGGCTTATCGCCCATGATCGCCCCGAAGAAGCCCAGGTCATCATCGCTGATCTAGAGGATAAACCTGTCGATGAACCATATGTTATCACTCAACACACTGAAATTGTGGCTGCTGTTCAATATGAACGCCATCATGCCGTATCGTGGGTTGACCTTCTACGCGGCAGAACTAAAGAGGGTGGCACGTGTGCTATTCGGCGGATGATCTTGGGTGCTGGTGCACAGTTCATGCAGCAGGGAGCTGGTATCAACGTGACCAGGTAGGTGGCGCATATACCCATTGGGGGTCGGTCATTCGCAATGTATACTGATGACTTGATCAGTTATTATCTTCCCACCGTGCTCATGAAATCCGTTGGATTATCCGAGACGCTGGCCCGGCTTCTCGCAGCCTGTAATTCTATATCATATCTCATAGCAGGTACTGTGGGTATTGCAAACATTGAACGCTGGGGCCGAAGACGCCTATTTATGAGCTGTGCTTTAGGCCAGGGTCTCTGCTACCTTCTCATCACTATCCTCCTGCGATTTAATGAAAAAGAAGGATATGCTCACTCAAAGGAGGTGGCGTCTGCTTCGATCGCCTTCTTCTTCCTCTACTATATCTTCTTTGGCTGCGGATTCCAAGGCATCCCATGGTTGTTGCCTGTGGAGCTCAATTCTCTCAGCATGCGAACGAAGGGAGCCGGCTTGGGCACTGCAACAAACTGGGCGATGAATTTTCTGGTTGTCGAGATCACCCCCATTGGAATCGAGACTCTGCGTTGGAAGTTTTACATCATCTGGACTGTACTCAATTTGGTATTTGTGCCGACTATCTATTTCTTCTATCCTGAGACGGCGAATCGACAGCTAGAGGATATTGATTTGTTCTTCCGAGACAACCAGTCAGTGTTAATTCACAACAACCCGGAGGCTGTGTCGCTTTTACGACCAGAGCGGTACATCGAGACCGAACAGAACTTGGTACATCTGAACAAATCAATTCCTGACACAAAGGAAACAGTGTCTGGACAGGGAGAGCATATGGAGGCTGTGTAAATACTTTTTGACAGCCAATGCCTTTAGATTTTCCGTCGTTTCCGTCCTTGCCGAGAAGCGATCGACGGCGAGGTCCGAGGGATATGCGAGATAGAGCTTCCGTTCCTTTTGCTGCGTTTCTTTTGCTTCGTTTCTTTTGCTTCGTTTCTTTTGCTTCGTTTCTTTTGCTTCGTTTCTTTTGCTTCGTTTCTTTTGCTTCGTTTCTTTTGCTTCGTTTCTTTTGCTTCGTTTCTTTTGCTTCGTTTCTTTTGCTTCGTTTCTTTTGCTTCGTTTCTTTTGCTTCGTTTCTTTTGCTTCGTTTCTTTTGCTTCGTTTCTTTTGCTTCGTTTCTTTTGCTTCGTTTCTTTTGCTTCCCTTTTTTGGAGCTAGATTCGACTTAATTACTGTCGTGCTTGACGCGCGAAACTTTAGGTTCCTATTTTTCTAAGCCATTATAGATACGGTATAGGTCCAATTCCTGGACAAAGCAGGATCTAGAAACAGGAGAAATGGGCATTGTCAGTGTCAAATGTCTCATGGATATTCTTTTACCTTGTAAACCGGCCGACATTCCGAAGCATGGGATGTAATGTTGTAACCAATCCGTCGATGCTCCTAGGGAACTATTTTAGAGTTTCTTTTCTTTTTAGAGGAGGGTTGCCTGTTTAATCCAACTTACTACTTTAATTCAGGACGACGCCACCTATGCAATCCAATCATTGTAGGTTTGTAACATGAGCCCCCCGCCACAAGCGCAGTCTCGTTTCGAAAGGACCTCTTGGCGCCATCTTATTTCGATTAAAGTACAAGGGAATATACTTCCTTCGAAGGTCAAGATGGTTTTCACTGGATGAATTGAAACTGGCTCATGTGAGATACTTACAGCGATTTTCATTGGTCAGTGGTTCAGTGTAAGCCGGTGCCTCGCTGAAAGTCCAATCACGGCCTTGTCAGGGCGTAGCTCCAGCTCTCAAGTGCTTTGACCTACGTCTAGATGGCATTAGCCGAGTGCTGCTACCCTGGCCCGAAAGGCAATTGGCTATAGCATGCAGGTAGTGCTTATAACCATTTCGATTTGTATTTGTGTCTGACAACATATGACCTCTAGGAACGAGTTGCCAAGCGTTTATCCCCTCATGCGTCAGATTATAACAAAGTCGCTAATCATCTTGATCTTCACTTTCCCGACTCTTGAAATACTGATACGACATGATCGCAGATTCCAGCAACACATGAGGTGCAACTCATTCCAATAGCAGCGGCTTCAGCTGCGGATACTGTTCCTGCCCTTATTGCCAGGGTTGATTGTATACCACAGCTGCCACATGAGGCTATGACAATGAATGAATCGCTCATAGCTGATATCTTGTGGAACCAATATCTAAAAGACATGAATTTATATCAAATAAAGTGGGGGTGAGGACACTTACAATAAAATTGATGTTGGGTTGAAGAGAATGAAGGAAGAAAGTAGTAGGAATCAAACCACTATCAGTGTGGAGATGAACGGAATTGCACAAGTTGTTATAATTCTGTGAATTGTGAAGACAAAATAATGCTGAGCTACTCAAAAGGTTCTGCTCCTAACGGACTGCAGTGTTGCTATGGCTAGGCGAGATTGTGAGACCCTTGGGGGATGTATAGAAAAGGTGAATAGTGTTGTAGTAAGATAATGTATGGGTAGTTGTAGGAGGAACTAACTATTTCCAAGTCCAGCGGGGGAGTTAAATATATCTGCCCAGGCACATGTGATCACTCAAGCTGTGGATCACCTGATATCACCTGGGCATTGGGCAGCATAATATCATTATTACTTAGTATGTGCTTGACGAGGCTATGTTCCGTCCCTCGGAAGAAAATTATACCCCTCGTCGAAGAAGGTAGAAAGATTTCAGCACCGAATGCGAGAACACACATATCGTTAAATCGCCTGGCGCGGATATCATATTACTCGTATCTACATAATTCTATAAAAACATAAAGGTGGCCGTAAACATCGCTGCGACCAATGCCATCAGGCCCTGCGCACCAGCCGACTCCTTGGTTATCAGCCCGCTAGCGGCTCCGGTGTGGTTTGCTGACCCATTGACTGCAGTTGGTTTACCTCCCACTCCAAGTGGCAGTCCCTGATAGCCAAATGTCAGGTTCTGTGCAATCGACTGATTATAGCACTGTCCATTCGCAATATCCAAGTTGGTCAGGTCAGCCGAGTGCACGAAGAACATGTACATCGACTGCTTTAAGTCCTTGAATCCGGACGTGTCGTATGGGAACTTGTCGCCCGGGTCGGTTGCCGAGGTGTTGCGGAGGAAGATGCACTGGACTTGTCCGGGGAAGTCGGTGGCCAGTTTTGGGTAGTCGCGCATGACGTCGCTGTTGCTGGTGTCTGCCACCAGGACAAACTTGCGCTCCGGGAAGGTTTCGAAAATCTTCTGCAATAAGAACTTGCGGATCGACAGAGTGGCAGAGACGTCGCTGAAGTTGAGAGGACGGGTGTCGAAGGAGCCGCCCGGGTAGTTTTTGTAGATGAACTCCATGTAGTTTCTGGTAATTTGCTCGGGGGTGGTGGTCTAAAATGACTATTAGTATTTTCAACAACAAAGTGGGAGCCAGAGGACTTACAAGGTAGTGGAAATGCGTATCGGGGAGGCTGATGGACCAATTGCGGTAAATCTCCGTCATGTCCTCCCAAGACGTGAATGGACGGGCGAAAGAATTGATTAACCCTTGCTCCGGTTCGTAGATCTTGGTAACACGCAGAATATCGTCAATGTCAGAAATGATGGTGAGTCCGGTTGGAGGCACAAGATAGGCGGTAGCATTTCCGATACTTGCACCCTCGACATGAGTGTCCAATCTCTGGATTGCCGAGGTTTCATTTCCCGCAGTAAGACCATTGCTCTTAATCGGCACGAATGTGTCGAAATCACCTTCGACTGTTGTGTTGTAAGGTAAAGTGATGTCTTGCGTACCACCTGTTGTGTTGGAAGATCCACCGCCGCCTGGCTGTCCACTGGATCCCTGACTCGCTGCAGGCTTGAGGTGGATCTTGTTCACTGCAACCTCTGGCTGCTGCACAACAAAAATTTCGGCAGTCAGGTTACGTGCCTGGGCCTGCTGGGATTTAGGAAGGTCCGAGATACTAGTGTTGACGAGGAAGATATCGGCCAAATCGTTTAAGCGTGAGACAGAGGTGTTTGGTTGTTTATAAACGTTTCCGTGGAAGCGGACGTTCCAGCCCGAGTTGGTCCAGTTCGCATAAGGGTCGATGTTCAACACATTGGTTGGTAATGCTTCTAATTCGGAGCTGTGCAATCCGAGGGTGCTCACAACTGCATCTCCAGTCGGGAAGCCCTGGAAGAAGTTTGGCACTCCAGATGCGACCCACGAAGGTAGGCCAGATCCAAGGTCCGAGAGGACATTGCCGGCATCAGATTCAACGTCGCTCAAGATGTTTCGGCCAACAATGGGAGAAGGATTATGCTCGACCGGGGAAGGTGTAATGACGGGGTCGGGCGGGGCGACATTGTTGGCGAAAGCAGTTGGAGCGGGGGAAGCGGAGGCAATTGAGAGAAGTGAGGCCTGCACAAGGCCATGTGCAAGAATGTACCTCATTTTTTCCAAGTACGTTGTAAAAGGGCTCAATTCTAAACAAAAGGCTCCAGATGTCCCAAAGAAACCACACAATAGTCGGCAAATAAACCTTGAAATGGCACTCTGGAGCGTATAGTAGAAGGAAAAGTCTAAGAAACTAAATTCTGCGACATCCAATCTATTTAAACATCTAAGAATGTCCTGAAAATGTCCAAAGACCTTGAAAATGGAAATTAACAGGGAAAATCCACTGACGTCACTGTGGGGGTCTATTTATGTTTCACCCTATTAAGACCTCGACGGATATTATATTCGACGATCTTACCTATCTAGGTAGCATACGGAGTAGAGCACTCTACATATGCTTATTTCCCATGGGGAGTTTCTCTAGGGTTCCCGGTTTTGATAAAACTCCAGGGCTATCAGTCTGGCAACCTTGTGGAGTTATATATCTCTGCAACACGGAAACGCAAACAATCCAAAGTTTTCGAATTCAATAAAAGAAAGTAGTTTTACTCAACATCCAGAAATACAACCTCGTCCTTTCAAAGAAAGGGCAAAATTCGCGAAGATTTAATTTTATGCAACTTTCCAAGGTTCAGTTATATCATGCTTGATTCATCCACTTATCCTGATTGACAGAAATTTTTCTACCCTTCACCTGTTTCTTAACCTCAATACTCAATCAATATCAGCACCACCAAGCTACCTCATTTACAGCCTTGTGATGCATTTCGTCATTTCCGCCTGGGTTGTGTTCTTTTTTTATGATTTATAAGTCCGAGCAAAACAAACGCGACGTACGAGCTATGTATGATGAGTTACAGGCTACCTTAAAGAGGTGACAGCGTGGGGATCGGGCTGAACGTGAAGCGGCCCTTAATCGGTTCCAAGCTATCAAATACCAAATCCAAGCACAGGCCGACGCCAACCGATCGATTCTATCTATAGTGGGCAGTATGTGCGGATCGGCATTTGGTAGCTCTCCAGACAAAAAAACGCCCGCCAAAATGGGGTTTTGCTTGAGTAGGTGGGATAGATTATGGGGGTTCTACTCGAAAGTGTTGCTGCATATCTATAACTTTCAAAGATTCCAAGAAGCTTGCTTCATTCGTATGTATGTAGCTGGGAAGCAACCTTGGACAATTTATAGTCAAGGACTCAGACTGGTGCCCTAAGTCTTGCAGACTATACTGTCTTATCGAAGCTATCCATGCACGTTTGGTATCTTTGATTACCCTATGTGTCACAGCGCCATCTGCAATTGGAGCTTGTTATTCTCAGCGATATAGAGACCATTTCAATGTGTCAGTTGTTTGATATTTGGCGGCAGGCAAGTCATAGCACATATATTGATCGTAATATCGAATCTAATGTAGCATATCAAATCTTTTCCTTGTTTCCTTGTCGTTGTCTTACGGCTGGAGACCCATGGAACCGTTTTCCATCACCGAAACTTGTCGCAAATAACTGCGCCGTTATTCCAGGTCCAGCTTCCTACTCCGGGGATAGCTTCTAAGTCACAAATTTATATCAATAAACAGAATTTTTCATACTCTACTCCATGCTTTCTTCAGTAGATATTTGGCTATTCTGTCAAGCAAGAGACCCATCGTGTGTTGTCATTGATATGGCCATTCCAAAGCATAATTTTCCTCCTCGATTCGACTATTTATGCCTTGTACTCAGGTGGCGGAGCCGAAGCTATCGGTACTATCGGCGGTGCACCGCTCTATGGGTGCGTACCTGCATGGTTACGCAATATCATTCTAGTCTTTGGATGATTGGAGTAAAACTCGGGGGTCCTGCCATAATTGTCCTTTGCATCAACTGCAACACCATGCGCAAGTAGAAGCTGGAGAACCACAGCAGCCCCAGCGGCGTACCCCGTGTCCTCGGCGAAGATCGCCACATGAATTGCCCGACGTCCTTGATCGCCTTTCATCTCAGTATCCGCTCCATGATTCAAAAATATTCGAACCATCTCAATATTTCCGACCCTGATAGCCCTATGGAAAAGCAGCTCTTTGTGGCGATCGCAAGTCTTACTCAGTTCTGGATAACTGCGTAAAAAGACTTCTACCGTCCGGTCATGGCCCTTTTCAACTGCGTACGCGAAAGGCGTGTTTTCCGCATAATCTTTTGAGTCGACTTCCAAGCTGGGTCCGACCATGCGTGTCCATAATGATCGTATCAAGCTCTTGTCGTGCTTTAGGAGAAGCTCGCAAATATCATGGTGTCCCTTTGCAGCCGCCAAGTGCAGCGGCGTTTCTTCCCCATTACCGCCCAGGGTCGGGTATTGCAATCCAGAAAGAGTTGAACTATTTATGTATAGCCAAAGGCTGCAGCAATGCGAAGGAGCCTGTATGTTTCGATGTCTTTTTTGTCGCTTTTAGGATCGATTATAGGAGGATCACACTCAAGGAATAAGCGGACAATCTCTTTGTGACCTGCTCCTACGGCAAGCCGAAGTTCCGATCTCGTCCACGGTGTTCGGATCTGCCCCGCCCTCTAAGAGCGCCGCGACAATGATGTTTTCAGTAGATTGGGATTTTGTGCTCTTTGATTGTCCAGCCATCTTGACATACACAACTTAACGCCTGAAATGAAGTTGGAATGTCTAATCTCATATCGGATTTTGGGGGTTCTGAGCGTACCAAAGTCGACTTAGCCCATCCTAGTACAAATAAGCGAACCCATCGGCCTCGGGAGTACGGAGTATAGGGTGGATCTTTGCGCGAGCCATGTATACCTTCCGCAAAGAATCAGCGGAATACCAAAGTCGGAACCATGAACAGTGTTAGGCAGCAGCGGCCTCTCCAGTCTTCTCTTTGGTTTTAGCTCCATCGTGGTATAGAATGGATGCAACAAAGATACCGAGGCAACAGGTGCCAAGAGGGTGAGTGTTTCAGGTGGACCAAGGTGACCCAATCACAATTTACCAAAGTTCAGCTGGGAGGGTCTAGTGGTCCAATTTAGGTATACTCTATACATATCGCACTCTTATCCCCGTAACTACCCAGCCACTTGCATTTAGTACGAAGTATATTCCTCTCCATTGCTACGTCAACTACATACGAGCATCGGTTGTGGAAAACAGGGCTTCCCGTCCGCTTAGCTGTACTGAAGCTAAAGATATAAATTTAAGCTCCGAGTCCCTTTTTTTACTCTGCTAATATCTGCTTTGGTTTGCTTTATTCTCAAAAATATATTGAAAAACAACGTCTAGAAACGCATCGCACGTGCGTATCACGTGTACGTGAATATGAAAAACGAGAAGGGGAATACGAAGTTCGTGATAAAGAAACGGAATCTGCCTGCCTGGTTTGCCAGGCTATAACCTAGCATTGAGCTAACTAGCTTCTGTTTGTTGTAGAGAATCAATCCTCCTCTCCCCAGGCGGAAGCGGATTACCCCCGCTTCTGCCTACGCCAAGCCCCCAGTTGGACCCTGAGAATACGATATGATAACTTTGGAAATATAAGAGTCTCAAGTTCCCGGTAGATTTCCTTCTCAGTAACCACTGCAATCATGTTGAACGATCTACCCCCGGAAATACTCCATCTAATTGCACGAGATCTCGGGAGCAAAGCTCTTTATCACCTGGTATCCTCATCACGTCGACTGCACACCGTGTTCCAACGAAGCCTCTACACCGATGTGACTCTCTACGAATCGGAGAGTAAGGACCAGACAGTCAACATCTTCCTATACGCCGTGATCCGAATACCGAGGCTGGCTAGCTATGTTCGGTCCCTGAAGGTGAAGTCCTGGGATACAGACAACGCCAACAATGAAAGATATCCCCAGAAAATCGGATTTGATGGCAACCTTGTATACAAAATAGTCGGTGAAAGAACGGGATATTCCGAACAAGAGAGATCTAAATGGTTGGAAGATCTCGAACGGGATAACAGTGATGCCTGGTTGGCTTTGCTTATTCCGCAATTGAAGCAATTGCGGAAACTCAGCCTTATCTGGCCGTGCGGGTCATACTATGTTTTGGATATGTTGGAAAAAGTTGCTATTGAGGAGGAACCGGTATTTCCTCATCTCAAGGAAGCATATGCAGCTTGGTGGGACTCAGAGGGCGGATTCCAATCACATTACATGCATGCGTTCTTCAATTTCCCGTCAATGCGCAAAGTGGGTTGCTATATGTTGAAGGAGTATGAGAGGCATGATGATGATGAGTATGAGTTTGAATCGGATGACTCCGAACTTCCAAAGCGTGAAACTCTCTCGCAACAGTGCTCGAACATAACCGACATCGACCTCCAAGACAGCAATGCTGGGGAGGGAATGCGGGAATGGATTCAGGCCTGCAAAGCACTGAAATCATTCCGGGTTGTTCATGGTGCCGGAGTGGTCTCCGGGGATCACTTTCAGCCGCGGAAAATTTACGAATCGCTTTCGCTCCAGAAGTCGACGCTGGAATCTATTTGGGTCGAGGCTCACGATGGAGTCTATATAGATACCGATGACGAATGGATGGGGTCTTTTGTTGGTTTTACCGCTTTGAAGCTTATTTGTGCTTCCTTGCCCAACCTTGTGGGATTCGATGATGGCAATCTACCGGTACGAAAACTTCGAGGTGTTCTTCCTTCCTCGTTAGAGACATTATATGTTTCAGTCGATAGGGAGGAAAGCTTTAATAGAGCTATAGATCAGTTGGTGGAATTGGCTGCCTCGAAGAGCTTCCCCAAATTGGCTGCGATACATCTTGAATACTACCACCTTAGGGAGCCGAAGAATGCTACAAGGCTTGAATGGTTGGAGCAGAGGTGTCAAGAGGCTGGTGTTTTGTGTGTTCCCCATGACTCGAAAGGGTGGGTACAAGGGGAGAAGCAGATGATGGAAGTTATTTGGCCTTATAACGAGGCTAGCTTGCTTGGATGGTAAGATTGGAAATCAATAAAAGAGTATCTGGGTACAGAAGTTGATAGACCAATATTTCCTCGTCCAATCAGCCGTCTTTCTCTCCATATAACCTCTCGTCTATTCGTAGATACGGTTTCACCGTATGACTGAGTAAGCCCTTCTGTCCCATCTGCCTTCGGTAAGGAACCTGATACCGCAGTTGATGTTTCCGCTCCCCTAACCGCTTGGGGTACAGTCTCTGGAATATAGTGCATACGCTCCCGGCGGTTGCGACGACGACCGAATGACTGCTCATGTGGCGAGTAAGCGCAACTTTTCGAGCGATCGCGTCTCATGCACTGTCCGTAGGGAGTCAATCCATCACGATCTGTTTTGTCATGCGGCAGTAGAAACACGGCTTAGCGATTCGCTTGCGAAACCTCGGGTCAACTTTGGGTCGAGGCATTGCCGTGGTGAGATGTGAATACAAATGTATGCCACTTCGTAGAAAAGGTGATAGATCAAGAGAGAGGAGTGTAGATTAGGATAGCGCTCGACAGTCCGGACCTCAGAATGATTCCGCCCCGCCCATGGTTGGTCTGAATTACTTAAAGTCCATCAGCTCAACCTTGGAAGCCGGCTGCGTACCAGATCCGCACCGGATACTCCTGCTGTTCAAAAGGGACATTCCTTTGGAGTTGTTGCCAACTAATTTCTAAATCAATTTCAATTAGAGGCTATATGAACCTTCCCCACATATAACATGATACATACGACCATAGGGTGTGGAAAACAGGGCTTCCCGTCCGCTCAGCCGTACTTAAGCCACACGCCGGTGAGTTAGTAGTTGGGTGGGTGACCACCAGCGAATCCTCACTGTTGTATGTTTTGTTTTTTTTTCTTTTAGCTATTGTTAAAGATTCGTACGGCATGCTAGAATTTGAGGCTTTTCTTTACTTTTAAAAATGGGTGCTCTTCCGCATAGAATGTTCTTGAAAACCCCCCAAAGCAGAATTTGCATTAAGTCGGCGTGCCACGCAAACAATCCATACCAACCTTATAAAATTAATACCTAATAAGTTAGTTTATATAGGTTCGATCTAAAATAGAGGAAAATACTAAAATTATATATTGATTATTTAGCAGCTTTATAAACACTAAGAGTTTGGTTTTAGACAAAGTTTGGTTTTATCTTAGACAATGTCGGTCATCCCATTGATGCCTCCATTTGTTTGCAGACTGAGCCCGTCTTTCTTTGTTTGGCAGGGTATAAATCCCCTGCTTCAGATAGATTGAATAGATCATGATTCTTCTTCTTCTTCTCTCCCATAGTTAGTAGCCCAACAATATCAAAGTTAGGTTTTGCTAGGCCCAATAGGGCCCCAGCCTAGGTCCTAGGTTAAGTCCGGGTTAGCCGACTTCGACCCGGGCCCGGTTAGATATCTCGACCTAGACCCGGGTTGTGCGGAAGACTAGTCTCCACGACTCTGCTGAACACGCGAACTCCCATACAATCCAATGCTATGCGATGCTCACTTTCATCCATGATGTGCTCATGACTTAATAGTTCGAATGATGACACGATGAGCTTTAATTTGATGTCAGTTCTTTTAGTAAGAACATTTCTATCACAAGGAGAAAAGCATTCCTTGGGTCCCCAGAGTAAAGCGATCAATGATGAATTGAATTCAAGTCATAATGACATCCTCATCCTATGAGGAGAACATGGATTCATAATCGACCTATTAATTTTACGATGATCTAATATTTGAGTCATATGCGTCACGGAGCTGATAATATAAGTATTGAGCGTTGCTGGGATCGTATTTCGGGATATTCCTCAGTCTTACTGCAAAACGTGCATCTTACTCTTAGATATCCCGCCCTTTTATCTCTTGATATTGGCCTCAATATGGTAGTCGGACAAAAGCCCGAGCCGCTTCGTCGGATCATAACATCTCATGATGCTACAAGCGGTCGAGCTATCTTTAGTGACGCGGTCGGGGAGCAGGTATCGTTTACTGGGTTCCCGGTCCCCCCCGGTAAACCCACAACATCAGACTATGCTCTGGCCTACAACACAAGTACATTTCCTGTTCAAGGGCTTTCCCCTCCAACTTCTGCAACCCCGGAGTCCAAAGCCAATCTCGACATTAAGCACTATCACTCTCAGCTCTCGGATCCATCGCCTTTGAATCCGCCAAACGGCACTTCCTGCACAATTATTGAGGTACCTCCGGGTTCAGCGGTCCCGATGCACCGAACAGCGACCCTGGACTATGGTGTCATAATTGATGGCACTACAGAATTAGTCCTCGATTCCGGTGAAAAAAAATTAATGGCAAAGGGTGATGTATTTGTTCAACGAGGTACAGCCCATTCTTGGCGGAATGTGACTGAAGAGAATGACAATTCTGGTGTTTTACGTGTTTTCTTCGTGTTTCAACCTATTGAGCAGGTGCAACTGGGAGGTGGAAAGGTTGTCGGTCAGGACTTGAATCTGTCTCTGCATGAGGCTTAGGTAGCTTACATGGCAGGGGTGTATCACTTGAACCACATGGGATGAAGTTTGCCATTTTAAATCTACTCGATCTTGTCAATTAGTCTGTCAAAAAGTTTTAAAAAGTCCGGAGTCAACTATATACGAGTCCATTCATATGATCGCAGTACTTCAAATACGGCAAGCAACGTAGTTCCTTTTTCTAATACATTATAAAGTCGGCTTGTTCAAAATCAGTGTCAGTCCATTGATTAGTCGGCCTCCTATAGTACGTGTGCTTGCTTGCTCTCCCCACATTCTTCTCTTTTCATTCAAGACTTTTCTATCATCAATTCGCTCGCTTTCCCTTGGCCTTGGTCAGCCTAGCTTAGGCTTCTTAGTGCAAACAGCATAGTATAGGAAGGCTAATGCAGGCCGAGCTTCTCTATGGTCTTCTTGTCTCAGCTTTCGTTTCATAAGTAACAGAAATAGCAAAGTTATGTGGCACGCTCCTTCGATACTAGGTGCGCATTTTCAAAAATATATCGACTCTTCACTTCCATGGTAGACTTTTCACAATCTTATTGTTGAGAGCCGAACTAAAAATGACATTTCAGATATCCATAAAGCCAATGTCAGATATTTGAACTTGTTAGGAAAACTTTTATTCAGCAAAGTGAAGCTCATACTACTGTTAAAGTAGGAGCTCCTGGTGCTGGAGGCGCGGAAAACTTTGTCTGAATGAAAACCTTCTGCATAGACGGTTCACGCTTATTGAATAAATCATATACCGTCTCCATATCCTCGAGCTTGAACCGGTGGGTAACCATATGCAAAGGGTGAATCTGCTCCTGCTGAATGAGCTTTAAGAGGTCATTCCAGTACTTTTGCACGGGGGCTTGTCCATTGCCAGCGAGATGGATCCCGGTCTCCATCAAGGAACCGATGTTGAAGTGATTGCACTGCGTTGCCATGTCAGCGGAATTGTTTTGCCATAGGAAATGTATCACTCACATAACCGGTATATACACCCGTGACACCACAACGCCCGAACCCACGGACAGAGGTAATCATCTCGTTGAGGAGTTCAGACGTGTCATTTTCCATGCCTAGTAATCTCTCATAGTAATGAGCCCACCCTTTCGTATACTCACCAGCGGCGCACTCAATCGCTACATCGGGTCCACGGCCGTCGCACATTTTCTTCAGAGTTGAGGCAACAGACTCGCCCTTCGGGAGATTCGTATACTCAACAATCTCGAGCTTGGGTAGAATCTTCTTGACAAAGTCTAGTCGCCATTTTCCACGGCCGCCGTCAATAAGAATAACCCTATTAGCACCGTTGAAAAAGCTGAATTCAGCTGCCATTTGTCCAACTGGGCCAGCTCCCCAGATTGCCACAGTGTCGCCCTTCTCAACCCCAGTGTCAACAACGGCGTTCCAAGATGTTGCCAGCACATCGGAAAGGTAAAGACCTTTTTCATCGGGGACATCGTCAGGCAGCTGAAGGAGGTTCACATCACCGTAAGGGACGCGAACATATTCTGCTTGCCCACCGGCAAAGCCCCCCGTGAAGTGAGAGTATCCAAACATGCCTGAGGCGGGACTTAGTATAATAGCACCGCTAACATTAGAATAGCCATTTAAAGAGGAGACATACCGGCTGTTCGACGCCCATACAGCTGAGAGGCCGCCTCGCTCGAATTCGTCCGCTCACACATTGAGGACAGCTTCTTCTTGCAATAATAACACTCCCCGCAGGCAATTTGGAAGCTCGCCACAACGCGGTCACCTACTTTAACCTTCTTGACTGTCGGCCCCACGCTTGCGATAACACCGCAGAACTCGTGGCCGAGGATATCACCTTTCTGAAGATCTGGGATAGCCTCTGCAAATCGGCAACAGATACCGCGTCAGAAGATCCACTAACACTTTATTAACTATTATAGAGCTAAGACATACCGTGGAACAGGTGCAAGTCACTCCCACAAATGGTGCTGCCCGTCACCCTAAGTATGACATCGCCTTCATCAATGATCTTCGGGCGAGCTGTCTCCACTATAACAAATTGTATAAGCAGGGAAATCGAATTTATTTTGAGAGGGTCAAAGTGAAGTGAAGGTCGTGATAAGCAGAATGACTGACCGATTTTAACCGAATTCTTCCCTTGCCAGGTCAAGGCTTTCATCGTATGGCTTAGGTCGCCGTATCCCTGAGCCTCATAGTTGCTGACATCTGTGGTGATCGAGGTAGACATAGTTTATTTTTACCGAAAATCTTCTGGTCGAGTTGATTTCCGAATGTAATGGTTTATCTTCATTTAAATTGGTTTTGGGCCGGACGCCTTTATGACCAAATCGCATAAACGAGGGATATATCTCTCTCACCGGACAGCCGGGTGTCTTCGGGAACCTGACATCATTTTACATCACCATGATCGTATCCCGACGTCTAGGCCAAACCTGTGAGGCGATCTTGGCATTATACACGTTGATCATTTAGATGTATCCTTGGTGAGACACTTCACCTTTACGTGGTTCTAGACTGGTTGGGGCTCATATGACTTCCAAGGTTCGGCTCGGGCTATTTCCGACAGTGCTAGAGAGGCTACTCAATAAATCCCTCAAAGACGGACGCGTTAGTCGAGCCTTAGAACACGAGACAAAGCGATACCATCTTAGGCATATACAGGTAGTGTCTGATATTGTTGATTACGATGGAATTTAGATACTTGAACTGGGGCAGTACTAAGTAGGGACCACCTCCTCGTCTGCCTAAAGCCTATACTTTTATTATATCCAGATTCATCCACATAGATAAGGTAGTAGGAACGGAAAACTGAGATAAAGCGAAAGGATTCATTACGCAGGTCTAGATTGCGCTCTCTAGCCTTGACGCGTGCCGTCTTTTTTGACTAGCCTTTAGATGTAAGGAGCGCGGCTGATGCTAGATTTTGTTGCTTATATATCGAACTTATCCCTCAGAAAAATAGCCCTCTCGTCGAGGTACATATTAGGCTTTTCGAGCAGGTGATCGTAAAGACCTTCTAGCATGACTGGAGTGATGCTTCGTGGTCGGCTACCTTTATTGGGCGGTGCTTTGACGTTGCTAAATATCCGTATATTGGAAGAGATTCTCAGGATGGTACTCATGTTGCAGCCAGCTGCCTCTGCCATCTGCGATCTAGATAGTTCTCCACTGCGGATCATATCAGAGATAAGCTCATGCTTTGTTTAGCGCCGTTCTGGTAGTGGCTTGATTGTGAAGATCTCCCGTACGGAATACCAAGGAAGAAGATGGTTGTCGTGGTAGGGTATGGAGGTGTCAAATGTACAGTGGCGTTTCATTAATTGACAGAAATCTGGCAGTACGACAACGTATGGTCAAAAACAGATATATTGCAATCTCTAACTAAAATGAGAAAACCCGCGTTTTCAACATTCTGTGCGAACATCGATGACTAACTGTATTATGCACTTTTGTATGGTATGGTTGGTACCAGTTGTCACATCCGTGGATGATTTTCTGGGTAAAATACCCTGTTTCCACCATGTATTCAACCTTAGTATTCGACATAATATTTATGCCCCAGTACTTCCTCCCTTGACCGCTTTTAATGCCGCCTACCTATTCCTCCTACTTACTGCACCACCCCAGATGCAACCCCTGGACCATCTATCCAAAAGGGGGGTCTGTGCTTTTGTTCTATCATCGTTTCAATCAGATCGGGCAATTACGCTGAAAAACAGGAAGTTCATTGGTTCGTGTGTAGCTCATTAAACGATAATTTATATCAAAGGCGCCATTTTATAAGGGAAAATGTCATACCCATTCAGTGTTTCCAATTACTCCTACATGCTGGGCATGTGGGAGCGTGATCTGTTTCTAGCCATTGGTCGATACACTGTTTGTGGAAGTTGACTCCACAGCGTGCCTTGCACCAAACCAATTCTTTAAGGTGTTCATCATCCTCCGCATAGTCATCATAATCATCATCCTCATAATTATTGTCTTGATCATTGTCACCGTAGTCATCGCCACCACTGTTCTCGCTCTCCTCTTCTTCGTCCCAGTCCTCATCTTGCGAACTATGCAAATTGCATAAACAAATACCACATTCTCCTTCAATCTCACGGCGATTGGGCTGGGATGTTTCATCCTGGCTGGCCGTATTCCCAATTCTACCGAAGGCGCGAGCCACAGTTGGTGTGCTTGCTGGTCTTGGGCTCGAAATAGAAACAGCGCTTGTTTGGCGAGTGGCTTGGGCTTGAACTGGTCGAGGTACAGTGATTGCTGACTGATTTGTAGAAGATTCTGTTGAGTCTCTTCTCAATGTTTCGTTAACACGATTTGCTGGAGGATTTCCGCTTGACGCGCTTCCCATGCTGCTGGAATTAACGACTGCGCTCATGAATCTACGCTCGTGGTGACGAGGGTTTGCAGTAACCGGTAGGCCAGATTGAGCGACCTTGAGGCGCCTGATCTCTTCCTCGGCATCACGAAGTCTTTGGTGAAGAACGGCAATTATCTCCTCCATATTCGCCTCGGCAGTCTCTGAGATCATTCGGGATGATGTTCTCACTGGCCGTGTATATGGCGTTGAAACAACCTGCGAATCGAGATATGTACGGACTTGTCTTTTCCAACGACGCGCGAGATCCGAAGCTTGGCTCTGGTGGAACCTTGTGCATAAAACATAAGGAGCTAAATTTTCCAGCAGTGTATCGATGTTCCGACCGGCTCGAAGGTCTTTAGTACCCTCATTCAGAAGCATCATTGCCGAACTGCGACCGCGTGCATTCGTGCGGACGTGACAACGACGGCCCTGTGAAGGAGCGTAACCGGCACACCAAGGCTCTTCCTCCGGTTCGAGTTTGATGATCTCGGATAGAGGAGCCATGGGTGAAGTTGCGACATGGGAATATCGGGAAGGCATTATAAATTTAAGGAATTCAGGGAATCTGGAGACAATCGATAGGAAATATACTGTTGGGTATGAAGGTTCTGTTCGATTACTTTATAGCATCTGGAGCAGAACCATTTGTATTAATTACTTTAGGCTGCACGTTGAGCCTTGGAAGAATCCTAGTAGACATGGCAGGCCGTTCTGCCACAATAGCGTGGCGCAGCCCCCGGAATAGAAATTAGACAGCGCTAAAGGATTGAATGAGAGATGCCTGAGGACTGATACCATTGAGCATTGACACTATAAAGCATGGTAGAGAGCTATCTCGGGGCTGTGTTTGCGTCGGGATGAAATGAGGGGCTATCAGGCCTCTGTTGGTTCTCAGCGGCTTTTGATAGGCTCTGAGAGACAGATACATGGAACTTTTGTCATGCGCAGTGACGCTAAATTAAGTACTCTCTTCGTCATTGGCTACTAGTATAATTTTGCGGCTGCCTACGGGAAGCACATGGGAATGCGCATCGGGGCCAATGGCGATCGTCTTCTCGCCCTATAGCGCATACGCCGGTGAGTTAGTGGTGGGGTGGGTGACCACCAGCGAATTTATATTCAATAAGAAATTTGATTCTCTTATTGGTTTTTTGTTTTGACAAGGGCAGTAATCGTTTCACATATGGGAGCTACTCTGTATAGAGTGGCACATGTAACGCACTTATGGGAGCCACTCTGCTCGAATAACTAGCGTTGCCAAAGGCACGCGGTTCCCACTGGATCAGCATGTCACTAGCCACTCTAACAGCACCCTTTGGGGAACTACTAGCCATAACCTCATACCCCACTCATATGTACTACGGTGCTCCGCCTTGCTTATTATCATATAGTGATAGGAATTTAAATCTTATCGGTCTCGACGACGCTTGTAGTCTAGTATAATAACGTAGCCAGCCATACACTCTTATGCCTCTTTGCCAGAGCCAATTAGATAGGTGGCTAGCACCCTAAAGGCCCTAGGCCAAAAGGGTCCTAGGGCCCCTAGGGGATAGGAAGACAAAGCAACCGCAGTGAACCGGGAATTAGCTGGCACTCCTGGCCCTATACCTAAATAATCGGAATAGCCCTCGCAATACCTTACCATTTTGGTAGGAAGTGTGCCCTGGCTAGGATTCGACTACGCCCACGAATGGGATTTGCCAATGGAGAGTCAAGTTTGATTCTCCTAGGCGGCCCTTCTTCTTACCTTTTGTTTCCCATTGCCATTTGAATCCTAGGAGGACATATGTCAACCGGTAGAAGCTAGTATCAAAGAGTTGTGAAACAACACGCCTATGAGAAATAAAAAAATCAGTACGGGAGGAGAAGGACAGGTCAGTGATTCAGGGGCGTGCAGGATATTCAGGTGCAATACAGTGGTGTTTAGGGCATTTAGGTAGATGGGTTGAAGGGGCTGAAAAATAGGGCGGCAAGAGACTTTCCAAGTCAAAAAACTAAAAACATACAACAGTGAGGATTCGCTGGTGGTCACCCACCCAACTACTAACTCACCGGCGTGTGGCTTAAGTACTGCTGAGCGGACGGGAAGCCCTGTTTTCCACACCCTATGGTCGTATGTATTAGGTTATGCAAGGGAGATAATTATATTTTGCTATTGGTTGACAAACAATTAGGATGGCGGAGCGCAACCCCCCTTAGACAGCTTAGGAGTAAACCTCATTCTCGTGTTTTGGCAAAACAACACGCCTATTCCACCCTATCGTACTAATAACACCACTAACTATCATTCATAGTACATAGTACGCCAATTTTGGCAACAAATAATTGTATGACTAGAAATTTTTCTAGATATATATCCCCATACGCCAAGGCACAGAAATAGGTTCAACCGAGCCGTCTAAGGTAGTACATAGAGTGAATTAGGTGAAAATCAAGCTCCTTTCATTTATGCTTGCAGTTAGTTGGTAAAGAAGCCCATCAGAATCGGTCCTCCTCTCGATGCCTTGCTCGTCGGCACATAAAAACAACAAGAAAAAGAGAATTCCTTCAGAACTTCGTAGAGCCAAACAAGCCCGAATAGGCGGAGAGCTCATACTCCAATGGTCCAAATGAGGCACCAGTGACAGTATCCATCGATAACCAAGAGCTTCGTTGTGGATGCAAGCTCATTCCACCTGAATCGATGATAGGAATGCCTTGATCAGTACAAAGAGAGACGACAAGTATGAGGATCATGGACGTTTCCCGAAGACCACCCCAGATACTTGTCACATGTTCCACTGTCATTCCATCGGTAGTTCCCTGAGATCATCTCTCTGATCATTCTGCAAACATGGTCGTCCATGACCAAGGACGTGATAAGCGGAATCATGGGCTTAATTCGGTCTGCAGCTAAGGAGGGAACTCCATTCTGCTCTGCATCGTTGGACACGAAGTTGATGGGTTGAATCGAGTTAGATAGGATGTCGAACACATCCCGCAATGCCTCAGCCTGTTTCCAGCGTTCTGAAAATACGGCGAGAATAACAGAGCATGTTCGAATCCCAGCCGAGATCCCGGGGATGCGAAATAAAGTTTCCCGGCATGAATAATTGGTAGCCCAGAAACAATATAACAGGGTGATTCCCACGCCGAATTGGCTCAGAAGCTAAAGTCGAGGAGTTTGTGAGTCAGTAATCTAGCTAGCAAGCACATAACAACAATGACTACTCACGCCCGGCCAAAGCTGTGCCGTTTGACGGCCTTTCTGATACTGTCGGTGAACCGATATAAGCTCAACGCAGGCTTAGGCGCATTTTTCGCCGACTAAACCATTGACATTCTCCTTCATAGGTCTATGTAAGAGGAGGACGGTATAGTTGTAAGTCATTCCGACCCATCACTCACTAGTGTATCCTTCTGACTGGAGGTCAATATGCGGCTTTAGTTGCATCTTCCATTGATGAAGCTCCTCGAGCATGTGTAAGCGCCAGTCATAGCGTTGAGCAAATTTATCTTCGTAGTCAACACGCATCATGATATTGAGTATTCGCGACTGGACCCGTCTAGCGCCAGTTAACTGGAGGGAAGATGAGACTTGAGTTCGTCGTGGGGCAGATTCCACATCCCTATAAAAGTACGGCGTTGGAGCCCACGCTTTGATTTCATCGTCGCTTAATGCAAATAGCTTGGGTTCAATTAGCTAGTCAGTATATTGATAGAGAAAACCAGCAAAGGGTATTTACCTTAGTTTGGATATTTTCATCTGGAAGACTGCATGGGATATGATAAATCCAGTTAACGAGGCGATCGATTGCGTATGCGGACCAGAAGACACGACGGCGGATTTGAACCTCAAGAAGGCTTGTACTGTCTCTAATCTCCCGTTCGTTCAAGCACAGATGCAATTTAGAAATAACACAATGTCGCATTGTTGTTGAAGTCATCGTGAGAAGGGTTCGAGACGAAGGCGAGTGGAGAGCGTGTGGGGTACATAATAGATATGCTTGGGCATGCAAAACAGGTTCCGGTTTGGCAAATACAGCATCGAGGTATTTCAGAGCGGAAAAGTATAGAAACTGTGAAGTTAAGTTAGACTTGCAATATATACTTCAAAGCATATTGCTTACATTCGACAAATCCATCTCATCTGATGATACCTGGGGGGCGATCAGGAGGCTAACTGCCAAAGCCATTGTCATGAAAAATGATTTCCATTGCTCTTGGACTGCAAGCTCTCGATTACCATTTTGAGAATCTTTCCAAGAATGATGCCAGCCGAGAAATGATTCTTCGTGAAGGAATGGGTACCGAGGGTTCACTCGTTGAATATATGTTTGGATCAAATTTCCTTCTCCCTTCGGCGCAAAATGTGTATCAGATAATCGGTATGCGAGAGATTAGCCATCTTATAAAAAATAGAGGCTATTTAAGAAGAATACATATTTAAAGGATTTAGAGAGATTGAAAGAGAGAGAGATCAGTCACATAATCTAGAAAAAATAGAGGCTATTTTGAAAAGAGGCCGGATTTAAAGGAATTAGCAGCTCTTGAAGCCAAGAAAATGGAAGCTTCAAAAGCTAGGGAGGGGTGTGTCGAATACTATGTTGAATACATAGTTGAATATAGGGTATTTTACCCGGAAAAACACGGGACCGCCAAATGGCAGATCCTATACAAAATTAAAAAAAGAAGTATGTAATTTCAGCTAGACATTTTCCATTTGTCGGGACATTCCACCTGCGCTCAGACTCGGGTCCACAGTCAAATACTTTTGCGTTCCGCATGCGGTTTGCTGCGAGGTCAAGGGATGACACATGAAAACCGATGAACCGGAGTAGTCGATCTTAGCTCACTAACTGTAGCAGAACCACTATTTCAACCTCTTTGTAACGTGCCTAAAAGTCTTAAGCGGCAAAGCGCCAATAAACCGAGAATTTGGCATCAGCCGTGATGCCGTTTCCGGCCCACACTGCAGAACCATCGAACCTCGAATGGCACACTAACGCTTGCGCTCGCTATGTTAGCACCGTAAAGCAATCGCTAACATGAGCCATATTCCAGTTTGATTCTGGTTCCTCGCGGGCACAGGGGATCTGACACTCGCAGCTCAGTATGCCTCATTTCAATTTTCTCGCCAAGTTCGTAATTCTGGCGATCGCGTCTGTGACTATCCTCTATTTATTGTGTACTTCTCAACCATCTACATGGCATTTTAATCGTGTTGCTGCCGGATATCAACATGCGACCACCTACTACACCCGCCCACCCTATAAAGGGAAACCGGCCGAGCTAGCTGAAGAACAACAGAGCTCAATCTACCATCCTACAGAGAGCGCCACGAGTGCAAAAGCATTGACCGGAACGGATACCGCCATAGAGACCGCCGCATATCATGTTCAGGACCCGCATGATCCTCAAGAGTCGGAAGAGCCTCAGGAAGAATTCGATGACATCCCTGAAGAGACTCCGGAAGAGCGACACTGCTCCAAGAGTGGGACACTGTCCCCCAACCCGATCCCAAAGGTCGTAAATTTCATATGGCTCAATCGGACTGAACTATCCTTTGTGAGCTATCTGGCTATGCGGGCCGCACTAGTGTCTCTCCAACCAGACCGGCTGAATCTACATTATACCGATCTCAACGATGACAATGAGTGGTTACGCAAGCTGCACGCCAACATCACGCTCGTCCACCACGACTTGAAGCAAGAATATCCGAAACAAGTCGAGGAGAATTGGCACCTAGCACACGTCTCGGATGTGATGCGGCTAGATATACTACAACGCGACGGCGGGATCTACTTCGATACGGACATCATCGCTCTTCGGCCATTTGACGGTCTTTTGCATAGCCCAAAGGACACAATTCTCGGAAATGAGGGTCGTGACCGCTTCGGGCTCTGCAACGGCATTATTTTGGGGCGAAAGGGCGCCGCATTCATGGACCGCTGGAAGGCAAGCTACAGCTCCTTTGAGGTAGCCGAGTGGAACACCCACTCGGTCATACTCCCAAAGGAGTGGTCTCTGACATTCCCAGAAGAAATTTGCACCTTGACACCATCGGCGTTCTTCTGGCCAAGCTGGGATTCTATACAGTATATGCACGAGCTGCTTACTGACACCCAGGCCAGGAAGTTTGAAAAGACCCTTGCCAGCCACAATGGTAGTATGTACCCACATCAACTCGCTTATCATGCCTGGCACCAAGTGGCGCCACAGCTGGATGACTTAACGCCCGAGATTGTAATGACACGGAACACTCGGTTTAACATGTTGGTTCGGCGATTTATAGAGTAATTGAGAACCACAGAATACTTATCATTCGGCTGCCTCTTGCGTCATCTTCCTCTAGACAAGTAATTACATTCCTGATACGACCAGTCTTCTCAAGTTGCTTTACATGTTTGACGCTCAGCGTCATTCCTCATCAAATTTATTTTTTCTCTTTGTGCATTGGTATATAGGAGGAAGATATGACACGTGACTACCGAATAGGAAAAGAAAAAGGTCTTCACATCTGCTTGACCGGTTTTTGAAATGCAGGTCGCTCGAGTACTGTCATAGTATAGGGGTGTGGGCCGCTTGGCAGTGGATCAACCACAATACCACTGTATTTCATCTGCGTCCTTGGAGAATAGCAACCACGTACCTTTCCAAAAAAGAATCGATCAGAAGGGGGTATGTTTTGAGATGGAAGTCAAGACTTACAAGCCCATTCCAAGCAAAGCCATGAGAATCCCGGCAATACTTTGCTTCGAGATAGAGTGGTTACTTAGGAACCAACCCAGGCCCACAATCGTACATGTCTTCAAATGCCCAGTGACCGTGCTGCTAACGGGACCCACGGCGTCAATTACAGCAAATTGTGACACATTGACGAGACAAGCAAAGAAACCACTCTAGAAAATAGGTTAATCGGTTAGCGATCAGAGTTTTGACGGTGTGGAAGGGTAACGTTAATTAAAAAGAAGTACTCACTGCGATAATCGCGACATATAAAGATGGTGAAAGTCCCGTGGTTGTGGGCGGTGTATCAAGAAAGGGGACCATACACAAAAGTAAGCTGGCGCTCATTGGTGCTTGGTTGAGTAAGAGCTGCATGCTGTTCACTTGCAACTTTTTTTGGTAGCTTCCAACCAGTGATGTGTAAAAGGCGCTAACGATGACACCAGTAAATGCACATATAACACCCTTGGAAGATGTTTCAACGGCTGTATTAGGCGCGGAATATGAATCGGACCAGAATACAATTCCCACGCCTCCACACAAAATAATCATTGGAAGAATGGATGCCTTAGGAATGACAGAGCGATAGAGTAGGAAGCTCAGTAAAGCGGTTGCAGGCGTTAGTAATAATCGCACGAGCTGGTGGAATATAATAGACGAATTTGCTAGGGAGATGTTTTGAAGGACGACTTGAGCGCACGTAAGGACGATCAGATGAACATTCCGACGAACAGAGACTGATTTGGCCACAAAAGCACCGCAGAACGGCCGCGATATTACCCACAAAGTGAGACCGGTAATGAAAAAGTGATAAGACGCAAAGGCCATTTGACAATTGCGTAGTGTTTCGTTGGAGAAAATGTACTTATTTGTGAAAACCTACAGATTATTAGCGAAAGAGAATATGTGTGGCTTTTTGATGCTCACTTACTATTGAAACCGTCGAAACGATATTGGTCGTGATGCACAGCACCAGGCGGAGCTTTCCAGGGGCTCTGTCTTCGTCGTCTGATGTATACTCGAGAGATTGAGATTCCGAATCATCATCTTTTTCAAGAAGGCTCAATTCCTCCGTGTCCGATCTGAAGTAATCGCGAGACCATCCTTCTGCCACCTTGAGTTTTGATCTGAGTTCACGAAAGGTAAACATTTTTGAATGGAGTAAGCAGAAGCAAACTTCTGAACAATATGTGATGTAGAAAGAACTTAGCTACTCGTATAATTAAGTCATATAAGTTTGGTGATCACACAGAATTAAGAATTTCTTGAACTGACGTTTGCAGCCAGATGGGAACAACACCCTCGTCCCTCGTCCCTCGTCCCGCAAATACCGTAGTATTGGACTAGCAATTTTTTTTTCTTTTCTTTTTCTAGTCCTTATATTCTCCCTCTTGGTTAGATTGTCCCCCCTTCTCCTCCCAAAAAAGCACGGCTTTTATAAATAGCCACTTGCTAATATTACGCAATTACTACAACTGGTCCCTGTGACGGATATCTTGTGTTACGAAGAATACTGTCAAATCATGAAATTTCGGAGACTATACAGTTAATCCACTTTTATATTACAAATGCGTTATATCCGTTCCTGGAATGGGTGTGTTTCACTTCTTCAATGCAACGGTTGCTCTATGTGCACTTTTAACAAAATCGGAAAATAAAAAAACTAAAAAAGGAAAACGTCAAAGTAGTAGAAAATCAGCAGCGGCACAGCACGTCACAAAAGGAAAAGAGAACTGCAATAAAACTAGTGAAAATGGTAGCCCCGTGGATAAACAAGCTCTTTCGGATTCACTTCTCCTGGTGACCATGGTGACTCCTCACCCCATTGTGAAAAGACCGTTTCTGCGCCAGAAACCAATCTGTGAATATTGCGTCGCGTGCTGTATACAAGGTTATAAGCTTGTTCCTCATGAACACTTTGGTCGCCGCTATTAATATCGGAATCTTTGTATGCTGGACCCGCTGGTCTATATGTTCCGATGAGATTGGGGAATGGCGCGAAACACTCAATACGCTCACGATCACCAAGGCCACCGCACAATTCAGACATAGCATTGTCAACCGGGGCCTCTATGTGATCGATGGCTAGAGCGGTAAGGATCTTTTTCGCCCCTCTGTTTGTGACTGCGTATCCATAAGTGCAACAGCCTACTTCAGCGCGGTAAATGAATCGCGTCGAGTCTTCAGGAAACACATCTTTCCAGCTGTCGAGAGGGCCAAGCCATGTGCCTCGACGTTCGACCCTTGGGACTGTTGGGTCATCAGGTATGGCGTAGAATTGAGTTTCATTCGCATGTGGCCCTGATGCACATCCTCCAATCCAGAGAAGATCCCACTCAGTTCCATAAGGAGCCTGCTTGGATACCTTTTTATCCCCTTTCAGAGAGTGAAGACCACGGGCAAATTCACGGAGTTGTGCCTTGATGTTCACGTCCCAGTCGGCATCATCTTCTAGTACCAAGGCGGTGGAATAAGAGTTGGCAATGACACTGATTTTCCCACACTCGAATATTAGATTAAACAGCTTAAACCAGAGAGGATAGGAAGCCAACTATACCTGTTCAATACATTCATGTGAGCGCGCCAACATCCAACAGCATTGGGCTCTATGGTTGAAAGGTTGTATCCCTTCCTCGAACATCAGTAAGTGCTTTATGAAGTAAGTATCTGAATGCATACATTTGGTAGCGCTTTCTGCTGTAAGTCTTGTGAGCGAACTCCGTCAACCCAATCAACTTCGAAGCCGGAGACCGAGGCTGATACTGTAAAAAAATCACGCTTGTCTGTGCGCTCTTTTAAACCAATAGCATATATGTGCTCAAACTGATAAAAGATATTAGTCAAACTCAAATCAGTCGATCACGTAGAATACATGAAGCGAATACTAACCCCAAGGGTGGTGTTTGAGATGTGGTCGAAATCTCCATCACGTATGCCACTTCGTGAAAAACGTGACAATTCATATGGCCACACAGTGTCTCCAGTGTCTCTGATAATAAATGACAGTAGTACGTACGCAAGAAACACTGCGATAGCAATTGGAATTATTTTGCGGGTCTTGTAAGGCAATTGAGAAGTCATTGTGAGACACCGCAAGGGATGCTGATAAAAGAGGAATTGTTTGAATGGATTATATGCATCAGAATGATGGGATAAGAGTCATCAAATGTTGTTAAATTACTGGGGATCATATAAATGGGTTTGTCTTGCATTCCTACTACATGCAACCAGTTACTCTCAAAACCCCATTGTCAATAACCGCGTGCGGGCCAAGAATGCAACCACCATTTCCGCAAAAAGCGTCAACTGCCACACTTTATGAAATTAATACAGTGGCATAAGTTGTTGTAATTATTATGAAGATAACCATGAGAAGATGCGTTTCAGGGGTTTTTACGGTCTTAGGTTACCAATTCAAGACAGCACCTTGCCGTGATTCTTCAGTCCGGTCCCAATACGGACTTAAGTGGCTAGAGATTCTTCAACCCCCAAAAAAAAGAGGTTCCTTTGGTTCAAGTCTCGCGGCCTCGCACGAGAGTCATTCATATTCTAGGACGGCAGCTCATTTTTTCTCCGCAAATTTCACTCAACAACGCTTCTTCCAAAAGTGCCTGTTCAATGAAGGCTTTTTTGGCAAGTCAAGTCACTATTTCTCCCACCAAACATCAACGTAGGTCACCCACAAGTTCGTACCAAATATTAGAGTTATCTAAAATATTAGTATTGTGATGAGGAATGTCAGAGTCCTGCCTCTCTCAAGCCACATGGGCCTCCCCTTTCTAGAGCACCACCTCTGCAATAGCGGATTTCGGTAGATAAACCGGGAGTGTAATTTGCGTATATGGGTGTTGTGAAGGGAATTTTTCTACAAAAAGTAGTAAGTATAAAAATTTAAAAACATACAACAGTGAGGATTCGCTGGTGGTCACCCACCCAACTACTAACTCACCGGCGTGTGGCTTAAGTACGGCTGAGCGGACGGGAAGCCCTGTTTTCCACACCCTATGGTCGTATGTATTAGGTTATGTGTGGAAGAGGTTTATAGACTGAGATTGATCTAGAATCAATGGATGAGTTTTGTATCGCGAGTGAAAAAGGTGAGTGTGCAATAGTAAGTGTGAGAATTAGGGTGATAATCTTTCGGGTCGGCACGAAGGCCGCATAGGTCGCTTAGCCCATGGTGATACATTCTTTGGTGTGACCGATGACTCTGAAACACCGGTCTCTTAACATGTCTGTACACAGCCATGCGGTGACTTCATGGCTTGAATCATCCATTGCATACTACATACACTACGGAGTCAGAATCACAATTATAGATAGTTAAAAGTTTTGGTTTGTTATTGGCTTATAGCCTGTCCGAGTGATAGGTACCCCGTTACCCGGCTCCCTTGACATTTTCCTTAGTACTCAACCTACATATATAGGTAACCGTATATAATGATACCAAGATACCAATAAGACAAAATAGCACCCAATCAGTTAATGAATAAGATAAATACAGATACCCGGACTATTTTGAGACTAACCAACGCCGAAAAAGTAACTAATCAATTAAAGAGACATTAGGATGCTGCTCTGCCGCGGACTCAACCCTGGTCATTCTTATCACTTGCTATCGCTATCTTTCGTCCTTGAAAGCAAGCTAAAGTAGGCTAACCATTCGTGGCTTTCATCATAGGATAACGAGATTTGACAATCCAACTGAATTTAGAGGGCTCTTGTTCTTGACACACCTTTATACCCCTTTACAAGCAATGCCTTTATAGCCCATTCATACCCCCCCGCATTAAGAGTGGGAAACCCCCATTGAACACAAAATCGGGGGTCAATCCGCCTATCTTAACCTAAGTTAAGCTTTTCCACTGGAAAAGCAACCGCCGTCGGAATGCGTTATCTTTGTTTCCCCTCAGTACGCGTCCGACTAAGTCCGTCCCACAGCCAATTAAATCCGTTATAGAAAAGGACTCCTCGTGCATGTCTAAACGGTGTATCCCCCTCCCCCCTTCCCCCGGAAAGCAATGCGCTGAGACTGCGCAAAGATTTATACTATGTATTCCAAAGAGTTGGATACCGACAAAATCAAACCCGCGCTCGTCGGAGCGGATGAAGAGGTAGTCGAAGGCCGCTTGGACAAAATCAAGCTGGAAAAAGACGAGGAGAATACAAATGAAGAGTTCAGCTATGAATCGCACCGCTCTCCATTCCCTGAAGGCGTGTGCCTAGCTCACTGTTGATATATATGTTGATGGACTAACAGTTACTACAGTTAGGGCCGTTGTCCCCGAGACGGATGACCCCAGTATGCCGGTCAATACGGTGCGGATGTGGCTCCTAGGGGTTGTTTTTACTATCCTCGGATCCGGTATTAACCAGTTCTTTTCGCTGCGCTATCCGTCGGTTCATATTGTGGCCCTAGTAGCAGAGCTACTTGCGTATCCGATCGGGGTGTTCCTGGCGAAGACCCTCCCTCTCACATCCATCCGACTCGGGCCTTTGGGGACATTCGTTGTCAACCCGGACAGGTCGTTTAATATCAAAGAGCACGCGCTTGTCGTTATCATGAGCAATGTGTCTTTTGGATATGCTTCAGCGGATGCGACGAACATCATCCAAGCTGCCAGCAAAAACTTCTACGATTTTAACCTCAAACCCGGCTTCTATGTGCTCATCGTTCTCGTTGCACAACTTCTTGGATTTGGTGTTGCAGGTCTCGCAGCTCCATGGCTTGTCGAACCGGCTCGCATCATCTGGCCAGGTGTATTATCCAATTGTGCCATGCTAGAAACATTGCATTCGCGAGCGAACTCTATCGCAGACGGATGGCGCATAACCCGTCTCCGATTCTTCATGTACGTTATGACTGGTGCTTTTGTCTGGTACTTCTTCCCCGGTCTTATATTCACCGCTCTATCCTATTTCACTTGGGTCTGCTGGATCGCACCAAAGAACGTCATCGTCAACCATCTCTTCGGCATGCAGACAGGCCTCGGTCTGAGTCCGATTACCTTCGACTGGAGCCAGATTGCCTACAACACCAACCCGCTCCTATCACCATCATGGGCTGCGTTGAATGTCTTTGCCGGCTTCGCGTTCTTCTACTGGATTGTCACACCTGCCCTCTACTACACCAATACCTGGTTCACGGCTTATCTCCCACTCATGACAGCCGACGTGTACGATAACACGGGCGCCATCTACGATACGGCTCGAGTCATTTCTACGGATAATTCACTAGATACGGCGGCTTACCGAAAGTACTCGCCTCCATACTTGAGCGCAACCTTTGCCTTCGTATACGGACTTTCATTTGCTGCCATAACCTCAGTGCTCTCGCACATTGCCATCTGGCATAGTCGCGACTTGTGGGCTGCTCTTAAGGGTCGGAATAAGCTCGATATCCACGCTCGGCTCATCCGTGCCTCATACCGCCGGACGCCGTGGTACTGGTACGCTGGCATTATCGTGGTTATCATGGCGATGACTATCGCGATGGTCGAAGTCTATGAGACTAAACTTCCAGTTTACGGAGTCTTTCTAGCCTTGATCATCCCAATTGTATACATGGTTCCCTGCGGTATCGTACAGGGCATTACGAACGTGGATGCGAATCAGCTGAATGTTCTTGCTGAGTTCATTGGTGGATATTTGTTCGAAGGAAATCCACTCGCGAATATGATTTTCAAGATCATTTCCACGGATGTCGTGGGACAGGGTGTTTACTTCGCTATGGATATGAAATTGGCTCATTATCTGAAAGTGCCGCCACGTACCTGCTTCGTGGCGCAGTTCGTAGCCACTATCCTGGGCGCACTCACCCAGGCGGGTGTTACACTTTGGATGCTTGGTAATATTTCGGGGATTTGCGAGTCTGACCAGACGGATGGGTTTTCTTGTCCAAATGGCCGGACTGTTTATTCTTCGTCTGTTATTTGGGGTCTTGTTGGGCCTCGTCGGCTCTACTCTGAGGGCAAGATCTATTCCCCTTTGCTGCATTTCTTCTGGATCGGTGCTATCGCTCCAGTTGTGACTTTCCTCCTCTACCGTTATACTAGACGTCAGTTTTGGAAGTATATCAACTGGCCACTCATATTTGTCGGAACTTACAATGTCCCACCTGGTATGTCCCGCAACTTGACAGTGCATCTTTTTTTCAATCACTAACTCAAATTCTTTTAGCCACCGGAATCAACTATTCTAGCTGGGCGTTGGTTAACTTTGCCTTCAATCACTTCATTAAACGCCATTTCTTTGCTTGGTGGACCAAGTACAATTATATCTTGGCGGCTGCACTTGATACAGGTCTTGCCCTTAGTGGCATTGTTATTTTCTTTTGCATCTCGTACCCTGGTGCCACTTTCCCTGACTGGTGGGGGAATAACGTGTACCTAAATACTGCCGATGCCCAGGGTGTACCATACATGTCGATGCCAGCTGTTGGGTATTTCGGGCCTGCTAATGGGACGTGGAGTTGAGGCGGGTATTGACACGTCAACCATGGTAAAGAAATTACGCTAAATCTAAACAAGCTTTGAAGCGTTCTAAGGTTTCGTGTCACAAAATGCTCTGTTCGGGGGACGTCACAACAAGCCATTTTTTAGAGATACGACCACTATCACCATTTCGCATAACGTTCCTTGAACTTCGGAGGCAAGAATTTTAGGTTATTCAGGATTTGTGATCCAGTATCTCAATATCGTGCTCTATGTTTCTAATCATCGGTTTTTTCCAATACTAGAGCACGTAGGGACTATACAGCATGTAATAACTTTGGGATATCTCTTGCAACGCTGTTGGAACTATCCATGGATAGGAATAGTGCTTAATAACAGATAACAATTGTAATTGATCGCGAATAACTGAACTAAATACACGAATCAGTGTCCTTATATATCTTAGTCCTTCCTACCCATGCGTAGAACTGGTCCTACCCCCTGATATGATTTGATTCTTCGTATAGACACATCGGAATCATTTCCGATGGTGCGGCTTTGTTACTGATTTGCACCAGCGTCATGCCACAGCAGTGAATAACGAACAACGCGATCAGAGACGAGTTGGACCAATTTAGCGAGGCAGAGGAAGAACTTAGAAACATGGCAGATGGACCCAATACCAACGAAGATCCTGGAGACATGCGCCTAACAAGAGTGTAGCTTTCCAGCCTCTAATTCACGCGCCCCGGGCCAGGGATATACAAATGACGAATGATAGTACACAGACATATAGGGACCCTTCTTCTCCGAGTAAGAAAATGAGATCGAGGATATAAGTCGGTCGGACTTTTCCATGTCGATGTGAGAGCTATGATCAGGATTAGCTTTCAATGCATTTTCACAATATATTTTCCATTTCCACAAAGCGATGAGATGAAAGGTGTAGAACTCACAAAGCCGAAGAAATTTTGCTCTCGTAAGAGCCGGCAAGGTCGGACCAGCCTAGATCGTTGAAATACGTCGACAGGCCCCGGGCAAGCTCGCGATCGTTCTCTCCCATACAAGGGACGTACAATTTCGGATCTGGCTCGGCCGAACCAGCTTTCAGCTCCCAGTTGAAGGTCAATCCGCTTCTTCCATCGCTTTGCTCGGGCTGGCCAAGTTCATAGGTTGAGCGTGACCCCTCAGGAATTCGAAGCCGGCTCCAGAATTTTTTCAGATGCTCCAGGCCTTGCTGATTGCTCTTGCTAGAGCTCAATCGACCGCCCAGTGTCCACATGTCGACGATGCGCTCGAGGGTTACCTCCGGATCGGCGATGTAGATTTTGAGACGTGAGGATGCCACATCGTCACAATCCCAGCTGAGGATACAAACATTTTCCAGCAGGCCTCGCTCCGTCAGATACTCCTCAATCATTGCAAACGCAGGTGAGGCCTTTATTTCAGCACTTCCACTTGCCACTGCATCCATGACGAGCCGACCCGCAGGCACACCGGTAGCGCGCGCCTTGAGCAAGGGGAATAAATACATCTTCAGTGGGTTATTAGACGCCTGTTTTAGGTCCCACGCAACCATGTATTGGGTGGTGGCTAGTCCGGTCTCCTGGTCTTTCAGGAAAGCTTCATCCCGTTTTGAGAGACCCAGTTTATTGGTGAAATGATGATACCAGAACGAATCTATGGTAGCCCCTCCCAGTGCCATCTTCGACAGCAATTCAGGGGTCATCAGCTGGTTGTATGGATCGCGGGAGGTGCCTGCCAGCGAGCTGCTGGGCTCAAAGTCGTATCGCAGTGTTGATTTTCCATTTTGATAGTTGACACTCAGTTCAAATGAGCGACCGCCGGGGACTGCAGTGGTCACTTGGCTCAGTCCTGGGCGAGGATACAAACCCAGAGCGGGGAGGACAAATCGGTAGATATAACAAAGATGTTCGTACTGATCGTGCGTAGAGCACCCCACCAAGTCGAGGAGACGGTTGGTTAAAGGTGCTATGTCATGCCACCATAATTCTTGGTCCTCGGTCCTAAAGTCAAGGGACCTAGAGAGAACATCTTGAGGCGTATTTGTTGACTCCATCGCTCTTTCGTACAGTCGAATTTGACAGAGTCGCACTGTCAATCAAGGGTACGGTATTTATACTCAGACCGGACTTGGAGGATAAATATTAGATAGAAGTCCACAGCTGCAATTTGACAGACCGAAATAGTTTGCACGATGCACATATGCATATGCACGGCTCACTGAAAGCTCATATTACGCTAGTCCTCACTAAGTGGGCTTTTTGTTTGGAGCAATCGAGAGCTATGGAAGGAGGCCGAGCTACGCCGAGGGCTCAGGTGTTCGCGGGAAATATGTGTGTCGATCACGATCCCGATTTGATGTAGTTCGTTTTAATTTTTTTTTAATTTTTTTTTCTTCACGACAATCATACCCACTTAATCCATCATTCAGCCCGCCCATTGCGACGAAAGGCGGAAATTTTCGAAACATACATGTTTACATGTTTAGTTCCTTACAAGCGTGGCCTTGTCACGCCATGGTACAGGTATGTCAAAGTGGCACTCCAGAGGTTTGAAATCCAAGTAAAATGGAAACCTTCGAGATCCTAAAAACATCATTATTCGACTTGAGTTCCGCCAACAAGTCACCTACAAAGCCTCATCAGCCATGATTTGGTTCGAGTGCCTCTGGAAACCTCCATCATTCCTTGAAATGGAACTTCCCTGGCTGCTGGTCTTACTAGTAGCAGGATGTATGATCGTGAGAACGACATATCGTCTCTATCTCCATCCACTGAGCAAAATCCCGGGACCCAAATTGGCAGCCATCAGCCATCTCTATGAATTTTACTATGACGTTGTTAGAGGAGGTACGTTCATCTGGGAGGTGGAAAAAATGCATCGGCAATATGGCCCTATTGTGCGCATCAATCCCCGTGAAGTCCACGTCATTGATCCAGAGTTTTACGACGAAATCTACGCTCCAGGCTCACGCCGGCGCGACAAGGATCCACGGCAAGTGGCCATGTTTGGGGCGCCCGGCTCAATGGCTGCCACTATAGGTCATGAACAGCACAAAATGCGTCGCGGCCTTGTCCGCGGGCACTTTTCTCGCAAAGCTATTGTCAACATCGAACCTCTAGTTCAAGAGAAATTGGACAAAATGATCCAGCTGTTTCAAGGCGCATATAAAAACCTTGGTGTGGTAAACTTGAGCGATGCTTTTGCTGCCCTTACAGCTGATATTATCGCCGTATATGCCCTGGGCATTGACCTCGACTATCTCGACCAGCCTGACTTCAAGAATGACTTCCAGCAGGCATCTGTCGAACTAGACATGCTCTGCCATGTTTTCAAGTTCTTCCCCTGGCTTGCTAAATTGGCTCAAATTATCCCTGATCGCATTGTTCGTTATTTGCAACCCAGTGCTGATAGCATCTTTTTGGTACAAAAGACCATACACGACCAGTCGGTGGCATCGCTGCAAAAGGCATCACAGCCATTTTCAGACAATGAACTGCGAAGCAATATTTTTGACTCTCTCGGTCACTCTTCTGTTCCACTTCGCGAACGTACCTTGTCCAGGCTGCAGGATGAAGGCCTGATTCTTCTCGCGGCTGGCACCGAGACCACGGCTAGAGCGTTGGCCGTTTGTGCGTTTCATTTAGCGACAAATAAGCTGGTTATGCAAAAATTGCGATTGGAGCTGAAGGACGTGATGCCTTCACCAAATGCTCATGCCAGCTGGGCACAGCTCGAACGCCTCCCGTATCTGGTGAGACACCCGCGTACCTTTATCCGCTATGCTTTATACTGACTACGCCCCTAGACCGCAACGGTGAAGGAATGCCTTCGACTATCTTTTGGAGCGGTTGGTCGACTTTCACGCGTGGCCCCGGATGAAACACTCCAGTACAACCAATATAGCATACCGCCGAGTGTATGTGTCAGAACCAACTCATGATACGACCTTGTATTTACTAACAAAATAATCCAGACTCCCGTCAGCTGTTCTTCATACTTTATTCACATGAATCCCGAAATATTCCCTGAGCCTGAAAGCTTCAAGCCTGAACGCTGGTTGCGAGCCACCGAGCGTGGGGATAAGCTCCATCGACACCTGGTGGCATTTTCTTCGGGTAGTAGGCAGTGCGTTGGCATGAAGTATGTATTTTCTGGACGAACATAACACTAGATATGGGTCAGCTAACATCCGCATAGTCTCGCCTACTGCCAAATGTACCTGACCATCGCGGCACTTGCACGTCGGTTTGATATGGACCTCCATGAAACCACAATTCGTGATGTCATGGTTGGGCGTGATTATATTTCGCCGTTTCCGACTGACGGGGTAGGTAACATCAGAGTGACATTTTCAAATGTAGCGCAAGAGTGAGGGAGAGGTTTATACTGAATTATAAACAAGGCTTACGATGAACGATGCTGTTCAGAAATTAAAAGATGTGTCTGGCTAGAACGGTGCAGCAACTGGCGAATGAGAATTTAATGATCTGCTGATGTCTTTCAACCATCTTCGAATGCTATTTTGTCTTCACGAACTTCTACATTAAGTATATCTCCATAAGCTGCAGCCTTTGAAGCGGTAGTGATGCCCCCCTTTTTTCTTTTGCGATAAATTTGGTAAGCAAATTTAGGCGGATTTGACAGGCAAGTTAAAATTACGATGGGATTGAGCAAAAGATACAAAGGAACTCGCTGGTGTACCTACATACCCATAACTACCCTGTTATTAAGTCTTTACCCACCAGCCATTTCCCCACCAAAATCGACCAACTTTGAACCCTATTCTATCAATGAATTTATATAGTAATAGTTTTTAAGAAACTTTTTAATAAAATTTTAATCTCAGATCAATAAAATTCTTCTTTATGAATTATTAAATATGTGTGGCTGTTAAATAGTCACTAGTTGAAATATTCATGTTCGTTGGAATGCAGATTATATATATGTGCGCCCATACTAAACTCGCGATCTATATCCTTTGTCAAGGTTTGAAAATATACAACTCTCTATCTAAAATACTTACCAAAATAATTTATATATAGTCTACTCTGGCTGTGCAATGCTAACTTATTTAAAAATAATTTAAAAATATGTTATGATATAAATTTATGAAAAAAAGATGGCTCAAAGTTGGTCAGTTTTGGTGGGAAAATGGCGAGTGGGTCTGTAGTTCAATTTTATAAAAGACCAAAGGGCTCCACACTGTTGTACATAGGTACAGTACCTGAGACAGTGGGTCCCGTCACGTAAAATACCAAACGAACCTGGGAAGGCACTAGTATAGATAGTATCCACTAGAGTGATAGTCCGATATTCCTACTCCATACTCCGTACAGGCATCAAATGCCGAGCAAACTTGAGTTCGTCGCCACAATTGCGCATAATTCTTTGACTTCATATTCCTAATAGTAGTGACCTCTCGTCAATAAGGGTGTGGGTAAGAACAATCAAAGGCCAGAACACATGTACATATAGTTCAATCAGCTTTAATCCGCCATATCGTATGCGCCATTGGTGCTGCAAAATTTATATCCCAATTCTAGAACAGATCGACATTGTTTACATATGTACCGAGTAGGTGGGTCTTCGGGGATTTCCGCGATTTCCATGATTTCCATGGCGCACAGTCGCGGCAAGCGGCACATAACTAGATTGCCCAGGTGAGTATTTGCTGGGCTGACCCAGTCAGTTTGGGCGATTTCTGGTACAGAACACTTTACACTCGGACGTACCACCCGGCGCTATCAGAAAACATGGATTCTGGCTTCCCAAACTTCCTGATCAAGGACCAGATGCTTCTTGATGGTGACAAAATCATTAAGCCGGCTAAGAACGACGAATTGGCCAAAATCCGCAAAATATCCACCCCAGGTCTCTCTAGGCCGCTCGAAGATGTTCTCAAAGATGCGAAGGAAATCTTCTCACTTGGCTTTAGAGTCGGCAACCCACGATTCTTCTCCTTCGTTCCATCTCCGGCTTCACCCTGGTCCTGGGTCGGAGATAGTTTAACCTCCGCATACAATCCGTTTGGTGGATGTTTCGAAGCTGCATCGGGTGTTTGCCAGGTGGAAGAAACTCTAATCGCCTGGGCGGCAGAGAAGTTTGGACTGCCCCCAACAGCAGGAGGCCAATTTGTATCGGGAGGCTCAATAGCGAATCTGACTGCCTTAACAGTCGCTCGAGATCAGATCTTAGAGGATGGCGAGGCGCGACTCAAGGGCGTTGCCTACATTTCGAGCCAGACTCACTTTTGCATCAAGAAAGCGCTCAAAATCATGGGACTTTTAGATCACCAAGTCAGGACCATTGAAGTCGACGACGGCTTTCGCATGAGTCTCCCGCATCTCGAACAAGCCATTCAAAGTGACCTTAAACTTGGTCTCAAACCATTCGTCGTTATTGCAACCTGTGGAACCACCAACACCGGGAGTATCGATCCCATGAGCGAGATTTCGGCAATCACCAAGACATATGGCATGTGGATGCATGTCGATGCTGCCTACGGTGGTTCTGTGGCTTTTTCGTATTCCCGGCGAGATGTGCTCTCAGGAATTGGTCAGGCAGACAGTATTGCATGGGATGCTCATAAATGGCTTTTTCAGACACACGGCTGCGGTGCCACCATTTTTCGTGAAAAATCGAAAGCACTCAAGAGCTTCGCCACAACGGCCACCTACGTGGAAGGTGTCGACGAGTGCGCGGACCAAAACCCGTGGAACTACGGGATTGAGCTGACTCGACCGGCTCGGCATATGCGACTATGGTTTTCATTACAAGTGATGGGCATGGACCTGATTGACCGCATGATATCGCATGGCTTCGAAATCTCTGAATACGTGGAAGAGGAGCTAAGAAAACGCAGTGGCTGGGAGATCCTATCCCCAAGCTCCTTGGCCATCATCAATTTCCGTTTTGCACCTGAAGAGTTGAAAAAGCCAGCCCTGGACGCTATCAACAGTGAAATCTCTTCACAACTAATGGCTCGTAACGTGGCCGTTATTTTTACAACAAAGCTCAATGGGATGGTTTCTCTGCGCATGTGCACCATCAACCCCGAAACGACTCGAGATGATATTGCGGATGTCGTCAAGGCACTTGACGATACTGCCAGGGAGATCCTCACTCAAATTCGATTGAACGAACTTTGAAAGCATCATCATATTATTCATATGAGGGCGAAGTTTATGTACATTAATGTTGCTTTGATCTTCAGTTTTAGCCCAAAAATCTACTTAGCTAAGTGCTAGATTTATTGATTCGTTTTTTAGATGGTTACAATCGCATCGTGGACAGTAAGAGTCGACATGCCAAAATTATCTGACTGCCCTCGATGTTGCATATCTATTGGCCAGACGAAACTTGAATTTCGAACACACAAGGGGGCTTGGATTGTCCAAAAATCAACAAAGCTTTGAGTATTTCCATCAATACGGAATATATAGCCATGACATGTAATAATGTCTCACTAGAGGTGTCTGCCCTGAAATTCGGCGCCTTGCCGAGCACCTGTATTACGAGCTCGAGGATTTACGCACGTCCAGAAGCTTGGCGCAACACAAAGTAGTGATTGAAGTCTATCTAGTTTCAGAACTATTGGGGCTGGATTAGGCTGCATTGAGCTGCCGTGTTTCTAAGCGAATGGCAATACGATTACGATGGTCCTACGGAGTACATACTCCGTATAGAGTTTGTCAATTAGACTAGTCTATGCAGATCAATTTTCGGGACTTGCGAAAAAGGCCTTCGGTCACGAGACACTAAGAGCAACGCGCCACGTTTTGGATCTTGATCTCTTAACCTTGCAGATGTACGGAGTACTCCGTACGCTACCCACAATTATCCCCGTATAATGCGCTAAAAAGGTTTCTTCAAGCCACACATTGCCCGTAGCTCATGCACTAAAAATCTGTGTTGACAGGTTCGATCGGGAAGAATGGAGCTAAATGGACCCTAATCTCCTGCCTGGGTATTCCTCCGATGGAGCCAGAAGTGGACCAGTGGTATTGGTATTACAGCATGATGTATATTACGGCAGAGCGCCCAACCTCCCACTTTTATTAACATAATAACCTAATTTCACCTGGGCAGAATGTATACACTCTCTTAAAAATCCCCCGAAGCCCTAGCCATAATACTTAAAAGCCCCTACGAATAAATAGAAATAACAACAATAAAAATCAGTGGTGTGGCTGCCCTCGAACCGAGCATCTCCGTTGTAGAATCTACTAACTAGTAATATTCAGCTGAATAGAAGAGCGATTCGCCCCACTACGGATCGGTGAGGGCTATAGCTTTTTTTTTGAAGCGAACATCTCCGCTGTGGAGGCTAATATTCAGCTGAATAGGACAGTGATTATGCTCCACTAAGGATCGGCGAGCGGAATAGGTTTCCTTCAAGCGAACGTATCCGCAGTGGCGGTCCATCTCGGCTCGATAAAAGAGCGATTGAGCCGTGCTAGGTGATCACCATCCCCCCTTTAGCGTATAAAAAAAGACAAAGTCCTTTGGATAGTTTCGGAAATACACTTGAAAGAAGACGTACCAACGACACCATAATTTGCAATCTTGCGATTCTAGCAATACCGTCAGTTCGATTCGATACAGTGATTGAATATGAGAATCTGTGTTTTGCACTCCTCGGAGGAAGGTGGAAATAGTGTGGAGGACGCGGAAGGTCTGTGGCCTGATGTGGGCGTCTACGCGCCCCAACACACCGTGGAAAACAAGTATATCAAAAAGAAAACGGCCAAGGAGGAGATCGATGAAGCTGTGGCCGAAGGGTACGATTTCTACTTTCAGTTCCTGTGGGGAACACACGATGATACAGTCAGTGGTGTAGATGCCATTAAGTATTTCGAATCGTTGAACCTGCCCTCAGCCGGCATCCGAGGTTGGGAACGAGAGCGATCCAAGCTCGCTTTCTACACCGAGGCCAGAAAGCAAGGGTTTCCGCCCGTGCCAGGCGTGGATAAGTTTCCCTTGTTCGTCAAACCTGCCTTCAGCTATGCCAGCCTTCTCATCGACCAACACTCTCTATGCCGAAATGAGACGGAGCTGGCATTGGCCATCAGTCGTTTGAACACGGGGATGCGAGAGGCACGGGTTCGGAGGGCTGTCGGGTCAGGGCATGCAGACCCGGAAGAATTTGTCCGGGCTTGTGAAGTGGCTGGTCGGGACAGCGACGACATCGTTGTCCAGGAGTACATCGACGGGCAAGAATATTCGGTCGTTGTCCTCGCCATGGGCCAGATCCCCATCCCTATGACTCCCCAGCGGGCCAGACTACCGAGCGGGAAAGAATTCCTGACATTCGACGCCAAGTTTGATGGGGAATCGGGCTACGAATTGCTGGATGAAGCAGATGATCCCGCGTTGTACCGTCATCTCCAGGAGACGGCCGTGCAAGGGTTCAAAGCTGGCAAAATGGCGACAAACAACATGGGATGTGATGTCGATCTTCGCATGGGATCAGATGGAAAGGCTGTGGTCATTGAGGTTGACCCTATGCCCGTATGGTTCCTGCCCCCAGGAAACAAATTTGAAGATACAGATGTGAAGCAAGGTCTCGCAGACCATCAGAGGGCGGCTATCAATATCTTCATTACCAACCACTTCCTCCAGCATCCTGATCAGAAAAGGATCAAAGAGCTCAGCGAATTGGAGACGTTCTATGATAATTGCAGCTCGCATTATGATCAGACGAAGTCATCCGCTCGGGCCACCCAAGCTGCAACTACAATGGCGGAAAAATTCTCTTACAGTGGCACTATCTTGGATCTTGGGTGTAAGACTGGCTTCCTTGGTCAGAAGTTGCGCGGGCAGCAAAACCATACGCCATCGGCAAAGAGCAGTATCCAGCGACTGGTGGGAGTTGATATGTCGAACAAGATGTTGGATATCTGCCGACAGTCTGAATGCTACGATGAGCTCTTCCATAGCCAGATTTTGCAGTTCTTGGCCAACTACAACGATCCTGTTAATCACGTTGTCAGCCTGTCTGCTCTTCAACATCTGGCCGTGCCAGAGCTGAGTTTTGTCCTGGCACGGTGCTTCCAAATTGCGCGAGACTCTATCACTATCGCGGTCGATAAAAAGGAGGATAGAGCAGGTGATTCAATTAATTTTTTCTTGGATCATACTGAAAGCGTGAAATCACTGGGACTGCCGTTTGGCTGGCATCTAGCCTCGCAAATCGAAGATGAATGCAGCACTCTGTTACGCTTTGAAAGATGCTAGAGTGGACGAATCATATTAAGAGGGAAATAAATATAGGAGGGCATCTCTTATCTATATATGTTTTATTTCTTTGTCCTGCATGTGTTCATATCCTCCCAAGGTCACCTTACTTTCATATCTTCCGTATCTCTGAATACCACTGTCATCACTCCTATGAGCACGCCTAGTAACCTGGCCCATACGGGTAATAAGTTCCTCGCTGCTAGCTAGTCATTCATAGTAGCTTCTAACCATCCTACGAGCCCCCTACCTAGACAGCTATTTGGAGTCCGACAGTAGCCGTGAAAAGGCCAAAGAAATGCTACCCTTCGCTGATCACCTAGCCTTGAAGGGCCTTTGATCCGATGACGTTACCCTGTCCATTCTCTTGAATCCTTCTGAAATAAATAGTGTATTCATTGTAATTGAGTATTAATTTCTAATGGGCCCACCTGGGCAGTCATATTCCTTGATCAGACCCATTTTACAAATCCATTGAAAAGGTGATCTGGTTGGGTAGCTGAGTGACCCACAACCCCTTGGATCAACAAGAACTATTGAAATAATAAAATGATGGGCTGGATATTCATCACAAGCTCAGGACCCACCCATACGTTCGCCAAATATTTCTTTAGGCGTGGATGCCTAGGGTCCTTACTTTTCAAGTATTCAACCCACTTGGTTTTGAAGAAGCCTTTTTTTCAATTTGTTCCCATTGACAGCACAGTTGTTCAACTCAAACCATCATGGACAATACCAAGGAGGTTTGGGGCCATAGATGGCGATCATCACTCCCTTTTCTCATGGTATGTGTATCTATCGCTGGATTTACAGGTAAGTTTCAGAACTGTTTGCGACAATATGAGGCTATGGAAAAATCGAGCCTATGGTAGAGGACAATGGGTCTGACATGTTCTTCTTTTGTTCAGAAACATTTTGCTACGGCTTCATTGTTCCTATTCTGCCATATATGGTTGAGAAACGCAATCACATTGACCCTTCAAAAACCCAACAAGTGACATATTTACTGCTCATGTGCTACGGGATTGTGTCCACCATTTCTTCTATCTTTATCGGTCAATTAGCAGATCGATGCCAGTCGCGCAAAGGTCCTCTGATACTTTCGCTGATAATAACCCTTATCGGGACTGTCGTCCTAGCCGTCTCTCAGAATTGTAAGTTTCACTCTACACCCAAACAAAGACCTTACCAAATATCTTTCAATTGCAACTGCTGACGGTATTAAATTACTAGTGGCCGAAATGTTCATCGGTAGAGTACTCCAGGCGATTGGTGGAACAGCAGCATGGATTATTGGATTCGCTACTCTGAGAGATTCAATCGACTCGAAAAATATCGGAAAAACATTTGGCATCGTACGGAGCTGTGTTAGCCTGGGCGCACTTGCCGGACCAGCAGTCGCAGGTGTCCTACTCGAACTCACCGGCTACTGGGCTACTTGGGGTAGTATCCTATTTATCCTCGCAGTCGATGTGGTGATGCGGCTCCTGATGGTGGAGCAACGAAACCGGGAACCGAATTCGAATAAATTCGATAATAGAGATAGGCAAGGCAGTCACGCTTCGGAGTCTACGGATGAGACTTCTCCTCTGATATCCGATGATGTCGAACAATCCCTGGATCCCCGTGTGGGTGATAGGAGGAAAGAGACAAGCGGGCATACTGAATCTTTCTTCAGGGTAATTTGTTTGCAGCCGAGGGTTATCACTGCTCTGCTATGTTCAACTATCTACACTGCAATCCTCGCTAGTTACAGCACAACAATCCCCATTCATGTGAAGGATGCCTTTGGTTGGGGTAGCCTGCCCACCGGACTTTTGTTCATGGGGTTAGAAGGCCCGATCATATTGGCTAGTCCTCTCTATGGCTGGCTCCGTGATAGAATCGGCACACGAATTCCTGCTACAGTTGGATTTGGGCTTCTAGCTCCATTGCTCTGGCTAGTGGGCGCCGCAGATCAAAAGGGATTTCCTTGGTCAAGTCATCAAAGTTCAGCAGAGGTGACATATATTTCTGCAATCGTCGCTATTGGATTTGTGACCAATCTGATGAGCGGTGTTTCTGCAATTGAGACAACATGTGAGTACTTACGCTCGTCTTTAACGCTATTCAAAGCTGATTGGAAATGAACACAGGTGCTGTTGACGAGGCCGAGGAAAAGCAGCCAGGCATTTTCGGCCCTAACGGGGGGTACAATCGAACTTATTCCTTGTCTACATTGAGCGCCTCTCTGGGCATGCTGGTTGGAGCCTTCTTTTCCGGTTCCTTATCTGATTCCATCGGATACTATTATATGAATGCCATTTTAGGTAAGTTCACCACGAAATTCAACCGGTGGATGTGCTGACGTCGTCTTAGCTGGAATCTCTGCATTAATGTCAATCATGGCATTTTCCTGTTTAGGATGAAAGTCATCATATTTGAGTCTCGATATCGTTAACGGCCAACTGCGGCCAGCCCTACATATGTTTAAGAAGTAGGTAGAATCAAAAAAGCAGAATTAAAAAAATACAAAAACATACAACAGTGAGGATTCGCTGGTGGTCACCCACCCAACTACTAACTCACCGGCGTGTGGCTTAAGTACGGCTGAGCGGACGGGAAGCCCTGTTTTCCACACCCTATGGTCGTATGTATCATCTTATATGGTAGAATGAAAGATGTCATAAGCTATAGTTTTGTTGAATAGACTCCTTCCAAGGTTCTGCAGCGGGTGAAGCCGGGCTGTCCAATGGTTGATGCTTATAACCAAATTCCTAGCCAAAAGCTTTGGATTCGAACGATACTAAACTGTTGACCGAAGGATTCAAATTTCTAGGTGTTGAATTTATTCCGCGATGTTCAGTTTTTCGAGCCTTAGGGGGCATTAAAGAGACATGATGGTTTGTGACTCGTTGAGGAGCTCAAGGATGAGTGGAAAGAGAAGCGCGAGGGTGAGTCCTGTTGAACGCAGAAACCTTAATGTTCTCGTATTGAAAGCATGATAGCGTGATAGGGCAGTGCGGGTTGATGGAGGCAGGGATGAAACAGACCATCTCAAGGGTCCACGGGTACCTAGGTAGATCTTGCGGGGAGATATTTCAGCTACCTGCACCTTCCAACCTTGGAAGGTTCGGAACCCGAAGCCACGTGAGACTACGTAGCTGGAGACCCGTCTTACCTGAGCCGGGCCCCGGGGAGAACTCAGATTCCCCGCGTAGCCCCAGCTGTTGTTTAACTTAAGCAACGCTAAGCACTGCGAGACTCCCAAGGGCCATCCTAATCCCCACCCCCAATCTTAAGTAACAAGACATCCCACAATCCCACACTCTAACACCCTGGGCAGCAACAGCCTATCTTTCCGCGAGGCGCATTATTGGACCCCAATATGGCCAACCTCCGAATTTCCGTATGGTTTGATGAGTGTGGGAGGGCGATACGCCACTCTCGCGAGGTACTAGAAGATGCATCAGAATTGCAAATTTGGCCACCTGCATGCTAGCGGCGCCGATCCAAATCAGCCTTACCAAGATTTAAACGGAAGGAACCAGACGCGCTGGCTGGTTGTTCTGGATTATCTACGAGAGGCAGATTGTAACCAGTGGATTGGGTACTATGATACCAGTGAAATGGTACTCCTCGTCTATCGGTGATTATATCACTGTTTATTGAACACGGCGCCGACCCCAATGGACTACTTGTTGAGACCAAGTTTGATCCCTCAGCTTCTGCCCTAGAAATAATCACTGCCATTTACGGGAAACACGCAGCTCCGGGATTCAGCCGACTTCGCAAGGTACTGATAGACAAGGGGGACCATGAACGAGAAGGGCATGACATTCTGTACCAAGTGTATGGTATGCAGTATGATTCCCACCATCTAAACACGTAGTGTAGACCCTTCTCTTTATACAAGCAATCTCTTTATCTTTGTCGTGGGACGGATCTTCCAATTTTATACTATACCTCAATTTTCCGAGCGTTATTATCTGTCCCTGTGTTGGAGTAACGCAAGGGTAAGCACCTTATGTTACTCAGTCAAGGATTTTTAGTGCCACAGTAGCAAGAGTTAAATTGGCCAGAACCCTGGTTGAATCTATATATATCTGTATTCTCCAATGTAAACAATGACGATCACAGTGGCGCAGTGCAGTCTTCACAGCCTGACAATCGCCACTCTTGTTGGGCAGAAGGAGATAATTTGTTAGGTAACTGATTTCATTGATATAGAGACTCTCTGGGATGATGAAAGATACGTTGGCTCTGGCTAATATCTATTTAAAGTCTCAAGTAAAACATTTCTATAGAATACCCCGGCTTTCTTTGCAGTCTGTGGGGGAGGAACCCCCGGGGTATCCCCGCTCTGACTCTCCCGATCCCAACGAGATCAAATATCGGCTTATTCTCAACATATTGCTATTCTATTGACTTTATGATAAATAGGCAACGAGGCAACTAGGAAAAATAAACTCAACACTATTTGATTTGGTGACGGCGTGATGCCTCGATACTGCGCCGCACCCAAAATCTTGGCGGGTTAAGATCAGAAACCGCGGCTCAGCCGTCATAACCTGTGAATGCCTTGCAGTTCGAAGCTGACATTCACCTCTCTGTGACATTTAGCTACCCACCTCTTTGCCTCACGCTCTCCCTCGAAGCCCAAATCGACACAGTCAAGCTACGATCACGACTACGATTACTTCTGCCCTACTTTTTCCTCGTCCTTTTTTGGTCAGCGCCAGCCAAATGAGCCTAGAAGAGGTCCAGAAGAAACTCAAAGAAGCAACATACCACTACGACACACCAGAGGCATTCATCCCGTATGCAAGGGTCCAAGAGGTATGGGCCGGGGATCTTCTGGAACAGTTTCTTATGAACCATGATCCAACTATGGGTACATCAAAGATAGCTGAAGCGCAACATGGCTTGTTGCGTGCGATATCCATTCTTACGGGTATCGTCCCCCGAGATTGGTCAGGATGGTCGAGGTTCAGCGAAATTTTCTTCCCGCCAAATGATGCTGACGCCAAACGTCGCCGCGACATAAATATCCCCAAGTTCACCAAGGAGGAACTTGAGGACGAATTCTTTCTTGGGGATACAAACCTGGCGAGCCACTTTGTGGCTCATAGGTGGATTTACTTTCCAATAGTTTTGAACGAGACCAAGCAAGACTCTTACGAAAAGAACCACCGGTTACCACTGCTTCTACCACTGTTTCAGGAGGACCATGTGCGTCGACAGGGTGGCTACGGAGTAGTGACTAAGGAGATCATACCTCCGCACCATATCATCCTGGGCGTTATGAGCGATCACCTCGGTATACCAGGGCCAGAGGCGCCTTATCGAGTAAGTTTGATAGTACATAACTTGATACAGCTGGTCGCTGACAGGTTTCTTTTCCGTGAAGTTCGAACTCACAGTTGGCCGAAAGCGCTTGCCGAGGGCAGATTCCGCAAATGAAGTGAAACAATTGAAACTCCTTCGATCAAGCCTGTCCAGCCACAAGCGAATCGTTTCTGATCTTGCGATATTCACCGTTGGAAATGAGTTGAACATCATTATGCCCTGGGCGGACATGGACTTGGAAGATTTCTTGGCCGGAGGTTACGAACAGATGCAACCTACCCCGTGTCTCCTAACTGAACTAATCCAGGAGTCCAAAAATGTTGCATCTGCCATTCATTTCCTTCACAAAAATCTTCAACTCGAAGTACTCGAAGTTGAACGGCCCGATTTTCGCCACCAAGCAATCTGCCACGCGGACCTCAAGCCCCGAAATATTTTGGTATTCAAGCACGAGGGCTCTTCTACAGGAATTTGGCGAATCACTGACTTCGGTGTCTCACGAGTAGCAAATCGCGCTCCATCGGAAACTAGCAGGTATGGCTCAGGATACCCCACTAGTCTCGATGCGCGTCCTCCAAGAGGGGGCGCATACCGGGCACCAGACACCCATGCTCAACGAAGGAGCGACGTCTGGTCGTTCGGGTGCATACTAGTGCGCGTTTTCGCCTTGGGGCTTGAGCCTGCCAGCCTACCAGAACTTGATGAAAGGCGAAAGGAAGGACCCGGCGGACGCGCCCTCGACGATTGTTTCTATCGAGAAAATCCTTCTGCTCTTAACCCGAGTGTCGAAAATTGGATTCAGCATTTGCCAACCCGATATCGCGATTCCCACAGCCCTGCTTTCCTCGAGAAAATGCAGAAGCTTCTTGGCTCAATGCTTGAGATAAATTACCGCAACCGTTTATCGGCACGTAAAGTTCGACGCGATTTACATGCACTTCATTACTCTCTCATACACTCAGACTCCGATGCACCACCGTCTACTCAGATTGCTCTGCGAAACTTACTAAGCGGGTCGTCAAGGACGTCAAGTACGTCAAGCACGTCTTCAAGCAGTACTGCTATTAGCAATATCGGCACAGTTTACCCACCTCGACCAGTAAAAGAAGTAGGTGTTCTTGTCGCTGTCATGAAGGATGGGGGGAACATCAACCTTGTCCGTCAAATTCTGCGAGACCAGGTTGACGTGGAAAAAGTGCCACGAGGGTGAACGGCCTTTGATCTATGCAATCAAAATGGCCAATGCTGCTATAATCAAAGAACTTTCCGGGTATCAGCGAAGGTTTGACCGAAATTTGAACGTGCGAGCCCCCTCGTCCAAAGGACAAACACCACTCTATCTTGCGGTTTGCACGGGTGATGTCGATACCGTGAAAGCTGTGATCGATGCCGATATCGATCCTTATTTTCACGCCGATACCAACACATTTTTGAACGAACTGTGCGACGAGAAGACTCCGCTCATGCAAGCCGCCTTCCTTGGTCACGCCGGTGTGGTCTCATTGCTCTTAGACCGGGGTGCAGACCACGAAATCTGCGTGCAACGAGAGAAGTTTAACTGCCTACATTACGCGGTGAAATCTGACCGCGCTAAAGAAGACGTCATCATGGCCTTCAAGGACAAGATGGACTTCGATCAGCTTCCCCCGGTACTACGCTCGATAGCCAAGAAAATCCACCGAAAGTGACAGCATATGATACGCCGTTGATGCTGCACATCAGTCTCGCGCTGGCAGGTTCATATAAATCTTTGGGACCAGATTCTTTGTGGGGGAAAAAATTCAACGCACTCCGGAAAGGAGGGGCAGATGTGAATAGGAAGTACAACCTAGGAACTTCTTTTGAGGAGAGCCCTTTAGAAAGTGCTGTAAGGGCAAATAAGCCCTCGCTTGTCCAGGTGCTTGTTGACGCGGAGGCAACCCTTCGACGGGGCTACACCGTCCCGCGAGGAAGCTCTCGTGACATGAAAATGGTTCTCAAGAAGGCACTGAAAAAAAGTTCAGCGGCGAGGTCTTAATGTTTACGTGGTATAATTTTTCATTTCTCGTTTGTTGTTTTGCCTCCGGTTTTGAATCCCTGTCGTTCGATTGTGTGATATTCAACTGAGAATTGACGTTTTATTTTCATTTGATATTAACAAAGATGCCACCTGCATACTCATATTTTCAAGCAAATCATACTTCTTCTCTATCTTGCAGAGCTATACTTTGACTGTCTCCCTGGCGTGATGAGTTTGGATAGAGGGGGTTCAAGAACGGAGCGTGAATCAGAACCTGTTCCTTTGTTGCCCGGCGGACTATAATATTGTCAGCATATAATCATAGCAGAGCAAATTCCTCCCAGTTGGAGTAAGCATAAAGCCTTACATATCACTTTCATGTCCTCAAGTGACTCGTTCTTAGTTTCGGGGACCTGAAATATTAGCATGAAGCGCAAAGTAGAACAAACGGAGGAGACTAACTAAAAGGTAAATCAAGATAAGTGCTAACACGTTCAAGCCTCTATACGATAGTCAGCATGTAAGAAGATGCGGAATAGGAAGCAATAATCTCACGAGAAGAAGAACAGAAGATTTGCCTGGCCCCTAAATGCGTCGGTCAACTGAGGCACAAAAAGGACTAAAAGTCCAAGACCAAGAAAATTGATCATGACGCTGAAGCTCATTCCCACCTCTGCCATTTATTAGTCCTTTCTTGTGGTAAAGGAAAGAAATCAATTTACCGCGCACGCATAGTGGGAACACCTCCGCACTCAGTGTAAAAGGAATGGGCCCAGCACCGATTGAGTAGAAAAGGACAAACAATAGACAGCTAAATACTGCCACCAGGATTGACCGAGTGTCATGATCCGCGATCTTTAAGAAGCCGCTGACTGCGATCAGACTGAATAGCATCCCAATAAATGAGACAAGTAGCAGAGGTCGGCGTCCACGCGAGTCAATAGACAAGTATACAGGCAAAGTGAAGATAAAACTGGCTAGACCAAAGCCTTTTTTGGCAAATTAGTTGAAGCCCTACCTTGTCAGGATGTGTTTTTATAATCACCTACCGAAATTGTACCATTTGACAGCTGTGTGGGAAGTAAACAAAGCATCATTTGGTTCACTCGAATCACCGGGCTCAGTGTGCAAAAGCGAGGATGAATAGAATGCTAATACATTGATCTGTTGAGTTTTAGGAGAGGATTAAGCGTCAGTCAAGTGCAACCAAGAATATTTGGGATGTGCATGTAGAGAGCTTACACCACATAGTTGTTGCGATGCCATTACGATTAAAGCCACCGTGCACGCTCTTCGAGTTCGCGAATCGGTGGCGAGAAGCATCATCCGCGTGAAGAAATTGCCCTTTTCGATCCATTTTTGGTAGGCATACTTTCTTTCTCCCTCTGTTTCTCCCTCTGACAGCCATGAGTCCCCTTCCTGCGAATTCCATTCTGTGACAGCCTCGGTTTGAAGCTGAGCATGGATGTAGTAAAGATCTCGGGCAGCTTGAATGGATGTTCCTCGGAGCTCGAGGAGGCTTTTGTATGCATCGGCATATCGGTTCCTCTGTATCAGAAAGCGCGGCGACTCGGGACATATAAAAACCAAAAATAGTAGGATAATGGCGGGAATTATCGCGGTCGCGAGGAGTACTCTCCAATTATCCATTACAATCAATGCGCAGAAGAAACCGAGAAATATTCCACTAGAAGAAAGTTAGATGACGGCCTGTAAAGAGAGTTCGAACGTACAGTGCATCAAAAAGTTGCCACATCATCAAGATTTTACCTCGATGTTTATCAGGTGCTGCTTCGGCGGCAAAAATAGGGGCTATTGAAGCTTTTGATCCGATCTATATAGAAGATAGTGCGTGAGATAGTAGAAACGAGAAAAGGGATAGGGACAGGAAAGTAGAGAAAAATATCAACATACCCCCACACCAAGGAGTACTCGACAGACGAGTAGTGTCTTCCATGAATTACAATAAGCTGTTCCTGTGTTCAATATGATAATCAGTCGCTGTCAAGGAAGGCTTAGGGGCAAACACTACCTAGCACAAGAACGACGCAGAAAACAGCAGCAAGGAAGAGCGCGGGGCGTCTTCCAACCTTTTCTTGGAGTGGATCGCTTATCCACGTTCCTCTGTAGTTGTGGTTAGAGTCGGAGAAAGAGTAAAATGGTGAGATTGTGCTCAACTGGTTTGGAGTTGAGAGAGACACATACATAAGGCTTCCCGACAGCCAAGGAGCTGCGTTGATAAATCCAATCAAAAGCAAATCACGATGAGTATCAAGGCCAAGATCATTCTGCCACTCCAAAAGAGCGCTGGCATTGATTGTTGATTGCTGCCATCCCCTATCACAATTGTTAAAACACCACAAGATTGACAAGCATGATGGACATACTGTGTGATTGCCGCACAAGCTGTAGCCATGATAGTAACAAGAAGACCTCTGGTTGGCAGAAACAACAGAGAAGTCTCCAATTCTTTCTCCTTCTCTAGAGTTGCGACCTCCGCAGAGGTAAATTCGGACATATCAAGGCTCCATGGCTGTTTCGCTATCCTTGCGCCCTTGATGAGGGTTTCCCGATCGACGACATTTTTGAGCTTAGCACAGCGGTGGAATGCTCTGACCTCGGCCTCTAATTGAGAAAGTTCTTGGTGGAAGAGTGGGTTGTCTATTCTGATTGACCAAAGCCATTAGAAGTTGTTTCAAGAGACAGGGTTTTGGGGCGTCATGTATTACGTTGGATGACTCGAAGATTGGGCATCTGTACTCATCTTGCAGCCTTACCAATCGGTACTTTTGCAAAGGCTTAAAGACCCAGGTTTATAACACAACAATTAGAGAAAATTATTGGTGAGATCTTTGTGAGATGAGTAGAAGCACGAATCCTGGGCCCAGGTGGGAAAGCCTGTTGCTGAGTCAATATAGGTTTGAGGGGATCTGTAAGAGCCTCCTAATTTCCACATAGCCTCTCCTACACATTTTGATGGTAATTTTAGCGCTAAGGTGCACGGAGTGGAGTGGACAGTTGAGCTGACATCTTTCAAAGAACCGAACAGACCGCACCGAAATCCACCGAGAAACCGCGCTAAGCTTGCACTAGGAAGGAATATGGAGGCTGAATTACGGATATCTACGGAATACAAAGCTGGTATATTAGCCTTGATGATAGCTTCCCCCGGAATCACCCCGTGTTTACCCCGGATATCCTTCCCCACGGAGATTTTCAAGCCGAAATATAGCTTGCCCACGTGTTAATGCTAGATGTTAAGAATGAACGATACCGCATGTGAATAGATTCCCGAAGCCCGGGTGATTTGCTTTTTCTTACCCCTCACGAGCATCTGCAGGTGAAGTTAACAAAGGTGATGATATGCACCTATCGGTGTATGCCACATCGTAGCGCGAAGCGGGTTTCAGCTGGGGGAGACTCGAAAAAATCGACTTAGCTAAGTAGGAAGAAGGCTTAGCCAATCAGGAAGAAGATACCTATTTTATATCACCTCTACAGCGCTATATTCTCTAATAGGGCCCTTCATTTTGAGATCTCTTTATTGGGACCTTATTTAGGATTAGGGATTTAGGGAATTTAGGACTCTAATTTATATTTAACAATGTTGAATTCGGGTCTCCCCGAGCTAATTATGAGTCTCCCTGAGCTGGTAGCCAGGGAAGCAAACATGCAAGCGACCACGAGATGGCAGAGCTTGTGCATGAGTGACAGGCCGGAAATGTAATGATTGGCTGGATTTCAACATCACAGCCACAGTTGGTCTTGATTGAAATAAACCGCGGGTGATAGGCGTCTGATGACATCTTTCATTTAAATTAAATCGATACGTAAATTCTTGGCATCATCTTAGGGCTATAAGAAGGGGCTCTTCGGAGACGCCGGATTGGGTGCTGATGCGGAGGTGATCGCCCTTCTTATTGATCCCATTAAATCTTACTCTTCTCGTCTTGGATTCTGATCCACATCATGCTGAAGTATACTCCGTACTTGGCCCCAAATTCCTAGTTAACACAGCCCCAAGATGTCTTCAATCCGTCCACGAACTGGATCTGTCTCGACCACACTCAGAGAAGGAATAAGCGGTTATATCAGCCGCTCAAGGCTTGAGAGCAGGCTTTATGAGATATTCGGGCGCAATATCGAAGTTGTAGTGAGCACAACGATGATGTTTCCATAGAAGCTGCGTGTGAAGGCTAAGCTATATCTCGCAGTACTTTTGCGGCCGAATTAGTTTCCAAGCACCACGAGAAGTGGAAGAGGTAAGTCTCCCGTGTTCTGGGCATTTATATTGATTCTCTTTTTCTGACAGTGATTTCTCTATATCTAGCATGAGATAGCGTACGCAGATCTATCAAAGGATCCTTTAGTCTAAATGGTTGCTAATATTTTTGACTTGAACAGGGACCTCTGCGAAGATGAACGGGTCAACTAGGGCTGAAGAAGCAGGTGTATACCAGGTTTCTTGGACCGATTTTCGGCAATTCAAATTTTTTGCTTTTGACTAAATTCTGTGTCTGCCTTGCGGCTTAGTATAGGCTTAGCTATCATCATAGTTGGCCACCTCCTGATAGGTTCTAAGGGGCTGTGCCCTACCTCGGCCCTCCCGCCCCCATTTTCAGCATGGGTCTAATAGGAAAGAATATACCCTATTCAATTTAGTTAGATCTCATAGCCTCCTAGGAATAATCAATGTAGGCTTACTCTCTAGCAATCTGTATTTCAGGGATGTAAACTTCTTATGAGTCGGGCGTGAACCGCCTCTATGTGTTGCCCGATGCCCTAGGATGTTGCTTCAATGAACCCTTACCTTAACAGGTCAAGGCGTTCATTTTTTATTTTTCTAATCTAAGCCTGTTTCTAGCGCCTCGGGGCTCATATTTAAAATCTCAATAACCTCGCATAACGATGATTCTTTAACTCTATCCTCAAAGTCTACTTAGATCAAAGGAATAATTCTCTACAGTCCTCATATTAAAGATGTTTACTAATGCAATCTATCCTACATTCTGTCTCCCTGACGATCCGGCCAGCATTTATATTTACCAGAACGATAGTCAGTTTGGGATTATTTGAACAAACTGAACGGGGCTGACGTTTGTACCTTCCAGTTGACACACCAGATAAACTCATTGCCACTGTTTTCAACGACAACAGCCTTTTCCAAGAACATATTTTAACAACGCCACTTCCAAAATTACGAATCATGTGAGATTTTTATATCAATCTATAGATTCTTGCAGCTTGGCTTACTATGCTTTCTGTGGCATTCAGATCCATACACTCCAAATCGTCAATCACGCCACTGCAAATCTCAAGGGATGCTCTCCAGGCGCTCAAGAACACCTATAAAATTGGAGATGAATTATGGGACCTGACTTCTACATTTGGAGACAAGCCTATGAGTGCAGCTGTAGGTGAAGGAGCAATGAAAGTCCAAAGTGGTGAGAATGGTATTCAAGGTGGGCGATTCCCAGATCCTATTCATGTACCCAAGGGACCTAAACAATATTTTAGATCTCTCTTACAGACTCAGCTTTCCAACGCCGGTGGGAGTTCAGAATTGGACTATGCGCCAAATGGCTGTTTTTCACCAGCATGATCCTACTGGTCTTCAAAATCTCTGGATCTTCTTTCATGTCGGTCGTAATACACCCATGCAGAAAGAAATTGAGCAATATGCCTCACTGTCCCAGCAAGGACTACGCTCAGATCATGCATGGCTTACACTTCATTCTTCCGTTTTCTTGTCTTGCCTACATAATTGGCGCTCCTATGTTAACAGCCTAGGTCATGACGTGGATAGACATGTCAGTATCTGCCAATACTCGCTCATCGACTTGTCTGACTTTCATTTTAGACTGATAAAGCCCTGGACTTTATCTTGAGAAACATCGATCACTTTTTGACCGCCGGAGGTGACAGCAACTTGACAGCAATCCACAACACACGCGACCTTCTCTTACCCACTTCATACAGATTGAGGGTAATATTAGACACACTCACGAAATTAGGTCATTTGAGCAGTGTTTTGAGTTCGCAGCATAACGGCGCAGACAATGGCTTTCAAAAACTTGTCACTTGCGTGGCATACCACAAAGATCGTCTAGAGGGGTGTGTTGTTGGAGTAGAAGTTCTAAAGGAGAAGGTCAAGGATATCTTGAACATGGTAAGCAGCAACAGCCATAAGATAACCACTACGCCGCTCGCTGACAGACATGAAGACTACATTAGGGTTAGATTTCAGGATGACCCACCAAATGCTCGACCTCAACAACCGAATGGTTGAATTAAACGACCGCATGCTTAGTGCCAATGAACAACTACTTCAACTTGGAAACAATAACTTCGTCGACAATGCCACGGTCAAGGTAGTCACTATTCTGACGCTTATATACTTACCTGCAAGCCTTGTGTCGGTAAGTATATCCCGAGGCCCTTAAATGAAATTTGTTCTCATCACTTAATAGTCTATCTTCGGGATGAACTTGTTCAAGTTCGACGATGGGACAACCGATGAATTCAGAATATCTAAGGAATTCTGGATCTATATTGTTGCTACAATTATCTTGGCAATCATTACAATCAGCATATGGTATCTATGGACTCACAAAGAGCAGGTTAGAAGGCGCAATTTCCACTTTCTGAAGCGCGGGATACCACAGGAGGCTGAGGAAGATGCTGAGTGAGACTTGAAGAGTTGCGTGCGAATGGATATTTTGGAATTCTGTATTGGCCGGCTGGCTCAGCTTGATAAACATTGGTTTTTAGGGGAATTCGAGTAGCGAATCCTCTCGCTATATAGAACAGATAGACTGCGTTGCTTTTACCAGAACTAGATATTTTTGCGTTTACATGTTCATACAGTTGGTGGATGGACTGTTTCTATCAGTGTAAATAAGGCTTTTCTTTTAGCTTCCATCTCCAAATATGGCGATTTCGTTACAGGTTCCCAAATTTGATATTTCAACTGGAGCGAAAGAAATTCAACTATCCATACATAGACTCGAGTTGGACAACATATGGAAGGAGAATAGATATAAACCGAAATAGTTCTACCAAAGGTATGCACTTTGCTTGCAGTTCGAATGCTTTACCAATTCCCATCAACTACCATTTATATGGTCTTTCCTCGTTGGATCTCGCCGCCTCTGTGGCAAAAATGGAAAATCCGCCAAAAACAGCAAAAACAACAAAAAGACAACGACGGCTGCATGATTCGAACATGCGCCCGCGAACGGAATTGATTTCTAGTCAATCGCCTTAGACCACTCGGCCAAACCGCCTATTATGTGGAGATTTGCCGGGAATGGCATTAAGAACCGGTAACTGATGGAGAATCTACGATGTGGTGATCCAGAGATGGAGAAACAGAACAGTAGATTCAACTAGGAGCAAAAGGGACGGACAGGAAGAAGAGAGAGAAAGAGAGAGAGAGCTATCTGCTATCTACTACTATCGGGATCTGTCCCATGTGGGGACTGCTGCCTGAGGCAGAATCAGGCACCTAACAGTAACTCACCGGCAAACTAGCGATGTTTTGTATTTTTTTTGCCTTTTGTTCCCTATGAAATTTATCTTGTCTATAGTAAGGGTAAGTTGAAAAGATTTTGGTGCTTTGGCTTAATATTGCCAAGATATCGTGCGCCACAAATTAGGGTTGGATTTTAAGGCTGTGCCATTTGTCCAATGTTTATTCTACACTTGAGATCTTTGTTCCTTATGCCATATCTCGAAACCTCTTTCAATAAGTCGGTTTGAACGAGTGGTCTATAGGGGTTACGAGAAAAGAATTCTCTATTTGGTTTCATCTAATACTCTTCTCTCTCCGTCAATACGCCGATGGGTATCCACGCCTTCGGTACCCGAATCAAACCCTACGGATAAAAGAATATATAGAGACTAGTGATTCTATCCATTGATTGACCCAGATCCCCAAGCCACCTCGGCAGCGCCACAGAAAATATCCCTTCTGTCTGTGAGTCAATCACCGGATCATTCACGCAAAAGCCCCAGGCTCTTGCAACCCGACGATCTGGCCGATAGCCAAAACCACAATCCCATGGGGGGACCGACATTGTGTATCCATCTATGTAACTGTAAACATAAAGTCCGGCGCGCTTTTCATACCAAGCATTCGGTTTCGGTGCGGCCTTCTCGACAATTTCCCCGAAGCCCTGGTTCTAAAGTGAGCCAGCAAGTATGGTTCCATGAGGAAAGCGTCTGAAAAATGCTAGCTATGGCCGATTGGAAGGCTAGATCGTTGGCCCATCGGATAGGATTCTGGGTACTGTAGTCTTCTTCGACTTCCCTTTTGTGCTGGGGCCATTGTTTGCGTGTATTCCAGTCCAAAAGCTCGAATGGGACAAGGATATCGTACTGCAACTCTCGGATCCAGGATCGCCGTATATCACGATAGCCGGATGTGAGTTTCTGACCAGGTTCCTCCTGTAAGCAGGATATAAAGTCGGTAGGCCTGTCCTGGCTTAATAACGTGCTGACCAGTGTCCTCAAATCAGAGACGCAGAGCTCAAAAAGAGAAGAGATGAAGATAGACGATCCATGTTTAAGGGCAGCATGTCATTCTTTTCGTGAAAGCTCATTATTTCTCGCAAAAGAACAAGTTGGGAGGTTTGAGGCAGGTGGGATGGTGGGGGGCACGTTTACCACCTGGGCACGTTGCACCTACTACGTACCTATGTAACTACTTCCTAAGGTCCATACATGTATTCTTTGTCTTTTTTCACTTGGGATTGTGCTGCTCGAATTAGTTGAACGGCGAACCTTTGAAGAGATGAAGAGCCTTCAAATTGACTTCCTAGTAAGTACTAATGATACTGAATGAGGCTGTTGGTTTTCAACCATCCTTATAGGACATCGAAGAGGGGGCTATAAAATTAGCCATACAACTAGCTTGTCTTGCTGATTGCGGCCCAAATTATAGGAAGGCAATGAAAAGATGTATAGGGGGCCTGGATGCAGCTTTTGAATTACCTGAGGATGATATCTTCAAGAATGAGATCATTAGAGATGAGGTGGAAAAGAAAATCATTCTACCACTGGAGGAGGATTTAAAGTGGTATTGTGAAAAGAACTACATCGAAGACTGCGTATAATGCCTGATATTGTTCCATAATTCCTAGACCCAGAAAGGCCTAATCTTAAGGTAACAGCGATTAGACCACTCTCGTTTTGGATGCCAAAGTTATGTTTGATCAGTGGATTATTAAAATCAACATTTCCATCAGAAAAGCGCGCGAAAGAGATGTCCTTCTTGCTCCATTTAGTCCGTTAGCCACTAAGTCGCATGAAGCTGCATTACAGAGGAGGCAAGCTTGAGCCCGAGCCGACATTTGTGTTCTAGACGGAACTCTTTTCGGTCAAGGACCGTCGTGAGGGAGACCGTCTATATGGTTTGTGAGGCTGCTAGAAGTTGATCCAATACTAGAACACGAATGCGATACCGGCGACCTTAGCTATTAGCTATTAGCTACATAGCCTAACCAGATCCCTGATTGAGTTGGCCCTTTAATAACAGTGCATAGATTGGATATCTCCGGAGCAGTTGAATTGACGATTTGGGTGGGTGACTCGACAAGTCTTAAGGCTGTGCGAAGGACATTCGTGGCACGATACATTCGCGTCGCTCCTAAGGGCTGCATCTCTATTTCTCGCCAATTGCACGGAGGTGTAAAATTTGACTCCACACGGTCGAAAGTAAAAATCGTATGGAAATAGAGTCCGCTAGCTGTTGTCCGGGCACTCCGGAATTCGAGTTTCATATTGACTGTATGGCCAAGAAAGCAATTACAAGTCGGCGTTGTGGAGAGCTTGGCTTAGAATATCTCGTAGAGCTCGATGGCATGTCCTTGTATTTGTTTATAGTGCACTGTACTTCTTTGCGATACACGACCTCCAGGAGCTGTCGGCTTATTTTGTTCGATAAGCTGGTATAGGAACGTATAGGAACGTATTTAGCTTCCGTGCGCGCTCGAGATGTTTTTCAATTTCATCTTCGCCAAGGACAAGAATAATTTTGCTCCACTGCCTGCGAAGATTCGATTTATCCAAAAGAGCAGGCTGATATAGGAAAAGTGAAAATGGAGGAATTGCTTGGCCTCGTTATACCTACACGACTTGATCAGACTTCTATAGACTCATGATGGCAATAATGGCTGCTCCTTCCATCAATTGGCCCAAGTGGTCGAGCAGTTTCCTGGTCTAGCGGTTATGATTTTCCGTTAACAAATGTGATTTAGCATATGTTCCGGAAAGGTTCTGGGTTCGATTCCCAGGGAAACTATTTTTTTGTATTTTTGCTATTTAAATGTTAGCAGAGGTACTTCTATTCCTTGGATTTTGTTGGCCGATTCTGGAAGTTCTTTTTCTTTTTTCTTTTATTTTGGGGTCTTGACTACAGATGAAATATGCAGAGCAGACTATGCAGACCTAGATAAACCCTTTTCTCTAAATAAAAAAATCGCATGTGCTTGCTGATATATATCGTTCGCTCTAGTTGCATATATCAACTCTGCTATGCCGTTTAATATATATTGTCACATGGATGTGTTGAAACAGTACAAATGAAACCATACTATATGCATTGGGATGAAACGAGATATTGTAAAGATGCTAATATTATTGTAGTAGTACCAGAAAAATGAAATTTAAAGCTGTCTAATCTATTTGTACCTGGAATAGAAGTCCATATTTACGGACTTCATTTCCACAGATAATCCCTCAATTATTGAAGTTGTAATGGACCTAACAGAAATAAACACCATCAGGTTCCGTAGGTGGAAAGTGACTGAATGCAGCCTGAATTGAAATGTTTACACATGATACAACATGATGTACATCGTATGCAGAAAAAGGCGTAAGCGATATCAAACTGCATCGGCAGCGCTAATCTTGCCTCTGTTGGGGATCAAGATTCTTGGCGAGCCGGAATGCTGAATTAGGGTTAGCATTGAAACTCGATTCCATGGTAATTACTGAGGATTAACTGGGATTCGCAACAGGATGGAGATCGTAGAGCAAATATATCGATATAGAGATGAGTTTACAATGCAAATCAAGGTCCGAAAGAAGGGAATCAATTGATATATTTTGTTTAAATCTATCCAATAACGGACAATTTACTCCAAGCGCAGCTTCTCAAACTCCTTAACCTGCTCCTCGAGACGGGCAGCCTCACCCTCAGCATCACGCAGACGCTTCTCCTCTTGCTCACGGACCTCAGCCTTGACCTTCTCATTCCAGCCAGGGCCGTTGATGATACCCTGAGACTTGCGAACAGTCTCACGGGCCTTGTCGAGGCTAGCCTTAGCCTTCTCCTCCTGCTCCAGGGCAACTTCCTTGGAGACGCGGAGGTAGACAGCAGCCTCGGAACCGACAGCAGCCACCACGCAGCCAGAGGGAGGGTTCTTGTTCTCCGGGCCGAGATGGGACAGCTCGCCGAGGGTCTTACCACCGAGAGACTTGATGGTGTTCATCTCCTCGGAGATGGTCTTTTGGCTGATAGCGTCGTAGGTCTGGATGATAATATCACCCTGGGTCTTGACGTCGTACTGGGCCAGGATCGAGCGGATGGCCTTGGAGGTGTTGAGGATGAGCTCGTAGGCCTCGGCGGCAGCGGGGTCGTCGAACTCGGCGAGGTACTCGGGGTACTTGGCCTTCATGATCGAGATGGTCTCATCGCCCGCGCGGCGGGGCAAACGCTGCCACAGGTGCTCGGTGACGAATGGCATGATGGGGTGGATCAGGGTCAGGCCACCATCAAGGGCTGTGTAGAGGGTCTGCTTGGCAGACTCCTTAGTCTCGGCTGAGGCCTCATCCGCCAGCAAGTACTTGGAGTTCTCGAGGAAGACATCACACAGCTGGGCGTACCAGTATTGGTAAGAGATCTGGGCAGAGTTGGAGAAATCACGCTGCTCAAGAACCTCGTTCATCTCCTTGGCCGCGATGTTGAACTTGTGCAGAATCCAGCGCTCGGAGAGAGATTCATTGCCAGTCTTCTTAACACCAGCCTGAGGCTTGAAGTCATCGCCCAGCTTGCCGAGGACGAACTTGGTGGCCTGGTAGATCTTGTTACAGAACTTACGGTAGCCGTGAATGACCTGGATATCGAAAGCAATATCACCTCCTGCAAAATCATTATTAGTAAATACAATCAAACGGGGAGCTGGGATGGAACATACCACCAGTGGTGTAAGAGACAAGGGCGAAGCGGAGAGCGTCGGCACCACACTCGGGGATACCCTTGGGGAAGGCCTTCTTCTGGTATCTGGTAGCAGCGGCAATCTCCTTATCGGCGATGTTGCCCAACTGCAGCTTGTCGTGAAGAGTCTGCAGCTGAATACCTTCCATGACATCAAGAGGATCGATAACGTTGCCCAGGGACTTGGACATCTTGCGGCCATCAGAATCTCTGATCAGGGAGTGACAGTAGACCTCGCGGAAAGGAACCTGCCCAGTCATCTTGATACCCAGCATGATCATACGGGCAACCCAGAAGAAGAGAATATCCCAACCCGTCTCCAGAACGGAGGTGGGGTAGAGGTTCTCGAAGTCGTGGGTCTTGCTGGGCCAGCCCAGAGTAGAGAAGGGCCACAGGCCAGAAGAGAACCAAGTGTCGAGAACATCGGGATCACGGACCAGAGAGAATTTCTTGCCGGGGAACTTCTCCTCGGCCTTCTTGTGAGCATCTTCCTCGGTACGACCAGTGACCCAGAGGTTACCGTCACTGTCATCGCCATCCTCGCCTTCGATCTTGACGAAGTAAGCAGGAGCCTGGTGTCCCCACCAGAGCTGACGGGACAGACACCAATCATTGAGGTTGCGCATCCAGCGGAAGTAGCTCTTCTCGGCGGACTCGGGGCGGATAACGATATCGCCATTCTCAACGGCATCAATGGCAGGCTGAACCAGGCTTTCCATCTTCATCCACCATTGCGGCTTCATGATAGGCTCAATGACATCGTTGGACTTGGCGCAACGAGGCACCTTCATGGGGTTGTGCTCCCACTTCACGTACAGACCCTTCTCCTTAAGATCCTCGATGACCTTGTAACGGGCGTCGAAGCGCTTCATGCCAGCGAAGGGACCAGCGTGTTTGTTGAAGGTACCATCGTCGTTCATGACAGAGATAAACTCCAAGTTGTGGGCCTTACCACGGTTGAAATCGTTAAAGTCGTGGGCGGGGGTGATCTTGACGGCACCAGTACCGAATTCGGGCTCGACTTCGGGGTCAGCAACGATAGGGAGCAGACGGTCCAAGAAGGGATGGCGAGCGTTCTTGCCGATCAGGTGCTGGTAGCGCTTGTCGTCGGGGTGGACGGCAATACCAGTATCACCAACCATGGTCTCCGGACGAGTGGTAGCAATTTCGATGCGCTCGGTGGTTCCATCAATCTCGTAGCAGAAGTGAGTCAGGACACCGAACTCGACCTTCTTGTCGTAGCCAGGCACATCGAGAAGCGTGCGGCCCTCGATCTCCTTGTTCTCGACCTCGAGATTGGACAAAGAGGTGTTCAGAGCCACACACCAGTTGACCAGGCGGTTGGCACGGTAGATAATACCCTCCTCGTGGAGGCGAACGAAGGTCTCGGTCACAGCAGCTGACAGGTTAGGGTCCATGGTGAAGGCCTCACGGCTCCAGTCGAAGGAACCACCAAGTCTGCGCAGGGAGTTCTTGATGTTCTTGTGGTATTCATCCTTCCAATCCCAGATCAGGTTGACCATGGCCTCTCGGCCAATGTCGTGGCGGGACTTCTTCTCCTTCTTCCACAACATCTTCTCGACGACGCTCTGGGTCGAGATACCGGCGTGGTCCATTCCAGGAAGCCACAGGGTAGTCTTGCCCTTCATTCTTTGCCACCGGATCATGGTATCCTGCAGGGCGTTGGTAAGGGCGTGGCCCATGTGAAGAGAACCGGTAACATTGGGAGGGGGAATGGGGATGACGAAGGAGCCTTCCGGCTTAACCTTGCCATCAGGTCCGAACTCGGGCTTGAAGAGATCACGCTCTTCCCACCAGTCGAGACGACCGGCCTCGATGGCAATAGGATCGTAGGCATCGGCGGTCTTGTCCTTCTCGGGTTTCACCTTCTTCTCGACCTTGGGAGCTGCGGCCTTGCTGGCGGCAGCCTTGGCCTTGGCCGCCTGCTTCTCTTCGAACTTCTTGTTCTTTTCGGCCTTCTTGCGGTCTCTCTCCACTAGAAATCACCTACAGTATCAGCAAATGCTCATGGTATAACACACGACTTCCGAGGAAAGGTCCCGATATAGATTTTCATGGCAACATACACTCCTTCTCGGTCTTCACCTTGGGAGCTCCGGCCGGTCCGCCCTGTTGACCCTGGGGATCCTTTGCGGCGGCATCGGCAATCTGGGCGCGTGTGTGTTCGTCGACCTGGGGGGTTGCGCTGGTCACGGGAGCCGTAGGCTCACCCGCTGTTCACTATAAGCTTCTGCGACATCTGAGAATGAGTCATGAAACTCACTGGGGATTTGGGAGGCAGAATTTTGAGCCATCCTGGAGAATGCACGATATTGAGGAGTAAATCTCCAAGGCGCCGATCGCGCCACGAATCGCCGGATAAGTATCTTGAGAGATGGAGAGGTATAAGGAGGGGTGGTTGTGCGAAATGCGGGCAATTAAATTTCCCACGCTGAATGAACGAATGAGAGCGCGGGGCTTGGTGGGAGGTTCGGTGGAGTCGGCGGGCAGGTCAATGAAGCGCGTTCATATGCAGTCAACACTCATTGGGTACCATTGGGTATCTTATTTCCTTTTTTCGCGCGTTCCTTGCTTGCAATTTGTCTCTTCTTTTATTTGTTCGGCCAGAAAGACATTGCGATAACCCTCACGTGATACGCTGGAGCCAACTGGTGATCTGAGGCTACATCTATAAGAACACAATTGGAAGATTTAAACAATTATTTACTGAATTGGAGATTATTTATACTTGATATCAGTTTTCTGATCTGATCAAGTCTAGGTATACCATATCATTCTATACATCCATGGATGTGTTGAGACATATCTATGTACGCGTCATATAACTATAGGAACCCTACCTACGATGTCCAATCAATCCATACAATTATAGTGTTTGTTGAATTTTTTTTTAAATCTCGTCCAATGTTTCATTCATAAAAAGGGAAGCGTTAAGAAAATGCAATGGGTTGTCTTGGGAAAAAGCATCCTTTGAAACACGAAGCACCCAGCAGAAAGGCCAAAACACCAATTCAACTAACAAGGGAGAAATCAATTAGGGAAACCCACGAGCAGCGCTATACAAATAGGAAAAGATGAAAGAGAAGAGTGATTTCCCCATCTAAGACGTTGGTTTATCACGCTCATTGACACGCCAAACGACCTAGGCGATAAGAGGCTTGGAGGGACCCAGGAAATTAAATGTTATGATGTCTTGTCATCAAAGTCGTCTTCATTCAGGATTTGATCGTTTGCCGCAGCCCATAATTCGAAAGGCCAGTGAAAAAGAGGAACAGGGAGTACGAAGACCAAGCTCATTTCATGTATTCGATCATCGTTGTGCCATTCATATCGGCAAATTTCAAATGCAAAAAGGTACGTAATTGTCGTGATGCCCAACACAATCTTGATGGCAGCATGCGGAGAACTTGGAAACCGGGCATCGCAGTAAGGAGATCAGAGCCTTGATCATCAACAGTTCATGCGAGAGGAATTCAGGGCAGTGTCACATTGTTGTGGCTAAGGGCCGCTGCATCCGCACGCACCGGGTCGAAGTATGCGTGTGCCATGGCCTCCTGAGCAGTCAAGCGGTCCTTTTAGATAAGTCAGTATGGGCAGCTTATAGAGATGTTAGAACAAACTTACAGCATGGTCGTAGCGCAGAAGCTTGTCAAGGAAATCAATGGCCTCGTCACTGATGAAACGCTGGTTTTCTGCGTTGACAAATGAGTGCCACGGCTTCCGGGGGAAACGGGAGAGGATGTCGTCGTATTGCGGGTCCAGTTCAATGTCGTACTTGTCCAAGTACTCAAAGAGCTCCTCAGTACCAAGAACCTTGGCGATCTTGACCAACTGGTCCGTATTGCTGCCTCCGTGGAAGAAAGGCTCCTTACGGAAGATCATGGATGCGAACATAGCACCCAGGGACCACATATCCAAAGAATAGTCGTATTCCTGGAAATCAACCAGCAGCTCGGGGCCCTTGAAATACCGAGATGCAACACGAACGTTGTATTCCGTGCCCTTGTGGTAGAACTCAGCCAGACCCCAATCGATCAGACGAAGCTATAATATGTTAGAGCCATGAATTTCCGCCAAAACTAATTGATAAGCCCACTAACCTTGCGCTTCTCATGATCAATCATGACATTGTGGGGCTTCACATCCCGATGCATAATGCCCTTGCTGTGGCAGAAGTCCAGCGCCTTAAGCAGCTCGAAAACGTAGAAGCGAACATCGTAATCGGAAAAGCGGGGGTAGAGTGTGCGGAAGTCGGTGTTGTTGATAGCCTCGAAGACCAGACTAGGAGTCTTGCTCTGGTTGTCGCGGACAACGTCCAGCAAAGCCACCACATTGGGCCCACCCGCGAGATTCTGCAGGATCTTGATCTCACGCTTGATCTTCTTCTTCTTGACAGGCTTGAGGACCTTGATAACGCATTTCTGGTAGTTGACGACGTTGATGCCCTCGAAAACCTCAGAGTACTTTCCCCGACCTGAAGTAGATAGTCAGAAAGTTTGTTCTTAAATTCTACCCGCAGTTCACAGCATGCGGCAACCATCCCTGACATGCTGCAGAAGGACGGGATTTGATCATCTCTCACCTATTTTGCGAACGATTTCATAATTTTCAAGGACACCCCAAGAGATGTTGACACTGTCATAATCCCAGTAGGACCGAGGCATATGCTCGTTGACATCGGCATAGACACGCGCCATCTTGACGATGACAGTCCGTTTCCGAGTGCGCCCACAATTGAAAGATGTGCGGCGGGGTCACGAGGGGCTCGGCCGTGTGACGGAGGGAGGGGCCGGGGGTTAGATTGATGTAGGAGACAGGTAGCAACAGGCCCAGCGACTATTCAGCCCAAACGCAGTGCTCACAAGAGGCCTTGAGCAATGGGATGGACGAAGTGAGATATTGTCGTGATATGATCAGTAGAATGAGATCCGTTCCGCCTGAGGTCACGGGATCAGAGAGGTTTGTGGGGACCCGACCCAAAGCAGTTAGTGCAATGACTGACGGATCCTCTGTTAATCCGATAGATTTTCTGGTTGCCTTTTTGGGACAGTTCGATGTGACCAAGAGCGCTGAGAAGTAAAGCAATAACTTCGACAGGCAGGGCTGGCCTTCTTTTAAATCCACCATGTTTTATGACCTGAATGTACCTTACAGCCCCGATGACCCGGAGGTGCCCCACACTCTGAATTTCCTCGCCGAACGTAAGTCATTCATTCCGCTCTGCGGCACAAGATCCGCAGTTTGGAGCACATGAGGGACTGACCTGACTTTTTAGTTGGTTACACTACCGTTGCCCTGTCTCAAACGATCAACGGGAAGCTTCCCACAAGCCTCGCTCCACCTCCTCTTCCAACAAACGCGCCGAAATCCCTCCAACTGCTGACCCGGTTGAACCTGACTCTGGCCGACCCCGCGCAGAATCAGCGCCTAGCCGCCCTGAGTCAAGCGTACGACATCGTTGCTCTCCGTCCTACAAATGAAAAGTCACTTCTAAATGCTTGCACCAACTTGGAATGCGACGTGATCTCCGTGGATCTCTCGGTGCGACTTCCATACCACTTCAAATTCAAAATGCTGTCCGCGGCAATCTCACGTGGAGTCCGTATCGAGATATGCTATGGGCCAGGGATCACGGGGAGTGGACTTGATGCCCGAAGAAACCTCATTGGGAATGCAACATCCTTGATCCGCGCGACACGCGGTCGAGGCATCATTGTGTCCAGTGAAGCAAGAAGGGCTTTGAGTCTACGAGCCCCGTGGGATGTGATCAATCTTGCCTGTGTTTGGGGTCTATCACAAGAGCGTGGAAAGGAAGCAGTCTGCGAAGAGTCGCGGAAGGTGACCGCTTTGGCTAAGTTGAAACGAACCAGTTGGCGAGGCATCGTGGACATCGTCCACGGTGGGGAGAAAGCCAAGCCTGAAGGACCCGCGCCAAAGCAAAAGGGCGCCCCAAAAGCTAAAGAAGCCGCGCAGCCAGACAATGGACCGGACAATCTCAAGAGGAAGGCTTCCATCAGCTCTGAGCCAGTCGGCGAGGACGCCGACAAGCCTTTGTCCAAGCGAGAAATCAAACGACGAGCTAAGAAAGCAAAATTTGACGCAAAAGGAGAGAATGCTACTTGATTGAAACTTGTTGTGGCGTCTTTAAATTTTTCCTACCGAGGGAGTCCGCTCCCCTCTCACCGGCAGAAGTCAGGGATATTGATATTCTCTGGCTTTCTATTAGCGAGTGTCATAAGTTGTGAGCCAAACTGGTCGAAACACTGCCCTGGTGTTTCAATTGAGACTCTTTTGAGCAACCGCTGTGACTCCAATCGCTACCCAATACACCATGATGATGTACGCGCCGCTGGAGAGCAGAACAATATGTTACCCAGAGTTATTCTGTCGTCTCTTGAATAGTATTGCTGAGCCGGTATATTGGTTACTATTACCCTTCACTTTCAAACGTGAAACATAGTCATCATCACAATGGTGCCGTTACTACGGTAGCTCCCGGGACTTGTTTACATTTTCCAGGTATAGCATAGCTGGAATAGGCATATATGGATGGATTTCAGTATCCCCTACCGGGTCATCAATACGCATATTTTTGAGTTGTTTGCTAGTGGACTCTATAGAAAACCCGCGGGTTTAACCGCTACCGACGAGCATGAAACGACGTTTGGGCTTATAGAATAATTTTCATTCATAATCAAGCCGTCCTAGCATATAGGACTTGCACTTGAAGATCTAATATTGACCTTGAACTGCGTTTCCGATAGACTTATTTGTAGGCGGAAAGTTGTATATAGAGGCCATAATTAAGCTAATTTTTGAGTATGCTAATGCCTATTGACTGCCTATTTTGGCGATTTTAGTGTTTACAAATGGATACACAACGCAACGTGTTTGGTATTGAGCTATCAATAAAATAGCCTACAGAGGGCACGACATCCTGCAGCAAAGAGTCCAGATTATTTAGGTTACTGCCCAGGTGGCTCCAAGACACTCAGTTGACACAACTTACTAATAAAAGGGTGAGACACGACTTGACATTCATCACCCATCCCTTCTTGATGGCCCCCATCCACTCGGACCAACCGGCTTCTTGAAATCCAAGCCAACTGCCATCTCCAGCTAGAGGGTGGCGAGTTGGGGGTTTATCCAGACGGTCTGCCAGATGATGATGGTAGAAGTGCATGATTCCAGTGGGCTTCAGCACACGCAGGTCTTGTAGTTCGGGGACTCGTGGGCCCTTTCACCTGAGAATTGACGCATAATACGCAATTCACATCCCATTCCTTCGCTGAGTGAAATTGATAGTCTGCGAGTAGAAACACAGCATATGGAGACAATTCTCAAGCCAATATCCAGAACTTCAACAGACTTGAAAACCGGATGCACAGGGTTGGATGTTGATGGATATAACAGAGAAGCAGAGACAATTTGCATGTTGATGGATTGATGAATTGACCGCGATCGATAAATGACATGATTTAGGAAGAAATCTCGGAGTCCTATAGCGAAGTTGGCAGATTTTGTGCTCTGCTTGTCGCGTCATTCCCAAAAGGCTTAAGTCTGTTTTCACAATACTTATAAGGTCCACAATACTCAGATTTCGAGCTCGTATTGTTGAGGGAGTCCCAACTCTTCACCATAGAGATGACGGAAGTAGGACTGAGATTTTCAAGAGAGACGGCAACAAAGGGGGAGTAAGGCTGATCTGGAAGCGAAGGTATACCGGCTGAGTAAGATATCTTGTTGTGGGTTAGTGTACGAAGGACAAGACCGAGGTATGTTGCATTGCACTCGGGGCCACAAGACGTATGCTTCGCATTCGGGCTGTTCAACAGCTTTTCAATCTGTTGTCCAAACTTCACTTGGAGCGATTCCATGTATTTTTGTCTGGCTTGATCGATTTTGTCTGGAACCATGTAGTTAGTCATTTGCTACACAAGATCTCAAAATCGATCAAGCGTTCCACCTCGCCAACAGACCTTTGATGCTTTTTGGAATCGGTAGATTGCTTGTCTGAAAGGGACCTGTTCCTTGCTGCATGGCAATTGTTTCTGTCTGTCGAAGAATATCGTTGGACTTGAAGACCCAGGCGATCATTATCCACTCTTTTGTATTTTCTGAGAACGATGACGAAACAAGCGACTCGAGATCTTTTATCCAGATACCAGCAAACACCTCGATGGCCTCGTGGCATTCAAAAAAATCGGTGGCCACAGCGATATCAGTCAATTGCGGCAGGGACAACTTTAGAGGAACTTGTCGGGAACGTCCATGAATGAGGTTCAAAATGATCAGAAGGATATCTGGTTTGCAGTCGTTGACAGGAATCTCAACAGACCCCTTTGTCGAAAGAGCAACCCCTTCAGCCCAACAATTTTTTAGCATCCGCTTGAAATAACCCGACGCAAGTGTGAGGTGCTTCGATGAAACTTGAAAGCGAGCGTAGTTTCCCGGCACATTGCCTTTACTGATGTCAATCAAGGAAGCTTCCCGTGTGAAGAGAATGATATCTCCATCTGGATCAACTTGGTGGGGCGGGTGCATGTCAGTCGCCATCAATTCAGTCGATGTGGGTTTATGGTCCTGGTCCTGGTTCTGGTCCGAAGCCACGGATGTGGACGGTGTTGGCTTTTCAAAATTAGAGCCACGCATCGATTTTCTCTTTTTGCACGGCGGTGCCATCGCAGCTTTGGTGTTGAGATATTGAATTTGGCAGATTTTCAGAAGAGAGAACGAAGAGAAAGAAGTATAAGTAGAAACCAAATTATGATTTATGTTGTCTGGGGAATGGGGTGTAAACAAAGTCGACCGGTGGATCATTTGCCTACGGCGGAGTATAACGGCAGGTATTTCAACCTTTAATATACAACATACCTACGATATAACGAATACATAATGATTGACTGTATCGGATTTTGGAGTATTGCCATAGATAGATAGATCTATAGAGTTATCTCAAGATTTTTAGTGAAAATACAACCGGACTGCTCAATTAAACTCCCACTGTCCAACGTGCCGCTATAATACGCCGTACCTAGGTACACTACTTCCTTGCGTTGATCAAGGGAAAAGGGGAGTCGCCAGTGTACGACCAGAATACTGCAGCGCAAGAAGCACACTTTCCATCTCTCCCCAGCAAGTAGAGATTCACAACAGGCGATCCAGCTCGTGTTGACGAAAGCTTTGAGGAATTAAAGATCCCTGTCACCCTGGACATGTATCACTCGGAGCATGACCAAGCGAAATCGGAATGGCAGTCCCTGAGAACCACCTCAGCAACCCATGACAGTGTTTTGATCTCGGATCAGTAAGATTTCAGTGGTGAGAATAGGGCGACGATTATCCTCCCTTTCAAGGAAAGGATATCAGAAGTGAGAAATATCTGATTCTGATTCGAAAGCAAAAATATGTCTGAAGGTCTCAAATTCAAACAAAGAATGAGCATCATGCGTAGGAAAAAATCTATAAAGGGTTTGCCCTCTGCACAAATAGCTTCTTTGTCCAAGCCCATACACAGCCAACTACTTTCCTTCAGTATAACTTCAACTTCTACGAATGTCACTGTCTCTGTTTGAGAGGAATCTAATATGAAAACAACAATCAATCCTATGAATTATATACAGAGAAGACAGAGAGGCGAATTAAAAATATAACATGGGTCTACTCTTAGTCGCTGCACCTGTCCAATCTCCTTCATATCCCCCAGCAAGTTCTCGGGGGCAGTTAGCCGCCCCTCGACCATCAAACCGACCCGGGTGAAGACATAATTTTCCATACACTACAGATTGCGTTTGATGATCCTCTGGTCGCCTTCGGGTCTCCTCGAAGCGTTTCAAGCTTGCATAAGTGATTCTAGACAGGATCGACTACACCAGACAACAAAACATGGAACGATTACAATTGCTCATTGGAGCCCAGATTTCAGGGCTTACGGCCGGCCTGTCTCCCAACAATCCGCCTTCTTGCTGCCGCGAGTATATGCAGTATACCTAGGCTTCATCTTGCGAAAGTTGACCGAGGAGGAGATATCATACTTGATGAATGCACTATCGTATCCATTCGGACACCATCATATTTGGAAGACACAGTCCTGCCTCGATCCGAACGATGATCACCGAATGGAAACCCAACTTTGGCCATGGGCCCTGTGGAAACAAAGAAATTCCCTTTGGAGCGGATGTACGACAGCTGGCATCAAGTATGCCTGTTTCGATTTTTGACTCTGGGGTTTCCTTCTGATCAGCCCCGCCCCCCCCCCCCCCCCCAAAAAAAAAATAATCAGATAGCTCTTCCTAGTTTCCGAGGGGAATACATATTCATCATCATCAAGGATAAACCATCTTACTGCGTAATAGTGACTGTCTGGCTAGCGATTTCAACAGGTCTTTCATTCCATAGTTTTTCACGATTTGAACAACCATTACCCATTATTAGATCTCTACCGGAAGGAAGGTCATATTTTACTGTTTCATCAGAGACTGTTGGGTTCGTCTGGCGTATATATCACGTCTCTAGCTTGTGGATCACCAGTGGTCTCGTAGAAGGATTTGAGGCTCCCGGAAGGACAAGCTCCCAGGTTTCTAGCCTATTGTATGTGTGTTTACTACGTTGGTGCCTTTCCCCCATGTGTATGAGCTAGGCAGTAGAGAAATCAATTCTACTTCTCTTTTCCCTTCTCAGGGCCTGGATACCTACGCTCAACAGTTTCACCCATTGATCGTGTCAATACATCGACTTCTGTTGATATGTCCTTGCTTTATGCAAACAACCCGGGGAACCAAATTCGTAATCTGTTTCTTAGAGTATTGGATTGATTATTGCCCTCCGTATGCTGTATTTTTACAATATTCCACATCTCGATCCTATCACGAATTGCCGCTAAGCATTGCCCTAGCTACAAGTTTGTACTAAGGAGCACCGTAAATAGATAGCCTGTTTTGTATCTCACAGGGCTATATTAGTTGTGATAGAAACTCTCTGGAGAGACCCGCATGTACTAAAAATATGGTGGAAATGATTATACTTTACGTATCAAGTTCCCTGGGGATAGAGCTTCATACGTGCTAAGGGCTTTTCTCAGCCCTACCAGAGTGGATGGCAATCTAACTACCATTTCTTGGCCGTGTCATCCTTGCTGTATCTGACTCTGTTATGACGCTAAAATTCCACAAGCTTGCGCATACCTGTCTTCCCAGTTTGGGCACGGCTGCATCAAGGATGTGACTTGATGTTACATCTACATGCACGTTTAAACGATTCAACTCCAATAAACTTGGTTGGTGACCTGCACCACCTAGCATAACGCGTAATATTAACATTCTGACAACAAACATGGAGGCTAAATGTCCGAGATAAGAAAAAAGAGGGGAAAATCGCATCAGTGTATCATTTAGACAACACATAGCATGTCAATCCTCGGCTAAAACATCAAATTCCTTTTTCAGTCTTGACGCCATTCTCATAGCGCTGGATCTCGGGGTAAGGTTGCCATTTGCCATTTTGCTGGCATATCATGCAAGATGAATGATGGCTGCATACCCTAGTCACTCTTCCCCTCAAACCTCTCCCTATCACATGTTTTTCGTCAAAAGCGAAGACAAAGACAAAAACAAAAATAAAAATAAAAGGAAATAGAAAATAGAAAATAGAAAGCCATGTCGTAAGTTCGTATCATCGGTCCCAGTTCTCTCCTAGACCCCCGCTAGCGTCTCCAACTCCAAGTATACATGCATTGGTGGGTTATCTCTCCAAATATGCGTCATAGCAGAATAAGAGCGTCAATCTCGGGCATGCTCGGAACTCGGATGCATGATTGGGTTCATCGACAAACTAATACATCCTAGACACGAACCAGTTCACCATCTCCTGCACGTATCCTTCTCACACCCATCAAATAGCCGCATTGTTGATGTAGCAGTAGAGTCAACGCTGGGTGAACTCGGCTGTCTACTCAAGACTTAGACAATGATAATTCATCTGGGTGGCTGAGGTTGGATGGTATCCAACCGCCCATGTGGTCTATGTTTCTTTGGAAGTTTTCGTCTTCACTGTTTGAGTTAGCGAGTCCGTGTCAGCTCAATACTTTCAAATTAGAATAGATGAGATAACATATATCTGTCTTACCTTAATGTCTGCTCTGTGTAAGTATAGTTGCTTGCTGCAGTATTGGAGGAACTTGCAACGGCCGCACTTGAAGTGCCCGTGGTGGAGGTAGATGTTTGTTGGGGCGAATATTGATTCGAAGAATTCATTGTTGTGTTTGATGATATAGTTTGCGCAGGGCAATGTTACTTTGGCACTTGGAATGCTCACAGTATTTTAAACGGGTTGAAGGACGAGGATATAATGCGCTAAGCTCTCAGGGAAAAGGATATAACAGTTGCTTTATATCTGAATCTTTACTATTATATTAACCAAGACAACATCAGGAATTCAATGCCACCAAGTTGGAATCCTCAAACACCGGTGTGTGAACTTCATCGAATTCTATATTGCAATCACTGGGTTAGGTATCGGTTCCGGAGAAACGGATCCAATAGACCAATAGCTATTACCGCCGTCATTTCGTGCGTGTCATTGAGGAGGGATCGAATATGTGAATCATTGGCCAGCGTTAAGTGTGTGCAGGTGATATCGGCCCAGTGTATTATGTCGCAGTCCCCGGAGCCTCATTTAGGGAGAAAACACGGCTAATGTATGAAAATAATTGCGGTTGCCTTGCGGCTAGCGTGCGAACCATATATTCCGAAAATCCTGTTGTCTTTTTAGATTGGCTGTTGACTTAGATCTTTTAGATCTACCCGTGCTAACCGGTCAAGTACTCCAGGGCTGCAGAGTACATAATTGTACATCTACCACAATGCATTGATACCATCCAGACCGACATTGCTATATAAAAGAGCCAATCAAATTCAAACCCATGGCTAAATGTATGCATATAAGCAAGGAAACATCCCTAAGACAGCACTGATTCCCCGCACTCCGTTACATCCATCCCACGTATTATGTCTATCTGGGTATCGACGGAAATTTGGTGTACAACCTGAAGGTCCTCAGCACGGACTCAAGTGCCAGGATATTGGATCCAACTTTGAGACAGTTCCCGTTTATGTGCAGGGACCAGTTTTAATTTTGTCGTCGTAAGAAACTGGAGTATTCTCACCGCGCTTGGACGTAGCGGCAACACACCCTGAAGATCTTGCTACTCGGTTGATATGAACACCAAAGAACCAAAAGAGTAATACAAGCAGCCATTTATGTTATTCCCCCAGTAATGCTCTCTATAAAAATGAATATGTTGAGCTGTGTTCTGTCCTATACTTCCCCGGCCCCGGCCGCTTATCTTATCACCGGAGGACGCCGACATCTCCGCATTAGCTTCATAAACCACATCCAATCCAATTTCTCTTCTTTTTTTCTCTCTCTCTTTTTTTCTCTTTCTCTCATAGAGCTGTAGACCTGCACGCTAGAAAGTGGCGGACACCAAGCGACTGAACAACACACACCTCCACACACACACGCCTAAAAGCTCACAATGGCGCCGATCCTCTCAACCAACCCGACAGTCACGCTCACCCCGGAGCCTCTTACACCGGAGAACTTCGCACATTTCGGTACAGCAGTGGTCTCCCCATTACCACGAGAACTAAATATCGCCCCTCAACCATCATCCCTAACGCCACACGACCCAACCCCGGTCCTGGCGAACCAAAACTCCGCTCTCAAGTACAGTCCTATCTCCCCGCTTCTCGACCATTACACCAATGCCTGTCTAAGCGGGCAGGCCTCCGAGGCACGCATGACCATGTTTTGCTGCTTCCCGCGCAATTTGCGCACTGTCAGCACCGGCCCCCAGCTGCCTGACAGGGAGGTCTTTGATGTGCGGATCCTTGAGCGCCACCCGTTTACCAATCAGACTTTCATTCCGATCGATCTATCGGCCCATTCGAAGGTCGGGAATGGCGAGGAAGAACCGCTGTTTCTGGTCGTTGTTGCGCCCACTTTGAAGGGACAGACCGCTACCGCGAAAAATGAGGCTGGCGAGACGGTTACTATTCGTGACCCGCCTGATCTGAATAATGTTAAGGCGTTTGTGGCGCGTGGTGGTCAGGCTGTTACTTATGGTGTTGGGACGTGGCATGCGCCTATGGTGGTTTTGGGTCGTCGGAGGGTTGATTTTGTTGTTGTGCAGTTTGTTAATGGGGTTGGGGATGAGGATTGTCAGGAGGCTGCGTTTGGAGACGGCGTTGTTGTTGATCTTGGTCGGAAGGGTCAACTTGGTCGGGTTGAGAAGGGCCCGAGGTTGTGGTCGGCTAAGCTCTGATCTGTAGACGCCTGTCTACAAAACACTTGCAAGTGTTGGGTTCTTAGGGTGAAACCGAAGAGTCCGACAGTTGGCATTGAAAATAGACGCGAGGAATGCTTTTGCTAACCTTGCTCTGTCATTTGGTGGTATCTTTAACAGGAGAAGCCGAAATATTGTACATAAATAATTTACATAGTACCTTCAAGTACATATTAACCATAGCATTTCATCCCAACCACGCTGAGGCTAAGGTTGATCCTCATCAGCAACTCGAGGTGGTGCAATTTCATCCCTCATTTCCTGGCGGACCCGCATAGCCAGTTCGAGGGTGTCTTTGGGCAAACCAGCCAGTTGGGCAACCTTCAGAGCATGAGACTGGCGATTGACACCTTTCCGCAGCCGGTGAACGAAAGAGAAGGCACCTGAAGCCATGTCTTTCACATCCGTGCAGTATCTCGCCAATTTCTCAAAGTCCTCTGTCATATCCGCAAGGGCATGGAAATGAGTAGCAAAAAGTACTCGAGACTGGTTGTGATTGTGTAAATGATGGAGGCACGCAAAGCTAACAGCTGTACCATCCTCGGGTGTTGTGCCTCGGCCCACTTCATCCATAATCACAAATGACTTGGGCGTGGCTTGTTTGAGAATAGTAGCTGTTTCCAACATCTCTACCATGAAAGTCGACTGGTCACGGAAGAGGTCATCCGCTGCACCAATTCGGCTGAAGATCTGATCGACGATACCGATCTCGGCATAAGCTGCGGGTACGAAAGACCCGACTTGCGCGAGGATTGTGATCAAAGCGTTTTGTCGCAAGAAGGTACTTTTACCTGCCATGTTTGGGCCAGTAATGAGCCAGATCCGCTCGGAATCACCCAGGAAGCAATCGTTGCTCACGAATGATCGTCCTTGTTCCTCTAAACCCAGTTTGACCGTGGGATGTCTTCCACCGACAATCTTATGACAGGTACCGTCGTTGAGAATAGGCCGCACCATTTGTTGTTCTTGGGCGAGAGTTGCAAATGAACACGCCACATCTAACTCATCCATGACTGCTGCGTTTCGGCGAATTTTGACAAGATTCAGGATCACCTCACGGCGCAGACGTTCAAAGATCGTTTGCTCCTCTTGACGGATCCGAATCTTCACGTGGTCCATTTTGACCCCTAGCTCTGTCCAGGCTGGTAGATAAAATGACCGGGTAGATTTAGTCGATGAGACATTTCGAGTGACCCCCAAGTCTTCTAGGGACTTTTGGGATATCTTTGCCCCTTTAACGTGGCAGATGTGGCCCAACCCTGGTGTCCATTTAAGGCTCAGGGCTGACGAATCAACCGAGTCACGGAGACGTTGAGTCAATGAAATCTTTTCATCGCCCAACCGTTCCAGTTCTGCGTGGAGTGCATTCAAAATTTTACTTGCGTCACGCCTCATAATCCAGGTATCTAGGGGACCGGAGTCCGTATCAGCCATAACTGTTCGCTCGCCCTTCTTTGCTCTGACTTTTTTCGGCAGTGCTTCGAGCTCGCTGGATGTGGCTTCATCCATAGTAACCTTTTGTGCCAGACTGGCTGCCTCTGCGGCAGTACTATCCTCAATGCGTTGCTTTTGCAGCAACCCTTCTTCGTCAATGGCCGCAAGAATTTGATCCGCTAGCGCGATGGGACCGTCGAGGAAAAGCCGTGAGATCATGATAGTAAGACTATGATTCAAATCTGAAGTGCTGGATGAGACCGAAAGTCTATTGTGATCTAGAAGAACTTGTCTGACTTCCTTAGAGGCCTCAATGGCACGGGAAAGACAAATCAAGTCATCCGGGTCTCCTTTCCCAAAAGCGAATTTCTGGACTAGACGTTGAGAATCATGGCTGCGCTTCAAAAGTTGGATGACGCTGTCACGGAGCTCCACATGTTCGATGAAGACCGAGACAAGGTCCAGACGCTCATTGATGACTTGTAAGGAGGTAGACGGGGAGGCTGCATGTAATGTATTAGTAAAAGTCAACAAAAGCGGTGGAAATTAGTTGGGCATACTCAGTCGGTCTCGCAAAAGCCGTGCACCGCTTTTTGTAGAAGTCCTTCGCACAGCATGCAGAAGACTTCCTTTCCCAAAACCGTCTCTCGCTGTTTCCAGAATCTCGAGACCACTCAGACTGTTACGATCAATACTCATTGATTCATTCAAGTGTCTTCGAATTGGAGGCTGAAGCTTGAGATTCGATCCTTGCAACTGCACACGAATGTACTCAAGCAGGCTGTACCCAGCTGCTACTTCCTCCGGTGCGAATGAGGCGCGAGCATCTTCAGGAACCGGAGACTCTAACATTGTCCCCCATTCAGATACCGGTTTGAATGCTCCAGGGTATTGGAAGAAGGTGACAAGGCGATGATCATGTCCAACGAGCATTTGTAATTCATGTCCAATAAGATCTTGCACATTCTGGTCTACCAGAATCTCACGAGCTCCAATCCGGGCGATCGCAGACGGAAGCATTTGAGTCGTTGTGAGCTGAGTGAAGAAATCACCAGTTGAGAGGTCAAGCCATGACAATCCTACTTGTTGGGGCACAGAGGACAATATATGCTGATGCGATGATTGGAGGTCGTTGTCGGCATGTTGATTCAATTGCGATTGCAAAGACGGGAGGTCCAAGTATATGGCTAGCAGGAAATTATGCGCAGTAGGATCAATAAACTTCTCGTCAATCAGCGTGCCAGGTGTGATGATCCTAGCAACCTTCCGATCAAACAGGAGACCTCCTGCGCGTGCCTTGTCTTCTGCATTAATGGCAAATTCCTCGCTAATAGCCACATACTTGTTGAGATCTCCGACGAGGGTTTTGAGAAAACGATCAAGCTGGAAGAAGGGGAAGCCAGCCATCGGAACCGGCCCGCCATTGGTCTTTTTGGTCGCGAGCTTGAGATTGAGCAATGGTGCCAGCTCCTCTGCTTGTTCAAAATAGAGCTACAGAATACAATCTTAGCATGGAGTTTTCTAGCCATGTAGTCCCTATTATCGTACCTCATAGAAACCCCCGACTCGGGTCAAGATAACACAGTTCTTGAATGTCTGCATATTGTTTCGGTGCCCCTGCACCACAGTCGGGTAACGGGGAGCCTCATCCACCCGATCATCGTATGCCTCGAGTTTCAAAACTCCTTGAGGAAGGTCTTTCAACTTCACTGTTGTTTTAGTTTTTGCGCCTCGTATGTAGACTTTCGGTGCGGCGGACACGGGTGGGTGTATGGAAGTTCGACGCGCATGGTGACATATGGTCCGGTGTATGTGACAACGATAAGATGAACGTATCAAAGTCGTTAGAGGCCTCATATAACCTGGCATTAAATGAGAAATAGACAGACCAGGGCGCATTGTTGCGACGCGCTCTAAACCATTTGGGGTGGCAGAACCATCCAAGCTCCCCTCCTTCCGCCTTCGCCACCGAAATCTTCCCGAGCTGCACTCTCCTTGACTTCATCTATCTACAACCTTGGCTGATATTTCTCCCTTACAAGTGACATTACTTGCGGCAGGAGGATGAGCCAGGTTTGTGAGACCATTTAAAATTGATCAATCGCCGACATCTCGTGTCTTGGCGCGGCCTGAATCTTGACCCTCCGCAGGCAGATTCTTGTCACAACTCGCTCTTTCTTTCATCTTTTTTTTTCTTGATCCAGCCATACAACCACCAAGATGGCGGACCAAAATATTTCGCAGTACAAGTACTCGGCGATGTCCAACCTGGTTCTCCAGGCGGACCGTCGTTTTATCAGTCGTACCCATGACGAGCCCACTGGAGACCCGGAGTCTCTCGCGGGTCGCATTGGGATCCGGGAGATGGGTGGACGAGTCGCGCGTGACGACGCGCCCAAATCTAAAAAGGCAGCTCCGACAGCTCTCGAGCGGGGCGCAATCGGTGAGGGTGAAGATGTGCTTTTACGCGAACAGAAAAAGCGCCACCGCGGCCAACCAGCACAACTACGGGGCCAGGGCATCCTTTCAGCAGCCGATGCCTTCGTCGAAGGCTTGAAATATCGTCCTCGCACACCCGCCACACGAGCCACTTATGACCTTATTCTCACAATCACCGGCAGCCAGCTAGGCGATGTCCCCCATGAAGTCGTTCGAAGTGCCGTCGATGCTGTGTTGGAACTACTCAAGGACGAAGAAATGAAGGATTTCGATAAAAAGAAGGAGATTGATGATCTTCTGGGAACCTCAATGAACCCCAAGGAGTTCAACGAGCTTGTGAACCTGGGCAAAAAAGTTACAGACTACGATGCCCAGGACGAGGAGGAAGAGATGGAAGGCGGACTCGATGAAGAAGGTGGCGAACTTGATGAACGCCAAGGTGTTGCTGTTGTCTTCGACGAAGATGAAGATGATGAGCGCATGGGAACCGTGGACGAAGTTCGAGACGAGGACGACCTCAGCGACGAAGAAGAAGAGGATGAACAAGAACAGCTCGCAATCGACGATGCTGCAGCAGCCCAAGACGAAGACGGAGATGAAATGGTCATCGATGGAGGTCTTGGCCGAACTGATAAAGCCGCAGAAAAGACTGGATTGAAGGTCTCCGCTCGCGAAATCGACGCTTACTGGCTGCAACGTCAAATCGGTGCCATATACACAGATGCTCACATCCAGCATGAGAAAACAGATGAGGCACTTGAAATCCTCGGCGGAAAGGACGAGGATGGAACATTAAAACCCCTGCGCGATGTTGAGAACGACCTGATGGAACTCTTCGACTATGACCATCCCGATCTCGTTGCTAAACTAGTCACCAACCGCGACAAGGCCGTCTGGGTTACCCGCTGGAGAAGAGTCGCAGAAGATCCCGATGCGCGCAATCTCGTGGAGATTGAGATGGTCGAAGCCGGTCAACGTGCCATCCTCGATGAAATCCGTGGCAAAGAAGCTGGTGACGAACTCGGAGCACCACCAGATAAGAAGATGAAGTTCGACTTGATGGATGTCGATGTTCCTTCAGGCCCAACTACCGACCAAAAACCCGC